AGCATCGCTCGAATTGCGAGCATTACTCACTTGACACAACGTCATACGGTCAACTTGAGAGGCCAGGGCCGTAACTGAAACATCAAATTCGCCTACAACGTTCGCGACCCTCGCGTTCGTCCCCCCCGAATCCATCAACTTTCCGATTCTGGTCCCATCTATCAATTTCATCCTATATCGAAGCTTCAGAAACATCCCTTGAAGCGGCTTGAACAATATAAACCGCGTTACAGATGCTGAAAAAATGCTACCAAAAGATGACCATTTAGTTGTATCTAGTCTGAAGCTTAGGTAAAACAGTATCCAGTATCAGTGTCGAATTACAGATCGAAAAGCGATACCATTGATCAAAAACTTGATCCATCGTACGAATTTCTTCTTCTTCGAAGAAAAATGGTATCCAGAGACGAGAATCGTGTTATCGGACGAAGAAATGGTATAGATATAGGTACCTATAGGATACCGGTATAGGAATTTCTGTGGGGACGAAAGTTAGTCGAGGGTCTAGAAGAACATTGTCGAGCCCACAGGGCCCAGTAGGAGTGATACATAATTGCGAATTCGTCGCAATTGGCCGCCCATCAAACGCGATTATCGAACGAGAAAGAGAACCCGGCTGCAAATCGGTGCTCGTACGGCGTTAATACAATCTTTAATTCATCGTTCTAGGTGGCCGTCGCCGCCGTATTTAGCACCAGAGGGGGACGGCCCTGCTTGGAATAGGCCGTAGAAAGCAAGACACACGGCCGGTTGTGATTATTTTATCAAGAAATTGCCACATTTAAACGGCACCTCTAGCTAGCCTTTGCCCTACCCAGGCCCCTACACAGTCGACCGTACACCATAGAAGATGTTTAGAAGAAACGATTCTCGGTGTGTGACTCGGTTCGTGTGATCCAGCATCCGGCTACTCGAACCCCTAGACTGGATTCTCAGCTGCTGTATTTCAAATGGTCGTAAAGCTTTTGTTCGAGGTATAAACGATCGATTCTCGAGGTTCATTCGATATGAAACGAACACAACACGTCCAGGTGATTCGAGAACTGTGACCCGGTCGCTTCAAGGTTGGATCAAGTTTGTCCGGTGATCCGATGAGGTCACGGAGTTTGCGGAACAGTTTTACATTCCTGGTGACGGCGCTCGTAAACTCGATGTTGCATGTAAATCGTTACGTAGCGCGCCGTCAAAACATCCTTCAAGGCTTCAAGGTAACCAATATCGAACGAATAAAAAATAATCTATGTAGAAGAAACGATACATTGATGTGATCAATCCCATCACTACCCCCCATCAGGTTTTTCAATTAAACTACAACTCTACCCACCATTGCGCGTCATAAACTGCGAACACTAAAACCAGTCCCGATGCTTGATAACTCGACTAAACACGATGAACAAATCATCTGTGTCTGGGTTAGGTCCATCATTCATCCCAGTAAACTCCAAAGATATTTCCATCCGCTAAGACTAAGAGATGCTGAAGGAGGCATGATCGTCGAGTCGTAGACTTGTTGACTTTATCATCGTTCTTATCCTCCTTAAATCGCCGCGCGAACTACATAACCTTGACCTGAAAAGCCCCCAACCAAGAGAGCGGAATCGGAAGCGTCGCAACTGGAGGCTGCTTGGACGCGCGTAGTTTGGCGGCATCGTCACGGCGAACAATTTGAATTCGTCGTCGTCGTCGTCGTCGTCGTCGTCGTCGTCGTAGTCGTTTCGAGACACGAGAGCGCGGACCAGTAGTCGGGGGGGGGGGGGGACACGTGGAGTGGGCCACGAGACTAGAGAGGACGGACAGAGATGTGGAGGAGGTAGAGAAGACTTGGGAGGTGGCTGGGAGGAAAAAAGAAGGGAAGGAGGCGACACGCGGTACCGTAATGCACAATGGTGCATTAGCCAGGAGTAGACGGCCAGACGGTCTCTCTCGCAGACCGGCCGAAACAAAGTCACATTCGAGGAACAAGAAGAGGCAGAGTAGTAGCACGAAACTTGGGGGTTGATCGATCCAACTGACCGGAAGGATCCTTGGAAACCATTTAAAAGACCTTAGACCCAGTAGAATCTCACTGTTATATGTCTGGACTGTTCCTCGAACATCGATTCACATGAGTCCAAGTTCAGTGACACCAAAAAACAATCTTGGAAATTTAATCTGACCTAGCCAAGACAGTTGCCAAAGGCAGATCACCAGATGTTGTACTACTGTCGCGATAAGGAACCTAGAACTTTATAGAGGACCATTTAAGAGGACCATCAAGCCTTCCCAGATACTCTCCAAGAGGATGGCTGACCTTAACTACCAGGTGACGAGCGTCCAGAAGAAACCGGAGGACACGATCGTCTGGAAGTCGATGACAATGAAAGAGAAATGGTCCTACTTCACGCGAAATATCACCGTCGAGCCTCTGTTAGCCTGCTACGTGATCCCCTGTATGCTGGCCTCCCTGGCCACCCAGAATCTCAGCCTGGAGAAGGCTTGCAGAGTGAATCTGGGCTACTCGGACGAGGTGTGCACCGCGTTGGCCAACAGGAACACGACTGGTTACGAGGCGGAGGAGACGGCGGTCCAGCAGCTGGTGACCAGCATGCAATCATGGAAGATGGCACTGACCAGCGGTCTACCAACGATCCTGATCCTCTTTATGGGTGCGTGGAGCGATCGAACAGGCCTGAGGAAACCTTGTATGCTTCTGCCGATCGTCGGGGAGTTTCTCAGCACGGTTAGCATGCTTCTTTGCACGTACTTCTTCTACGAGGTGCCCATGGAAGTGACCGGTGTCTTAGAAGCGTTATGGCCCTCGTTGACAGGTGGATGGTTCACGATGTTCATGGGTGTTTTCAGTTACATCGCGGACATCACGACTGTCGAGTCCAGGACACTGAGAATCGGTGCCGCGAATGTTTTCGTTTCACTCGGTATACCGATCGGTATGGCGCTGTCCGGGATATTGTACATGAAACTCGGTTTCTACGGTGTGTTCGGCATATCGACCGTGTGTTACGTGTTTAGCTTTGTTTACGGACTGGTGGTGATCAAAGAACCGCCCAGACCGAACAAGAAACAATCCGAACAGGTGAAGCCCGACGAGAAGATGTCCGTGTGCGGATCGATCAGAAACTTCTTCGCACTTAAGCATATCGAGGAGACGTTCAAAGTCGCGTTCAAAAGCGGCAAGAACAATCGGAAGAAGAGGCTACTGGTGCTGATGGTTGTCGTAATGGTTGTGATCGGGCCGCTTTACGGTGAGCAATTCCGTTTTTCAATGATTTTCTCCGAAATTATGAGGTTACAATAAATCCTCGACGAATGTTCGAAGACTCTTTGGCACTGAACATTAAATATTTCATAAAATAATGGCCGTATGTGGCTGAGAATTCCAAGCTCTATCGGTGTGCTGAACATCGTTAAAAGGTCAGCGTTACTCCGGAGGAGCCCACCTTGCCAGTGCCGTGGCGGCTTCGAACACTCATCGAGGATTTACTGTAGAGGGTCGTGAGGAACGGGTCATTAGGTAATACATAGGTACATAATGTCCATTCACCGTAATCAACAGCCTATTAACCCTTTAACGCCCAGACCCTAAAGTCGTTGTTTCAAAATTTCTACCTACATTGCTATATTCAAGTCGAGATTATATCGATGTTAAACCAACCTATTTAAAAGAAACTTTTCTAATTTAACTGAAAAATACTCCCAATATACGCAACTCATCCGTATTTCCACGCGACAAAACCCCTGGAAATATGATTATCTATGTATGGTAGGTGTGATCATTGGAACCATGCAGATCGACTCCGCATAGATCGTGACCATTCACTTTTCGTCGCAAGTATTCAAGTATGACTTTCACTTAATATCGCCACGATCGTGGTCAATATTTTGACATCGTTCGGTTATCGATCTGGAACATAATGTTCCTTCAAAGAGAAATTGCTCAACATTTCCACCGGTTTACGGATTGAAATAGTGAAATATATGTAGACCCGCTAAACTCGTTTCCGACTTGGGGGTCGATGAGACTTTTGATCGTCTTGATCGATCTTTTCTGTGATCGAACACGCGCGCGCGCGCGCATGGATCGTATTCGGGCGAGGTGAGAAGCGACTGTCGCTGTTGTTTTGTTAGAAAAACTAGGAAAAACTAGGAAAAAGGGAAAATTAACCGATTCTACTTCTATCTCGAGGTCTTGAAGTCACAGAGGTTTCTTTCGTAAAAAATAAAAAATTAATAATTCAATGGGCAACTTTCTTTCAGCACCATAGTTCGTGTCACTGTGATTTCCATATCCTGTCGAACCGGTCGCATAATATTTGTAATCTGACCGATTAAAGAAACAAAGAAAGAAAGAAGCCTCTGGAGGCTCTGGAATCTCCGCCGATTAAAGAGGAGGAACGAAAGGCGGGAATAAGTAGAGGTAGTTTCACGTAACTCTCGTTAATCGTGTTGCTTCTATTGCGATAACCGGGCGGGCGCAGCGTTTCACGAAGTAATTGCAGGTGAATCGAGGTGAAAGTAGAAAAAACTGTGAATGGACGAGTGGTGATCCTCGGAGTCACTAGCGTCCACGACTAGCCGTCGATGGTCTAACCAGGACTTGAAATGAAAAAAGTGGTGATCCTCGGAGTCACTAGCGTCCACGACTAGCCGTCGATGGTCTAACCAGGACTTGAAAACTGTTATGATATCGATTTCGCTTTCTGAAATGGTTATGAAGAAATTTCATTCCGAATAACTGTTACGAAGAACCTAAATTTCAGACTACATACATACATAGAGGTACCATAACCTACATATGATTTTATAGTTTATACTTATGCCACACGCTGAGCTTGAGAATAATGTTGATCTCTCGATTGCTCGAGAGTGTCCGTCCCTATTCCCTCGAAAGCAGCGGTAGGCACATGTTAATCTAATACGACAATAACGGTGCCCGATTGCGTGGTCAATTACGGATTATTAGCGCATCACGAATTCGTATTACAACGGAGGGATTCAAGGCGACCGTCCTCGTCATAATTTAATTAGACTGCTAATGCGCGCGGGGCACATTATGTATAATGTTTCGTTTCGTTACGTCTCTATTCTGTCGTCTTCATACGGTGCTGCTGCAAAACGACGACGAGTAATCATCCTGCTTATAACAATTTCGTGTAATGAACGTCTTCCTGATTTTGAAAGCCGAACAAATTATGTCTAGGTACCTGTTCGGTGGATTTCTGTTTCTTGATCCTTTCCCGAGAATCATGTCAGAAGCATCAACGTTCACCGTGAACAGATGCTGAAAACCGTTTAACCAATCCCGTAACCAAAGGATCGCAATAGCAATTTTATAGATTTGTAATAATTTAGAGTAACAATTTTATCTTTCATTAATGTTTAATCGTATTCTTTCTTGTCACGCACGGTACGTACACATAGCCGAAAATCTATGCTTCGAGAGTCACATATTCGGTGCACCGATAAGTAATTCATTATTTTTTTAAATTATTAGGCCAAATATTTTACTCGCTAATTGTTGTGATTGTGAGTGAGAAACATTATACATGATGTTTAAACTTCATCAGGAATCTCTCAGGAGGCTCTCATTGTCAGTTGGAAGCAGCTCAAGTTAATAATTCTGAAATATTTCATTTCTTTTAATTCAATTTATTTAATTAGCTTAGCAAAAGAGTAACATGAAATTTTCAATTATTTATTCTCTACATGTTATTTAGGTACATAGTCACAAACTATATTTGTGTAGATCCTCGAGTTCCACAAAGATTGATTACTAATTTCGTCGAGTGATAATGTTGAATTAACGAATTTCAATTCTTCTCGAATATTATTATATTTCACTGATCGTGGATTGTTCCCAACTCCGTCACCCGTTGATAATTCGACGAATCGAGCCAGTTAATCAATCAATACGACTTGCCAGCGAGCGAACGACTGTTAATACCAATTCGTCGGGAACATTGTGCAATTGGATCGTGGAATTGGCGTACGCTAATTAAATCAAGCGTCGCCGTTAATTCGATCAAGCTGAGGTGGGTACTGCCTTTTGACATTCGTTCGCGTGGCACACTACACCGCGTGCTTATTAATCAGTGAAAGTTCCTGACGGTCGTTCGTTCGTCGTGATTTATAATTACCATCACCGAGAAACACACGAGGGATACGACAGTCGATGACAGTTGATATGTGTGTGTATGTAATTCGAGCCACCCCTCCTTTCCCTGATTGCAATTGCAGAACTTTAGTTTGTTATAAGAAAAATATTCGTGATTATTCGACATTAAAATTTCAAAGTAGCGATACGATTGATTCCACTTGCTCGAAAAAGGGATATTCTTGGGAATTCTTGTAGATTCGTGGTAGCAAGCAACGGGAATTTCTCGAAGCATTTCGTAGCACGACAATGAAGGTGATACTGAAAGTAACCACCGGTTACCGTATGTGCGAAGTCAACATACCTATTAGAACTACATACATCCCCATATACATACATATGTAGGTATACATATAGGTATACATATTCTGTGGGTACGAATGCTAATACGGTCTGATGACTTAAGTACTCTGATGTAATTTCAGATCTTTGACCGTCGGAAATAAGTCTAGTCTCGGTGGTTCGACGGTGTCTTGCCGCCCTATTGGGATCAATTATTTTCATTTACAGGAACGTGGATCGAGGATCGATGTTTGTAGAGGAAACAGGGAAGAAAGAATGCGAAAAGTATGAATGAATTATTTTCTCTAAACCAAGTCCATTTCTGGCCGATAGAGCCCGAAAACACGGAAATATAGAACACACACTATAATACATAAATATAGGACACTATAAACTGGACTCTGATCCGAAGACAGTGTCCTTTCAAGTAGATCGAAAATAAAAAATAGAATAGATTGAAGTTGAGAAGAGCAATTTTCTTTAGAAATTGATGATGATCTCTGTTGACACACACCCACACACAAGATGAAAGAGTTAAAGTTAAAAGGCAAAAACGAGGTGTGCGACAATTGAAACTTGACAATCTAGACGCCGCGCCAGACCAACCATGGTCCATGATCTAATCCGCCACAACCCCTCTCCCTCCTGGAACGTTTTTCGACTGTCTTGCTTACCCATAACCATAACGAAACCTACGACGAATTATCGTCACATGGATCCGTGTTAAGGGCAGATTATTCTCAATTGAGTCAACTCGAAAATTAGGTTCTTAGTTTGAATTCTCTGTATCCTCTACAATCGCTCGTGCGCGCGCGCGCGCATGGTTAAGAAGAATCTTAATCTTAATCGTTAAGCCGTGTGAACGCGACACTATACCTACACAGAGAACAATTCCATATATTGTACATACATATGTATACAACACGTATGTATGCAACACGGTTTTGCGGTTAATCTCAAGGTGGCTACCTTGTGTCTCTTAAATTAAGGAGATTCGCTTGATTGCATTACCCGTTTTGCGCGCGGCTACTTTAACCTCCACTCGGTGCGTTTCCTCCATAGTTATAGGATTGCGTAAAAAGTTTCCATTACCGGGTTGTTATTATGTTAACATTGCCGATTATCGGGCGACCACCAATATTCGCAAATAGAGAACGACATTAGTCATCATGGGAAACCGGAATCGGCGATTAACATTTCTATTGGCTGAAAAAGATTCGTAGTGAACATTTAGAAATAAGTCTCTGTTTGACGATACTTTCTAATATGAAGAATTTCTTTGTTTGTACAAAGCAAATTAACTTAATATTCAATGAAAAAAGTGCTGGAAAAATAATAACCGAACAAAGAAACAGTACAGACAGCACAGTGTACCTGTGTATGTATGTACGTATGTATGTATGTATGTATGTATGTATGTATGTATAATCACTGGTAAGTGTTCGAAAGCAAAGCAATTATACGGTAATAATAATTCAATGTGTATAAACATAGAACGAAGAAGACTAACTTGCATATCAGTTCATAGAAACACGCATTAGGTAATTTATTCGTGGTCAATTTGAATCTGGATTTTCCCGGTTCAATGTGATACAACGTAACCATAGATGCGAGGACGCATAAAAACCAAGAGAATCCATGCCCGAAACCGAAACGATCGCGAATGAAAACAAGACAATGGCGTGACGTGATAACGAGTCAAACGCCGACGGAAACGATTAAATTGGAGGCCCTGATAAACGCACTTGTTGTATAATGCGGCGCATTCTTACGTAATCTACGTGATAACACCGCCACGAAAATTACCCACATCACCGGTTTCCCGGGAATCTAAGGAATCTCATGGCGACGAAATTATCTTCGTGATAGGTATTCGAGATAATTATCTCGGTGATCTCGGACGCCTGAATACGTATGTATACATATGTACACATATACACTTATAATAATATACATTTTTTTTTACTCAGTCTTCAATAATCTTTCCAATTGTAGAGTCCAATTTTCAACACATTACATTTCAAAGAAACTCAAGATGCCCCTTTTATCTCGATGCAAGAAGAAAATAAGAAAAACTTAATTATTACATTCTAAGATCCCCTTGATACCATACTACTCTTGTCTGAAACATTTATCCATATAACAAACAATTTACAAGTAATAGAAAGTGGCAAAGTCAGGTGATTCAATCTATACCTATAGGTACAGATAGATATGTAGGTATGTAGGTATATGTACATGACACATGACGCTCCGATTTCTAAGTCAGTGCATTATATTTAATAGAAACAGAATGTCTTCTGCAATATTTACCTGTACATGTCTTATGTTATTCATTATCTATGTTTAACGTCTTTTTTAATATAATATTTCAGAATTGTATGAAAAGTTCGTGGAAGAGAACGATGAAACGATTCTGTGGCGAAAGTTTTCAAACAAGTTACGACCGACGGAGAACCGTACCACGTTTTACTATAAAGTATAAACAGTGAAATTCGCAGGAGCAGCGTATATTTTTTCCCGTGGTCAATCTTAAGTGACCGCTGGAAACGACTAAATCATCTTTTTTAAACGGTCGGTCGTTTAGCTATTAATTTTCCGAGCACAAACGGAACACACGGACACGCAGTCCCTCCCTTCTTTTCGTGCCGATCTTATCGATCATTAGTCGCAATTACGTCGATCATGTAAGATCCGTCGAAATTCTATGAAATTTGACGTGACGCGGCGTCGATGTCGATGATAACGATTAATCGTTGCAAGTTTCTGCTCGCTGAAAGACTATGTAATTCACTCTCCGTAGACATTGAGGAATGTTACACTCCAACGACCGCCATATATTGTAACTGTAACCAATATGTATGTATGTATGTATGTATGTATGTATGTATAATGCAGCTTTTCGCTGTGTATTATTCGAATAAAATTCTGCTCAACTCTGGTTGTAATACATATATGATATTAATAAAAAAAGAACTTTCTACTCATTTTCCTTCGATACACGTATGTATGTATTATATGTACATACGTACATACATATGTAGGTATCGATCCTTTTTTTCGTTACATTTACTTATACATATGTATGTAAGATGTGAGTAAAAGTATCGATACTGTGACGGTATCGGTTTATCCCTAAACGTGATTGACGATATGGCTGGTCTAGGCGGACAGGCGAACGGCGAATGCAACATTGCAGATGCAACGCTGAACGCGCGAGCTGCAATTCTGAAAAACGTTTTGACCATGATCTTTCATGCTGTGCTAGCGGAACTGTCCCACCCACATGGGCTCGGGAACACTATCGCGCGGGTTTCTATAAAACTACGCGATCCCGATATGTAATTCTTGAGCTTTTCAATTTATCCGTAAACGCGAACTCGAACGAAGAGAAATATGAAATTCCTGAAAATCGATAAAGCGAATCGAATTGATCGGTTTAGTCGAATCAGCAAATTGTTACAAATTATAGTAAATCCTCGATGAGTGTTCGAAGGCTTTTCGGCAGTGAACATAAAATATTTCATAGGCTTAAGTAAACCCCGATAAAAAGCTAGCGTTAGGTACATCTGGGAACCTCTTCTTGTTAGCGTCGAGGAGCCTGCGAACACTCATCGAAGATTTACTATATGTATACATATAAATCTGATTGTACCGAAGGATAATCCGATTTTGTTCTTATAAGGCTTACCCCCATGTTCAGATCTTTGGATCTTCTATAGTTGAAAATTTCTTTCATAAGGCTGTAAAAAACGTAACACACGGAATGTGGGAATTGAATATTGAACGTCATCTATTGAAATTTCAGGTGAGATGGCGGTAATGTACCTGTACATGAGGTACAGGTACCATTGGAACGAAGTCAAATTCAGCATGTTCACCACGTTCGCTATGGTCACGAATCTGATCGGTAAGTGGATCCAACGATCTTTTCAAATAACAATCATATGACTATTGTTAAGAAAGATTTTCTATATGTCTCCTCACGCATCCGATAAATTTGAAGAATCCCTGTTACTTACAATTAAACATTATTTTGCAAACGTTACGATAAATCAATGACACAAACAGTCTCGACAACCACCGTCCCTGACTTTCAAACGAAGGAATCACGGTGATTACATCTGAAATGAGGGGAAGAAAAGAAAAGAAAACAATACACAATAAATATGTACTATATACCTTCTTGACTCTTGATCGGTTTCCGCATCGACATAAAGATTATTCGTCGGAATGTCACTCCTATGGAAAATCGAAAAGTAGATAGTAGATACATAGGTATGTACTTTTAGACGGGATCGCGGTGAACACGTGAAAGAATCGGACGCACGTGAGACTGCATTCGCCACTTACATATACATACATATGTATTATGCACCACGATGCACCGAAACACGTTTCTATACGTTCGATGCGTTGCACTTCTAATTGTAAGTTGCACTTTGTTTCTCAGTTTTTCAGTTGGTCTATTTTTAATCAATGTAATGGTGCTTTTCGTCACTCGTCCTTTCCATCGAGTTTCTTTTCCGAACGAGTTCAAGGGAGGCGTTATAACATTTACGGATCGTATGACGATTTCCTTCTTTTTTTTTTCTTTTTTCCTCTATGAAACGCCACGCAAAGCAACGAGAATCGGTTGCATAACGAACACGGTATTGTTCCCGTCGTGGAATTGTCGGCCATCATTTCCGAATGGTCGGAGGACCCGAACGCCAATGTATACATATTTATAATTATAAGGCTGTATCGATTAAATGGGCATTACCGTTGATCTGCCGGTAACGCTGAATGAGAATGTCCTCGCGAACAAGTGAAAAATTGCGATATCGATGAAAAAATATTCTTACGTGTGGATGGATGAAAATTACAATTAATTAGATAATGCCTTCGTACGTCGAGGATCATTAGAAGGTTTCTAAAGAAAAGATAATTTCAACCAGTTCTTCCCTTATCAAAAGACGCAACGAATTAACTGTAGAGTCGTTTTTTTTTTCTCCAACCATGAATACGAATACTACTTTTCATAAATAACATATAGAGATGCAAATCCTTTTGTTACAGATTCGTTACTATCACTCCATCAGATTTTTAGTTTTACTTTAAAAAATGACTAACTGATTAACAGTAGGAACTACCAGTATTCGGTGTACATTAAATTAAATTGTATAATATAGTAATGTACACAATTAAGCATAATATAGTACCCATAATATTAAATGTATGTACAGTAAATTAAAAGCCCCATTGTAATTTCAGCAAATCGTAAAATAAGAATCATTTTGTCGGTAGTTTTAATATTAATCGATAAATCTTTGGACGTCCTAACCAATTCCTACATTCTACTGAAATTCCTCTATTCATTTTTGGAAAATTATTATTCCCAGGTACAACGATATCCGTGGGCGTGTTTAGCCACATCCTGAAGTTCGACGACGCGATCGTCGGTGTAATGAGTTCGATGAGCAAAATCCTCGCCGGATTCGTCTACGCGTTCGCGACCACCAACTGGATGATCTATTTAGGTAAACGAACACCATCGATCGATCGAAATTTTTAAAAGAATACAATTACTCAAACGATATCTCGACAAATTTCAGCGGCGATCGTCGAGATCGTGAACGGGACATCGTTCATAGCAATGCGATCGATAGTATCCAAGCTCGTATCGACGGACGAGCTCGGTAAGTGTATGCTAAATTGCTAAATAATACAATTTGTCACCTCGACATCGGTGGAATACAATTGTTAAACAGTTCCTTTTCTTTTTCTTTTTTCATTTCTTTTTACATAGAAACGACGAAGACGTAACGTGCTCCGTTATGCGGACGTTACGTGATTAACATTGAAATTTATACAGGGTGTCTCATTTAAGTGTGACCCTCTGAATACGTATCTTTTTTAATTGTGAGTAACACTTACCACGATTTTCTCAAGCATTTCCGGTGATCTGACAAAAAAGTGTTTTAAAACGATCAGTTTTAATCGGCTACATGTTATGAAAAAGATTTTCCGAAAATTCTGCACCTTCAAATGACCTTGAATTCAACTGGGACTGAGCAACTGAAGACTGAATACAGGAGAACTGTCTTAACAGAATGATAGTTAAACTATTTTTTCATTGTTGTGAATTATCGACCGTGGAAGTAAGGGTTTCCGATTGATATTGTGCAGCGTATTTTTTCTTCCAGCAAGACTGGTGTGCCCACCTTATAAGAATTTTCCACGATAACGTTTCCGTTCGTAGATTCCACATTTCTGAATTCAAGGTCATTTCAAGGTCACAGCATACTAGGTAGTTGAACTTGTCTTGTTGACACGGGCTATAATATTATGAAGTAAGCAAATATCTAATGCCATTTTAAAAAATGAAGATCACCTTGACTTTTCATCCGAAAAAACATTTTCTGAACATTATTTTCTGTAACGTCGTTCTTTTTTTTTTTTTTTTTTTTCACATCGTGGTAAGTATTACGTGGGAAACCCTGTATAATTCTCCGTAAATTTTGCAGGCAAAGTGAACTCCTTGTTCGGTGTCTGCGAATCGATGATGCCGCTCGTTTACGGGCCAATGTACAGCTCCATTTACGGGGCAACCATGAAAACATTCCCGGGAACGTTCTTCATTGTCGGCGCCTGCTTAACCATGCCCGCTGTCTTCGCTTTCCTGTAAGTTCCTCCGGTTTCCGGTTCCGTTATACATATTATCGAGCTACTGAACTGCCCCTTTCTTACGGTCCTCGAATGACCAAAGACTTATTAGCTCGGGTAATAGACGAACTTTTTCCTGTAGATATTAGCACCGATTGGTCTTACAATTAGTTTCCGAGATATTTATATATTATTATGTACCAAAGAAAGTCCTGCCACGGAGGAAGTATTAAAACATAAACTTGATTTTGTTTTCTCGAAAAATAGTTGGCTCTACACAGAGCATCGGAAAGATCGCCAGCAGCTAGAGCAAGAGAAGAAAACGAACAGCAAGATCGAGGGCCAAGAAGAAAGCGACCCGAATGCGACAAAATGGCAGCTCGCCACCGAGAATAAACCCGATCTGCCGACGATGAACGGCGGCACGGCTAATGCGGCTTTCGAATCCAATCATTAATCACAAACACTCGTGTGTCTCGACGCACATGCGCGCGATATTAATCGAAAGCGATCGGAGGGAAAACATTGAAACGAGGAAATGAAGATGAGTGGATGCGAGGATAAAAAAAACTTGGAAAGGTCAATGAGACACGGCAAAGAAGATTCTGTCGTGATGTAGATACAGAGTGTCAATAAATATGTGCGGACACTTTTTCAGGAAGATAAAAATCCAAAAAGACGAGATTGTGTTCCAGGGTTTTTCGTTTCTGAGTTATTGTTAATTGGTGAAAAAATACGGACGACACGCGGTGTGAAATAAAATAAAGTCTGACGCATAGGTTCTCAGTGTAGGTGCTACCTGGGGAGCGTTTTAGTTATTTTATATTCTATATTTTTAATCTCGATTTTTAAGATTCAAAGATTACACACACACACACACACACACACACACACACACATACAATTATATTTGGAAATTTTGATAATAGAGATAGCTTACTCGAAGAGAGGCGCTGAACAAGAAAGAACTATGCGATAAGTTATATCAATAAAGCATCGATGAGTGTTCGAAAGCTCCTGATGAATAGACTACGGATGTTTAACCTTTTTTTATACTTTAAGAATAAAGGTTTTAATATGTTTTCATACTATTTATATTTTATTATTAATAATATTGAAGCTCAAATACTGAATCTGGAAACTGAATTTGTCATAAACTTCCATAGTCTACTAACGAATGAAATAAAATTAAAATGAATTGAAAGCAATTCGTGGAACGGATGGAGAACGCGCCAGACATATTTCATGCATGTTTCGCTTGTATTTTCAATAATAATTAATAACTCGAAAATGAAGCCTCGAACGGGATTTCGTTATTCTTGATTTTCGTTTTAATTCAATCTGTAAAAGTGTCACACATTTTTATTAACATCCTGTATAGTGTATGTATGCAACGTTAACGGCACCACACACACACACACACACACAGAGAGAGAGAGAGAGAGAGAGAGAGAGAGAGAGAGAGAGAGAGAGAGAGACAACTGCTAGGCGAAAAATTCCGTAAACAGGTTCAAACAGTTGAAACGCAACGCGAATTTTTTGTTTCGTAGCGAGTGTAATCATCATTAACGGCGACAGTGTGGCGTGATTGTCATGCTTTATTAATTATCGATGCGAAACATGATTCACCAGTGACTACAGATAGTAATAAGACTACGAATGCCATTGTTGTCGAGGGGTCATGAATTTGTGCCTCGAGAACAAGCGCCATTTGCTCTATCTTACCATAAGAGTATGAAACACATTCGCACCGCAGCGTACATCATGTAGGATACATATGGACGTATGTCCTGATAGCACAGACGAGAAAACGAGAATCTCGTCTGTGGTGATAGAAATCTAACTTCGCTCTGGGGTCCTTAGACACTCAAAATCCATTCCGTCTTATTATATCTGGAGTCACCATAGATTCACGATGGTTTATTTTTCTTGTCGAAAGGATAGAGGTGTTCGCGTGACAAAAGAGAAGGGATCGGTACAAAGTTATAGATCTTAATACATCGACGACACAAATAAAGGATAACGACACACCTATGATCGCAACGATAAAAGAGCTAGAAATGATCCTATCTGCTCGATCCTTAAGTAATGTTCCATTCCGTAAGTGATATGAAATTGTTGTAAAAGAAAAATTACAATACGAACGTATAATTTTTTTTATCGATTTTCGACAACAATACTTCACACGTCGACGTTTTGACAAAAGAAAAAAAGAAAACAACAAAAATACGCACAGAGCAACCACGATGGAAGCTATCCTTTATTTTCCCGTTCTTAGTACAAGCAGTATCCGGTACTTAAGTGAATTGTGACAATAGATAAATCACGGAACAGTCGTATAATCTGTTCAAGCGTATCAGTATTACAGATGCATACACATCTCCCACCCCCCAACCCCCTCTCGCTTAATCGCTAATCAAGAATTCACGGACAAACGAAAGCATCGAGTTTTTTTATTTCTAGCAAACGTTCAATTTTCACGAGTTTAACCGCGAGGCATGAATTTTCAATTCTTGTCTTCGATATTCTCAAAATGGATGTATATCACTATCATACGCGAGTATACTATACATATATGGTACATAATACCCATGTATAAACCCCCCAACGACGAGGCAATCGAAGAAATTCAACGTAGTATGTATTAATATTTTATCTCGAGGGGCTCGTGCCCGTGCATTTCACACAAAGAGGTCTCTGCGAGCACAGACCCGATCTATTGTACATTTCTATCGTATACGTAGTATTTATAATAAAGAGACCGCATTATACCACTCCCCGTACGTGTATTATAGCTTCTTGTGATATAATACAATAGTTTTGTATTTAGGAGCTAAAAATAGAGTAAAATCGAAATAAAAGGTTTCATCATTGACCATTACCGTTCATTCGTCTCTCGGGTGAAACAGATAACGAGAACGCTGTTCGATAAGAACGATGATTAATTTATAAATGAAAAATTTAACTGTGTAATGCCTAATGCTTTAATACTTAATATTCTTGTTCCTGATGGTGTCGTATCACTTTTAGGACAACTCTAAATAAAGCAGAACAATCGTAGAAAGACACTAAGGGATTTTACAGTAATCGATAAAGTAATTTAGAAATAATTTTTGGCGCGCTCGAGTTTTCAGTGCACTCAATGTTCGCGCACCTGTCCGCGCACCAGTGCGCGCAAGTTCACGGTCGCCGCGAGCCCATAAATACGAGCGCGCAATGAAAAATCCTCAGTTCACTCGCGTGCGCGGACATCGTCGAGGTCTTCCGACGATTGCTGACCACTGGTGGTGGACACTGGTCAAGGGGGTTCATGGGGTCCTCTCTATTATCCGAACTCGACTCAGAGGTTGGTTTTTTTTTTTTAATTAGGTACTTCCGGACTAGGGATTTAGGTTAATTTAGGTAGATCCGGACAATTGGTATTATCTTCGATAAAGTATTGTAACCTGAAGGTAATACCGAGTTAATGGCTGCGAACTTAAAATTAATTTCTCTACTTAGAAGAATAAATGTAAGATTGAATATTTTCGGTAAATGTTCTATCGTACATGAAACTTAGATTATTTTAAGACTAAATGTAAAGTAAAAAATCTTTGTTAATTATATGAATACATGAAGCTGAATAATAAAGTGCAAGGATTCACGTATATATTCGACTATTTTAATAAATTCATACCTTACAATTGAAATAAAGCTGACGTACTATCCTGTAGAAGGTTGGCTAGTAGGGCTCTTGTTGGATCGAATTTTATTATTTACTTACTCGCAATAAATAAAATTATTGTAAATAAATGATGTGTGAATAAAGTTATATATAAAGATTCACCAATTGCCAAAAGGTAATTGATTGCGCGTATTAGGATTCCTATATAAAGTTGTACAATTGTATACAGATTGAGTTTTTTAATTATTTCATATAGATATGTAATATTTATAGGAATAATCATTTGAAATTCTATTATTGGTTTAGTTTTACTTTGAACTATTTCAATAAGTTATGTATTATCACAGCCTACGTAATTAGAGCTCGCTTAATGCAGTATACCGAGAAATTTAGCCCTCTATAATCACAAACGCTACAATAAACGAGCTTCCATCACAGACGAGATATAAGAATAGACCTAACATGCAATGTAATTTTCTGTAAATTAAAATCTCTGTAAATAACAATAAAAAAAATTCAAACAATCTATTAAGTTTGTTCCATTAAATAAAACAACTTTTATATAAAACATTTTTTCGTATTCGTAATAGATTAATATAATAGCATATGTACATTTATACCGGGCCTTCATTGTATACATACATATGTGTCAAACTGCCGTTCAGGCCGGGCGAGAAAAGTAAAACATTCTTCTTTGCTAGCGAAACCGGGGCAATAATGAGTGTGCGTGTGTGTGTGTGTGTGTGTTTGTATGTGCTACTGTGCGTCATCATGGTGTCCAACGTAGTTTCTAAAATCGGAAACTTTTATGTAGAGTGCGCTCGAAAAAGCGTAATTTTCGTGGGACACAAAGTCCCATAAGATGTTAGGTCTATTCTTATATCTCGTCTGTGGTACATGCTACAAAAAGAGGAAAGAAAACAACCGTATCGTGACGAGCTAACCCGGATTCCTACATTACCGACCGTCCCCCCACACGGATCAGCTCGCAGATTCCGAAATTCATTAGGAGGTGTCCAATCTTTGTGTAACTGCATTTCCGATGGCCATGCGTCATAACGTCACGGGCCGTGCACACACAAGAGCACAAGTAACGCACCATCGCCGAAGCGAGGTGGCATGATGCGAAGGAATTTGGATCGTGCGAACTTTGTACAAATAGTCACAGAGTGGACGCGCGATGCGTTGTACGTCCCACGGCCAGAGATAACGCCGATGTAGTGTCGAGCCCGTGAATATATCAGTTAACAATCGCGCGCGCGCTGGGATCATACACCACCACCGTCGTCGTTATCGTTTGATTTCTCCTTTCGTGGGGCGCGAGAGAAACCGCCGCGCGCTGCTGTGACCCGAAAACGGAGTCACCTTGTAGTTTTGATTTGTTTTTTTTTTTTTTTTTTCGGAAGTCGGAAGAACGACGATTCTATTTCTTCCCTCCATCATAAGCAAGGCCTCGCACGTTCGCCTTCTTCGTTCAGCGCGCACAGAAAGGACACAGAAGTGGAAACGGTGAACGGTCGAGCGAAGTGACGCTCGGCTAGCAAAGGTGAGCCACACACTGGGGATCCCTTTATTTCGTGACAGCGATCCAAGGTGAGAAACTGATTTTTCGTAACTCAACCCACGCTGGGATATGTTCAGTGAAATATTTCAATAATATAGCGCAGGCAAAATGTGACCTGAGTGTTCGTGTCGATTCACTTGGATCTGTGGTCAACGAGCATTATTGTTTATCCTTGAAGAAAGGTGGTTAAGCTGTTTGTGATTTATGAATACGATGCTTGATTGAAAGTGTCGTTTCACCTGTAAACACTGTTTAATGGTGAATAAAGAAAGGGTTAATTAATGGTCATTTTGAATCGACTTGAAAACGATAAGGAATGAACGTAATTTGTAGATCAATCTAATACTCTATACTGCAATGGTAATGTATTTTCACGGAATGCTTGGTTATGTTCTTTTGCGTATTTTCGTATTGTCGTAGCTTTCAGTTTACCAACGGTGTATCTTGTATTATGTATTCATCTTTCTAATAATAGTGAACACTTACTCAGAGATAACTGATAGGTACTTGTCTCTAACATTGGATCACTGTCTAAAATGTCAGTTAAATGTAAATAAAATCCACTTGTTTACACAGCACTGTATCTGAGTCGCATATTGTAATTATAAACGCCCGTGAACGTTCTATAACGCGCAGGGACAGTCTATCGGCATTTGGCAAAGGCAATTATCAAATACGATTATCGGATTTCCATACGTAGGTAATTTACCCTAAGCAACAGCAGTATTCCATGCTGAGCACTATGCGTGGAATCAATTTCGCGGATTTTAAATAACATCTTCTGCTTATCTGTTACGTGAAATAATCGATAAACAGACTCCACACTGTTATCAAAATCGTATTGTGTATAGGTATGTACGTGTGACCAAGTGTATCGATGCAGTATGCAGTTGACGATATACTTAAAAACGCTTATTGAAATTCTATAAATCGCTAGTTATACATATATGTATGTACACATATAACTTGTGGATTCGTTTAATTTTGGTGCAGGTTCCTTAAATAAATTCGAGCGGTAGCATTGAAAACAGTATCCCTCAATTATTCATAATAACTCCTCGCTACCTTCAAAATTAAATTCATCCCAATAGCTACCTTCGGTTTAATAAACAATTGTAATTTAAACCGTTTACAGGCCCCAGGTTGTAGATTTATTAAAATTTTAATGACAAACAGCACTTGATTGGTCCTTAAGTTTTAGTGTCTAAAATAAAAATTATTTAAATAATATTAAAAATATATTTAATATCTACAACATTAAAATTTGTATTGAAATAAATTTGAAATATAAATCTTATGGGGTTAAACATTTTTGGCAAATTAAGGTTTCATTTGTCACGTGTTTCCATTCAATAGAGTCGCCCCTTTAGTTCCGCGAAAATTCAACGCGCTTGTAAACACGTTTTCGTTAACGACAAGACCGTTTCCTTTCTTCTGCACGCTTTCTGCGTCACTTGAACCCCACGGACCAGAGGGCTTACAAAGGTTTATGTATTCATAGCGATGAAAAACATTGTACCGGTCGAACCAGTTCGTATAATACAAAGTGATTTCTTTTATTTCCTTTTTCTTTCGTTCACGGTACAACGGATAATGAGCCAACAACTACGCGTATACCGGAAATGTCCAGTGCGCGCGTAAATGATTTCTGCCGATAATACCATAACATTTATGTATTAAGAACGGCAAGAATTATTCAAGCGCGCAGGCTCTGTGTACATATTACGAATTTCTCGAATAAACTAAATCAACGGAAGTTCGATCGGGACTGATTAACTCGATCGATGTGGTATAATATTGTCGCGTAATCGATACATTTTTTTGACCCCTGTACACACAGCAGATGCACACAGGCATATGTATACATATAGGTATACACACTTTATCGACTATACACAACGTAACACTGAGTTTCCATTGTCTTCCAGTCAACAACACGATTTTACGCGTATCCAAATATGTCCTGACCGGCACATACGGCGAGTTTTAAATTACCAACTTAATGGTACGGTGACTTAATAACACCAGAGCACATGCATGGATAGTAGACACGGTGCTACATCCGTCGTGCAACATATCACGAGTTTCATAGAAACGGCAACTTCAGTTCATACACACATGATCAAATAATAGTAGTTAGTTCATTTACGATTGCTATTAAAAAAAACGTTTCAGCGCTTATGTGTACTTGTTTTTATTCTAGAATCTAGAAAAACAAGTTGATTACGCGAGTCTCGGATATTCTGTCGTATCTATAAGAACGAGATAATTCGTGCGTTCGACACGGTCACACAATAATAATTTCTATCGACGCCATGAAAAAAAAATTAAATTCTAATAATGGTTCTCAATGATAAATTGAACGCGTCGATAGACTAATATGTAGACTCCTGTGGCAAACTCTATGGTCGCAATCGTTTGCCGAGACATAGCCGTATGGCCAAATTGGAAACAATTAAATCCGAGAAGCGGTGGTGTGACCGCGACCAATCGGCTGTCAGATGATTTACGAACCATGATCACCATGGCTTTAAGTTATGTTGTGTTTATACGTTATACGTTAGAAGTTTCTTTCGGTGATATATCACGCGAAAACAAGCAATACGTAACATTTGATGCGTGTAATTAAAGGTCAAACACCGTGTGTTCGTAATGAATTCAGAACTAAACTATGAACGAAACAGCAGAATTAAGTCAAACTAGATTCCAACTTTCTTTTAGTATAAATAACATTTTTTTTTTTAAAGATCATTTATTTCTTGATTATTTACATACATATAAGTTTCTACGGAAATGCCATGGTCTTACTGGCTATAAGTTCTTTGGAAGACAGACTCTTCCTTTAAGACGACACACAAAACGACGTCTAACGCGAAAACAGGAACAGCATTGTTTACTCGACCTCTTTTTTATTGATCGACGTGCCTACTCCATTCACTTCTGAGATAATCTCATTGATAACGAAATATGTATTTTCGTACAAGAAGAGGGAAGAGGTCCATTAAGGGGAGGTACCATCTACAGACTGTTGTCTGCGCAAACCGATCACAATGGTGACCCAGATCCCCAATTTTCTTAAGTCCAATTAGTTTCGAATTGGTAAATCGTGAATTGGTTCGAAAACGGGCGAGACAAGCGCAAATATCGAGTGTTCTCTGAAGGGAATGACAGTGATCAAGTGACTCATTACGAGGATGACTAAGATACTTTTCAATACATAACTGAGAAACCGTATGATCGTTCGGTAACGGGAAAATCGAATATTCATGAAAGCAACGTTGAAGATGTTCGGCAGAATATTCGAAAGTCTACTCCGTGGCGTATTCTTTTCACGGATGGAATTCCCCCCGATGAACCTACATTTTTCTCTTATTTTTATGATAATTTTTCTTTCTAACAGCACAAAGGGATGCCATCAAAATGGGCTTGGATAATTTTTAATCTCATGATTTGCGCGACCGCGTCGCTGGAAAATGACTCAGTCAAGGCTTTCTTGGATTTAACTGAGTTCGATTACGAGGATACTTGTTCGAATACGGCTGAAGCCGAATGGTCGTTCATTAATTCTCCGTCCAATGAAACGCTGTCCATATGGGTAAATTTCAGACCAATATAAAACATATTCATGTTTATTATACGGGAATGTCTCACTTAACTTTTTTGCTTAAAATATTTCCTTTTTTTTTTAATCTCTACCGAAGAACGGATCATGTAAAGCTTCGTATACGTATGACCTTCATTGACTGTAGATTATCATGCTTCGGTATCTAGTATCAAATATTATCAAAGGGAGTATTACAAATCATGAAGTTACGCGGAACAGCCTATACATGTATGTATGTATATGTGTCTAATATTTTTGTAATTCTAACTATTTCTTCTTGCTTTTCAGGAAGAGAAATTAATTAGTTTTGCTACTTTCAAGAGTATACAAAGAAACGAAGTTATTAATATTTCCAGGAATGTTATAGGTGATCCATCTTTACAGTACAAGTATGAGATTGCTGAGAAAGCAGGTGATGCTCTACTGAAGAGCGACGATTTTAAAACAGTAAGCAGTATTTAAATGAATTTAGTGTTAAAGAACATATGTTAGTATATATATATGTCAAATAATTTTACATTTGCAGCTTGTCCACTTTGCTGCGACAACAGAGTTTCAAAGATTATCTATTGTGCATAGAGGAGTCTTAAATAACCACACACGTAAAGGTATTAAATCGAATTAATTAATGGAAGGAAACATATGTGAAATACTAAAACAATATTGTTACTTTTAGATGTGGAACGTGTATTGGCTCTTAACAACAATGTTGAGAAGAAGAACAATGTTTGGACAGCTTGGCATAAAGAATTAGTTCCACTAGCTACAAATTTCTCAATTGTCCTCCCACTTGTTGAAGAAGCTGCCAAAGAAAATGGTTGGTACTTGAAAAAAAACAACGAATAATTGAAACTTATGTATACATACAGGAAAACATTATTATTATTATTATTATTATTATTATTATTATTATTATTATTATTATTATTGTTTCAGATGCCAAAGATGTTACACAATACTGGGAATTATTAAGTGGATACACAGATGGTTATGAAAAAGTCAAATACGAATGGAGTAAAATTACTAATCTTCACAAAAAAGTATTGAAATATGTAATGAACAACTTGTCTCGCAAATACAATATTGATATGAATGAAACAATCCCAGCTTATTTACTTGGTAAGTCAACACTCTAATGTAGCTAAATGTATGCAGCAGTTATCTCCATTATAGTCTTTTGTGAATAGGATCACTACAAGGAAGTGATTGGACTCCTCTATCGGTAGACACATCACCTTATCCAGACTTAATGTATAACATAAAAAAGAATCTTTGGAGAAGGGTAAGTAGCGATTATTCTAATAATACATAAAAGTGAGCTATATTATCAATTAAGTATCGTTTTAGAAACTCTTGGGAAGGTCGTTGTATAAAACTGCCTCGGTTATGGGCACACAGTTGTTACACCAAGTTCCAGAAGCTGATTTTTGGAATAAAAGCAATTTCAATCAGCAGTGTCCATCTAAAATAATTAATTTCTGCGACGATGGTATTATGAGGTATGTACTTCACGGTTGAGCAGCTGAAAGAGTTCTCTAAATGAGTTTGGTCTACTTATAGTAACCATTTCATGTATGTAAATTTAAGCATTATTATCATTACAGAGTATCTACTTGTTATGAACCCACATTGAGCAACTTTCTCTCTGCCCATAAAAATGTAGGAATTGTATTCAATCAAATGACTTTGGAGGCTAATCCAGTACTTAATATAGCTAATCGTTATTCTGGTGGGAAAAAATATGTTAAAATGTATTGCATATGCTCCAGTGAAGAAGAATTCATTACGATCAATAGTTTTCTTCTTTTTCAGCCTTGGAAGATGGTGTATCGGAACTATTTAGCATTCTGGCAGCCAGTCCTGCTTGGTTAAACTACACCCGTGTTACGGATAATTCTACTGATAATCAACAACATTTAATGGTGTCGCTAATGATTACCGCGTTGAACGTATTACCCCGACTGGCTTATTATATGTCTGCAGACATGTGGAGAATTAATGCTATTGAAACAGGCAGTACAAAGACCGAGGATTTAATATCATCTTGGTGGAAATACAGGTATTAGGTTGCTACCTATTAATGTTATATATTCACGAGTAGCTTTCGCTGAATGTTAATTCGAAGTTTTTTTTTTTTTTTTTTTTTTTTTTTTTTAAGGCAAGAATACGAAGGTATTGATGCTAACGGCACTGAAATTCCCACGTTTTTAAATGACGATTACATCACCAGTAATAAACCGTACCTTCCGTAAGTAGCAATAATGACAATACGACTCCGATATTATACTGCGGTATGAATACATAAGTACAATTTTTACAGTAAATTAACTGGCACACTTCTCGCCTTCCAATTCTACCAACATCTAATGGAGTCCACGGAAGTCAGATACGACTCAATAATAGGAAAACAAATGAAGGCTGAATTCATGTGAGTATCGAATTGCAACTTATTCACAATTATCGAAAGCGCAAAGAAGTTACAAAATTGATTTTATCCATCAACAGAAAGATGATACAACATGGAGGTGCCGACGATTGGTCAAGAGTAATCAACAAGTACCTAGAAATAGATGAAATCACCTCTGATCCACTTCTGTCGTTCTTCGCTCCTCTAGAAGATTACGTAGACGAACTAGAAGAAGATTTTCCATACAAGGCAGTCATTGCCAAGGAATCAGAGCTCGAAGAATTAGAGAAGAAGATCTTTGAAGAAGTTAATGCTCCTACAACGATCACAGTAACCACCACATCAACTACCACTCCAAAAAGTGTAGTTAGCCGACAGAAAGTGACTATCAAGATGCCTGAAAATAAACAAAATAACGGAAGGAGTGACATGAACGCCGTATCCGGTAGCACTAAGAACCTAGAGTCTAAATCGTCCGTACACGTGGCAGAGGAAAAACCAGATACCCATAAAGTGTTAGCGCCAGAATCGTCAACTAAAGTTCCTCCTGTTGAGTCATTATACGATAACGATGACGCTGAACAAGACCAGAAACCAAAGATAAGTACTAGTAAAGCAGTTTGGGCGGTAGGAGCGGTGCTCCTTGCGACAATAGTGATTTGTATAATAGCGATCTTCGGCCGGCAAAGATGTCGTAAAACGCCAAAAAATAGACGATACGTATAACAGTGTATACCACCACACCCAACCATCGAGGAAGTATATTTATTCTTGCATTTAGGTCGTAAGGATTTCTACCCCCGAATACGTTATTAATTGTCACAAAAGCCCATTGTCAACATAGAAAGACATTTACTAATTCGCAATATTAGATATTGTGTACATTCCTTACGTTGCTCGTTGGAAAAACCAAACTATGGAGGCTATTTTCTCATCAAAGTTTGTCTGACGAGCAGTACACGAATGTCAATGAAGAGAATTAGATGTTGAATACAAGAGACATGGAAAGTATTAATCATTTGTTATTTTTTTCTCATTGAGGAAAAGTTATTCAACTTAAACCGCATCATGTGTGTATGTCTATTTAACCCTGGATATACATGTCTTTTTCTTTACATCCTGGAGTCTAGTGGACACGATTGTTTCATTCACAAAAAAAAAATATATATATATGTATATATGTATGTATGTATCATCATATTTTCATATATTGGTTTTAATTAATGGATATCTGTGATATCCGTTCCAAAATACGTGCAAACGTTTGTACCCCTAAAGTTTGACTTGTACATTCTATCAGATCAGAGAGGACCCCATATTGTACTTCCAGGGTTAATACAGTTTCAGAACAAAATTTATATCTTCTTTTTTCGTTACTGTATACAATACCGAATGATGCACGAATAGAAGACCGAGTGTACTATGAAAGGATTATCGCAACATGTATGCCAAGTAAAACAGTAGTTCCTCTAACAAGTATGCCAAACCATAAGAAATGGTCCTGACGAAATTCACAAAATGAAATGTGTGTATTGCCCTCTATTTTTCTATAGAACCGTTAGCAATATCGCGACTATAGCGTAGAGTCAATTCTCTGAATAAGGTCTGTACATAATCGTCCGTGTAATTGTAGAAGCGAAGTAGCAGCGGAACGCAGAAGTGCACAGAAATCCTGTACCATCTAATATATTACATAGGTCAGCGGAATGTGTAACATAAATGTATTTTTTCACCATTGTCGCATACGTGTGTGCATCGTTTACAAACGGATTGTATGGAAGATTTATATTTTTTATAAAAGTATTTATTTTGTACCTAACAAATACGAGCCAATAAAAATGTTGTTCCGGTACAAAATGTCAAATTACGGATTGCATAAATTCAGATAAATCCGATTTCTTAGGGGTATTTTAATCGATTTTTACACAGATTAAAACGGAAGATAACATTTATCTGGTTAATACGATGCCGTTACGTTGAGAACCACTGACTCCTCGTCGCCAACTCACGACATGCAAATACATGCATACAGTGACTCAGGCATTTCGAAATACATACTAAGTAAGTGCAAGCAAGAATGATTAACCGATTTCTATTTGCTTGTACTCAATATTTAAATATGTTTTTCAATTTCAATATAAAATTTGCAAGATAGTAACGGTATTCCGTTAAATTTCAATTTGATTTGGTAATTCACGCGAACGGGAGCATGCATAAGGTAAACTGTTACCTTATGTGAAATCTTTGAAACAAAGAAATCGAACGTAAATGATCCAATAATAATTGATACAGAAAACCAATAATAAAAAGTATATTAATAATTTATTACTTACCTTCGCCTGTTTGCTGGAAAGTGGAGGACTGCCTCGACATGCGGTGACGAATACGAGATTCTCGGTTTAAAGTTCAGAACCTCGAAGTCTTCATTTTGTTATGATGAATATTGAACGTCCTTACGATCTTCTTCGACATTTGAACACTCGCTCACATAATCTGAACAGTTTTAACACGAAACATTTATATTTTACACTACTTGTCAAGACTCACGTACTGATTCAAACGAGAAATTCCAACGAACTAATTTCAAACTTGCCTGTGAAACCTAATAGGTCCACCAATTCAAAAATACTACGCGCTGATTGGTCCACATGCAAACAACATCAAGCGTAATAACGAAATATATTCTCTTGAACAAAATAACAATATAATTGAAAGAATTTTCAATAAATCGATTCAATATTTACTATATAGATACTAAATTAATTTATTGTTATTATAGAAACTATAAAATACTTGGTTTATAATACCATCGGGTAATTCCGTATGTTTTGACTCTATTGTAGATTTAGAGAAGAAAAGGGCGGTATTTTCAAATCCCTTCTTTACGCTCAATGAACGGTAAGAGTTTCTATACTTTTAAAATTACTTAAGAATTCTGTAAGAAAGATGAATTACATGTTTTCATACTCCTGTAAGTAAATACAAAGTATAAAACACGACAAAGCATATAAGTCTGGGACAAAAGTGTATCGAAATCCTTATTATTCCATTTTTCATAAAATAGCCTAGAAAGATCTAAATTCGCCCAAACATCCCCAGATTATGTGTCATTCTACCATTCATCGTCAAGCAATCTTTCGAACGAATTTCCAAGGTAGGCGAATGCATTATCATTAAAAAATATTCATCTCGATCGCCCATACAGTTCTGCAGTCGTAATTCCAAGCGTAGGGTGCCGGTCATGCGAAGAAGTAACTACATACATAACAACCATATTCCGTCGACGGCTATCAAAGGCGCAGAAAATCAATATAAGGCGCCGTCGGTTCGTAATCGTAGCCCCACGATCGTCACGCATTCTGCACCAGAAAAGAGAATCGTATTCGCGTGTCTAAAGAATTCGTTTAATCGTTATCGTTCGACGATTACTCATGCACGTGTGATCCCATTGGCGGAGAGGAAATACACGCAGGGTGGGCAAGAAGAAGACAGAGGAATACAACCAGGAAATGTTTGGTGAACCCGCGTAGAGAAAGGGAAAATCGTGGATCAGTCGTTCGATCATCGACGGCCAGTGAGGGTGGTCGGGACATGCGCGCGCGCGTCTCTCCCTGGGAAGAAAGAAAACGTTAAGGGGATGTCCGGATCGCCGACAGTTCCTTATCGTTGGGGCCTTCGCATGGACTCCGAACCCGAGGATACTTGGGGCGTCGGTGCTTGAAATTGCGCGTGCGAAGGGATATACGGAGCAGCCCTCAACCGAACACATCACCAAGGAATCATCATCATCATCATCATCATCCCCCTTTTCTTTTCTACGGTGTGTGCACAACGACGACACAACAGTCGAATCGAGAGCATGCGCGTCCGCCGCCGCTAGCTAGGACACACACGTATACAGGGGGTTGTTGCAGAGCCAGGGAGGGGCTCTGTCTCTCTCTTCGCCCGTAGTGACTCAGAATATGCATTTGACCCGAGGTGGTGGTGGTGGTGTACATCCCTTTTCCGTGTAATTTTTAACGTCGAAAAAGTGGCGATGCTCGTAACGATACATTGTACAGTGTGTTATTACCGGGATATATACAGCGCAGCGATGCCATAATTCGCGGGGAGTGTGTCGTGTGTTACGTGGATCGACTGTCAGCTGTCCCTTCACCATGAACGTGAGTGGTACTTGCGGTATACATACATACACCGTCTCCTAATATCGACTCGTTTTCTCTCTAGGCTAGGCACCTAGCCCGTGCGCGTGGGCGTTTCTCTATTCTAACGTGTGTGTATTAACGTAATCACCAGCGGGCTGGAATGCGGTATCGTTATCTCGCGCGGAGGAAAACAGGATCGCCGCGGATATACATAGTTTCTTTTAACTTCTGTACCATTTATATTCCCTTTAATTCTGTGTACCCCCTCTCCTTGGAGGCATCAGTCGAACCTAATACGTCATTGACCTCTGTCCATATCGTGTAAAATCGATGCGAAGGTTACGTCCGATTCGAAGGAGCTACGTGGTTTCTATCGTGTTCGTTCGTTCTTAGAATATTCCCGGTCCAGATTTTGTTAGAAAACATTTCAATGCTTTATTAGATTTTCTGTAAAAATGTCATTCGTATACTAAAAGAATAGGTTCATCGGACCACTGGTACACGCTATTTAATTGGTAAACTAAAGGGAGCCCGATAATGATCGATTCAAGAAGTTCCGCGACCGGAAGATAAGTGTACCAAGAAATACATGTATACGATTCATCTTTCTCTGTTCAATGAACGGTCGGACTCTTATTAGGATCCAGTGACCTTGTTCGTCGAAGGCAAACTCGAAAGGGGTTTTGTTTGTCGAGAATCGCTCTCCGGTTGTAGTTCTGTCGAGGTAATTAGGATTCCCGTCGCCTTTGGTCGCCTTGCTTAGATTTATATGGGTATACTCGCGGTGAGGAAAAAAAAAAAAGAAGAAAGAACGGAACAAAGCCATGTGGGCCGTATAAAGAAACGTGTTTCGGAATTGCAAAACGGAGGATCGAGAGGCCGGGCGGGCGGGCACATATCCGAAGAAGTTTTATCGCGGTCGTGTTCTCCCAAGCGACGAATTCTCGACACCGCGATTACGTTTTATACAAATGGAGGAAAAATATGTATATACAATATCTTGGATATTATTTTATACTGTACCGCTATACACGTGTACCGATAAGATTATCAGCGTTCAAGTTTTCATTGTATAATCTTCACACATTTAATTATAAATTTCTTTATTGTTTCTGCTATACATTCCAATTAATTCCGTTAAGATTTGTCGTTGCATTGCACATTAATCACAACCGAGTTATCGTGTGTGTTTTGAACTAGCCGTGTGTTAAATTTCAAACGTTATTGGAGCATTAGAAACATGTTTTAGAGCTCGACGATCCCATGGGCCATGGGCCATGGCCAGTCGTTCCTCTCACGTTCAACCCATGTAAAATTCCAACATTGTTTTGCTTACGCCCGTATGATAGTGGGGAACGAGAGGCATTTTCCCCTTAACGATATTTATCTTAGCTCTCGACTCTCGAGAAGAAATGCACCAACAATCTTTCGGAGATACTTACTCCTTCGCCGCCACTTGTGTACGTTTAAAAATAGCGTCGCGTTTTATAACGTGTGTGAACCACGACGAAACAGCTTTGGGAATGTGAATTTTCGTCCCTCTGAATATCCCGAAACTAGGGAAAAAAATTTCAAATATATTTTGAGAAAAAGTTATTTTCGCATTCTCTCCGGCTTCTTGCATTTTCATTGAAATATCAAGGGTAAAATTATGTCACTAAACTTTACGGTATAATAATTTACAATGTATACTGATATAAAATAGTAGAGAGAATCATTTGTACTTTGTTTCTTTTAGTGTTAAGAACACGAATAGATTTTTCCGAGCAACTTGAATTAATAATCTGTTAATATTTTTCAGACCTTGGCGACAGATATTGTCTGCGGCAACGGGGAACGTGTTGGTGAGTTCGGTTGCGCATACATTTTCCTGATTTATACTTCTCAAGACCTATTTTACAATGCAGATCAATCTTCTAAGTCAAAGCGAGATCTTTTTTTCATAGTACTTTGTATCTAAGTATGTAGAATACTTGTTTTAGCCAATTTTTTTGCCCAACACATGTTTCTTCTTTGTTGTTTTTCCTCTTGATTTCAACTGCATGAGGTGTGCTTTGTGTAACCGCGACTGATTTATGGTTCACCCAGTATATTAGTGTTCATTGCTCGTTAAACAACTCGAGAGAAGAGTACCTAAAGTGGATATTTCTGTAGCGTTAATTCCTAGAGGGACGTCGATTTTTCGGTATGTTATTGCGCGCCGCTGGTAATACTAGGTATTCCGTGGCAACTGCATTGTGATTCTCTAGGATATTCTTTGTCCTTGTCCGGTGTCATTTACCGAACACTGTATAAAAGAAAACCGTATACCTAATGCGATTGTAGCAAACGGGATTATTTCAGCGTACCGCTTCTTTCTACCCATTCCTACAATTCCCATTGCCCGAATCAATTTCACATTGATTTTCCTATTGTGTTTTGCTACGTACTGGCACTATAGTTACATCATAATTGAGGTGTTCGTGACTAAAACAACATTCAATAGAAGATCAAAAATTGAATTTTATATCATAGCCTGTTTTATATCATTCCTGATAATGCCTACAATGCAGGGAAATTCGAACTTTTTAGCATACATTTCTGTTATAAATTCTTGAGTTTCACGAGACTTGCCGGCAGTTCATGTTACGTATCAGCCTTGTTTAGAGGTCTACGCCGTTGTTGTAACACTTAAACAACCGGTATGAACTGCACCTGTTTAAACTTTATTTTTCATTTGGGGGTTAAGTTCGCAGTCAAGCTGTTACTCTGCGTATGAAACTTAAACTTCCATCGACCCTGAAATATTTCGTCTGAAAAAAAAGTAATTGTTAAATGTCACAATAAAATGCAACGAAAATCGTACGGGCATCCCCCGATCGTTCAATGATTCATCGTGAAAGTGACAAATCTATGTGGTCACTTGAGAATCATCTTGCATCCGGTGCTTCAGAACAATTAAACCGTACCCTCGCCCCTCGAACGATAGAACTGCACCTTGTCCAAAAATCTTTCTTCTCTGTCTATGCAAGTGAGTAACGTCATTAGACTATTTTTAACGGTTGATACGAGAATCGATTTCTCGGAGCGCAAGTTGCAGCGATGCCTCGAATTTCAAATCGAAAGTCCCACCGTGATTACCGAGTGTACCCGAGTGACCGAGTTTCGGCCCGAGTAACGAATGAAAAATGAAAGAGAAATATCTGTCCAACAGGTAATGCAATAATTACCAACAGAGATCTGTAGCTGGATATCAAGTTAAACAATAATTCGATTACCAGTCGGTGCAACGATGTAAAGGTTAAAGGTTCGTAACTCGTAACACGGAGTTGCCGTACGATCATGGTCATCGGGGTGTTTTGGGGTTAGTGTTGCTTCCGGTTTTTAATCGCAATGCGTTCAATCGTGAGACAAACGATAAATCGATTGAAGGTAACACGACGAGATCTTTGTTATGAAACATCTCGCGTGTACATTCAATGAGCCGACAGAATAGAGCTACTGCTCTCTATTCTGGCCGAGGCAGAGCGAGTATTTATTAATAGAGATTAAACTCCGCGTCGTGTCGTGCCGTGTGCAAACGCTCTCCCGCGCAGGACGTGTGCTGTTAGGGCAGTCTGAGTCAGACTGCGCTCCAGAAACTGATTCCGCCAAAATAAACGTGGAAAAATATTGCGCGTACCTATCGGTTAACGTGCCTATAATCGTTCCACGAATTAGCCTATCTAACTACGGCGCTTCGATAGGCTCGCGTGGATGTGTCGAGTGTCGTATTGAGTGGTTATACAGATCAAAGTCATCACATCGATGTAATAATCGTGATTCGTTTCAGCGAACACGAACGCCAATTCGGGAGTGACGAGCCTCGAGAACATCCGGCTGAACCTCGATGTCATTTTCGTGCTCATGTGTGTTGTTGTTTGTGTACGTTCTCTCGCTGGAACCTTCCTCCTTTGTGAAGAACTATACAGGTTCGCCCCCTTTACGATCGATCGATCCTATTTTTTTGCTTCATGTGTGTTCACTCATGTGGGGGAAATGTTTGTCGCGTTTTTGAATGCCACTCGATATATTCGACCGCGTTCATTTACTGGCCCCAGGAGGAATTAATTCCGATTCAACGACTCGTTACGTACACACACATCCTTTATATTGCAACGATAGGCTCGTGTTCGAATATTCCCTCACATACTTATTCTAATGAGCTTCTGCTGGGCATTGTTTACTATGACACGGGTGAAATTAATCGCTTGACCTTATGAATTTATATGATAGACTATCGATGGAGCATTTGTTGGGGCGGGGAGAGGGTTCTTTTTATCTAAAGCGTCATGAAAAGTGGGTCACTTTCATGATTTTTTTTTACACTTTCGAGGAAAGTACCTACCTATAGGCTAAAGGTTCTTAAAAAATTATGTTTGTATATATTCTATTTAACGAGTCTTCACAACTTCTATTGTTGCCTTTTTCGACTTTAGGATTGCAGTCTACTGCCGTAGTAGATGTAATTTCTGTTTTCAAATGTTTTCAAGTGACCGATGACCTTTTAACTCTGATACGGTTGTTAATACAATTACGTTGATTCTGAGAAACATTCTTGATTATCGCTGCTTTGTGTCCTCGGTATATATTGAGTTTCCCGAATTACCCACAGACTTGATTAACGCAATTATCGACCGTCATATGACTAAATGTTCCAATAGTTTTTATCGTCTGGCCCGTATACGCGAACACATTAATCGGTCCGTCGAACCCTCGTTATCTTAACGTTCGATTAATTCGAAACAATTACCCTCGCCACTTGTTGCAATTTAGGCGGTTGAGCGCGCAGTCTGCTGACGTAACGCACTATTATTACTATTTTGCCGGCGCCGAAAATCGCGTTTCAAAAATATCCCTCATTCCCATCAATCCACACCGCGTACAATACTTTGGATTTAACCGGCACCGCCGAGCACGATTTCCGTGCAATTTCTGAATCATACCGATAAACCCTGACTCATCGAAGTCGTGTTGAACGATTTAAAGGTGTAAAATCTGAAAAAATTCTTGTTCCTAAAAACACGGGGAATCTAATAGTTTACTTTCAGGGGACAGTTGCTAGGAATAAACGGAAGTTCTTTCCAATTTCTGAAAGACAAAACCAACGCATGCATTTTCTACGACGACCGGATAGAGGTCGGTAGAGCGGTTAATAGGTTAAAAACCATCTGGTTCTACGTGTGATCTGTGAGCAGCTAGGCGCGCGACGACGCTTCTCCGGTCGGTGAAGAGTGAAAACCGTGGGTGCAGTCGTCGCGATTCTGGGTCCTCATTGTCGGAGGCGTAAACCGTGAATGCGACGAAGTACCACCGCTCTGTGTTGTAAACAAAGGGATCTTTGAAAGGTGTCATCGGCTGGAGTACAGGAGCGGAGTGATCAACGACGGGTGGTGTGGTGTTTCACGTGTTTCCACCGTTCGTCAAAAGTGTAAACGTCTTTTATGTTGGAGAGTGTGTCGGGAGGAGAGAGAGAGAGAGAGAGAGACGACGACGACGACGACGACGACGACGACGACGACGACGAGAGTGTATCTACCGCGGGAACTCCTCGGTTCCGTGATGTAACTTTTGAAGTGATAAATGTACTCGGGCCGACTTGAATAATGAAAAGTGAACATTTTTAAAACAATGGACGAGCAAAAGATTCGTTGTTGTCGCGTTCAGACAATTGGTAAACTCTCCTAATGATTTCTTCGTATTCTTCTTCGTTTCCATAAACTGTGCAAGTTAATTGTTGAAAAGGGACTGTTGTTGTTGTTGTCGGTACTAGCTGATTGTTATCCGCCGTGAAAGCGTTACTACATACTATGTTGTAACGTGATCGGATAACGTAACGTTGAACATTTGAGAAATGATGATAGTGCTTTTGTTGTGTGTCATCATGAAAATAGCTGAATTCTCCGTGGGCCGGATGAGCCCGCCATTGGAAACGCCTGCACGACCGCCATTCTTTTACCGGGGCAAACGAAAGGGACAACAAGAAGGGAAATATTATCGGATGCCCGGCCGCAAATGCAATTGCTTCGTGTACAATCGTAAGGATATACAAAATGTATACTTTGTAACCGTGGGTATTGCCCCTTAACATTCTGTCGTGGGCATGCAAAAACTAATCCCGAGCCTTTGAACGGGCTGTAAGTGTCGTAAGTGGCAGCCATCTATCAAATATCAAGCTCCAGAGAGAAAGAATCGGTCGGTAACTTGGTAAGCTAGATTACGGTAGTGCCAATCATCTGGAGTTAATTTAGCTTTATACATATATGTAGTTCGAAGCAAGCTTTTTCCCTTAAGCCTTGAGGTGTTCGAGGAAATTAGTCACTTTATTTTCTATTATTTTTTTGTTTTTCTTTTTGTGTAGTATACATATAGAAAGAGAGAGAAGGCCAGAAGATCCATAGATTATGGTGGAATGTGGATTGACGATTTAAATTAGTTTCTGTCAGTCTTACGACTTTACAAATGCAACGTGTTGAAACACGTAATATCCCCTTCTAATTCGGTTTAATTCTGTACAGATAGTTTGCGTTGTTATATGTATACGACTTTTAGCTTGATTTTACGTGTTATTTCGAACAACACGAAAGGCGGACACATTTGTCAGTGTCAAGCTGTAGGCGGCGAAGCAGTCCTCTGAATATTTGACTAAAGGAGGAAGAATTTATCGTGAACTCAGATAATTCAATTGATAAAGGCAGCTGATCCGTGAACAGACGGTTTCAGATTCCTTGAGCGGAATCCCTCTGGCCTAGGTTTTTTTTCCTTTGTACCTCGCCGTCTATTTTTCTCAATTCTACTACGTAACGTGAAACATCACCGAAGCCTGATGTTTCAGCACTATTTTTGCAATTGCCAGTATATACTGTTTCGTGTTCATGGATGTGCCTGATGATTGCTAATAAACGTGTTGTTAGCGGACGTTACATAGGTGTAGTTAGCGAGCTAATAAAAACGCACCCAAATATACGTCTTTGTAACCGATTGAACATTTTTACGTCACTCGTGGCGTGTACTGTCTACAACCCCTTAACCCGGGTAGAAAGTGATCTACGGTTTCCCCAAGATCGTTTCCAAGGTTTCACCCCTCGGTTGGGGACGAAAAAACTCGGTTTCCTAATTTAAAAGACTCCTCTTCCGTAGTTATGCGTGACGAAGAACGAGGTGCCTTACTATTTCGGGTAGCAACTCCGTGGGAGTGTTCTACACGTTCATACTGAAGAGAAGATGCTCGACATCTGCTCTACCACTTAAATACCCGGTATGGACAAGCAATTTACCGTGTATCTTGCTCGTATCGTCTAAACTCTAAAACACAAAAGAATATTAACCTCGTCTCGAGAATTAAATACTACCACAAAATATACCGTACGAACGCATAATCGGCTGTATACATATAGTTTAGTATATTATCTTCGCAAGAGAGAAAAAAACGTGTCCGTGAAGACATCAACGTCTCCCTAATAAAAGGCTGATCGTTTAACTTGTCTGTGGCCAGAAAATCGCGAAGCGTAAACGCGAGCCAGCAAAACGAACCGGTTCCGTTGGCAAAAGTGTTCCTCGGATTATATTTCGCCCGCCACCTCCGGTTGTGCAAAATTTTCGTCGAGTCGCTGAAATTTGGCTCTTCAATTTCATCCCCGTTCTCCCCAGCAAGCTACTCCCCTTGGACGGCACTTCTAAAATTATCCCCGTTGCCCTCGACACTGCGAGGAGGCGAGAGACCAACATCGAACGATTTTTCCACCGGCGAGTAAAACCCAAAGAGCCATTAATATTTGAGACCGTCGAGAGCGTGTGGAACAGCTTCCGTCAAATTGTGGCTTGTAATGCGAGTCACGTTAACTTTCCCCCCGACTTCGAGACACCGCGCCCGGAACTAACGGAAATAAAAGTTTTAACAACCGTAGGTTTACCATGTGTAGACGGCGAACAGTCGACGATGCCAAGTTCATGGTTCCGCCAAAGTATTTTCATATATCACTTTCCACGGTTAATAAGAGTCTGTCTAGAATTTCACTTTTTATTTTTTGTGAAAACTAGAGACACCATGCTATCGATCATTTCTGTAAGTAATGGCACAGAATTCTTCTATTTTGTAAGGGCAATTGTGGCAGGAAAGCCATCAGTAGCACATGCTGTCCGCAAGACATCAATTAGGATAGCCACAGGTGGGACGTGCTGTCTGTACTAGTCTGTAGACGCCTTGATTAATCGTACTACATAGGAAGGATGGTTACGCTGTTCTGAATGTAATTGTTTGATTTGTACAGTCGCCTGTAAACGATTTTCCTCTCTAGTAATTTCCCCCCTCCAGTTTACCCGCAGATTCCATGCGTTCCATGATTGATTCGACATTGAAAATGAAAGTTGCGTTGTAGGTATATTTTAGTAGAGGTATTACTTTAAATATAAAAGATAGAATGCCCTTATTAAAGATGTGTGTGTGTGTGTGTGTGTGTGTGTGTGTATAAACGACAGATACTATATATTTGTCCAGCACGTCGTATCGTAACCTTAATTCAAGCATGTTGTATCCGATTTCCTTTTGCCCACCCTTTTCGCCGGATCGGTAATGCTCATGCGCCGCCTGAACAACCGTGCACCGTGCACCATAGGCGCAGAGTTAAAATGAATTTCTAACTATGAACGACAGTCGGGTTGTTGCCATATGGTCGCGGGTATGAGTGTTTTCGGTGAGCATTTATCGAGCGTAAATATTTTCCGTAGAACTGGATTCCCAGCAACCGTGGCGAGATGAGGTGGAAAAGGATCTTCCGAGGTACGACTTTGAACTTAATCCGAAAATAGTTCCCTGTTTATTTCACATAAAATATATCTCATTCTATCGGAAGGAATTCGGTAGATAATAAACATTATCAGAAAATACATTTAAGCATCTTCGTAACAATTTGTCATGTCACATTCACTGTTAACAATGAACGATCCACATATGAGTTGTGTAGAACCGTATCGCATCTCTGTAAGCGGATCAAGCGTATAGAATAAAATTGAAATCGTGAGAACGATTTCGTGACACGCCACGCGTTAAATACCACATGTTCCATTCGGATGTTTTCGTCTTGTCCTCGGAATGACATATATATACATACTTATCTTCGATGGAATCATTTCGAGCGGCCTTCTTCAATCACGCATGGATCTATGTACATAGATCCGTTTAGATCTCTGAGTCACATGATGAATTCTTTTTTTTCTGTTTTTATAGAGATTCGAAGAAAGGTGGTTAAATAACTTCGTACATCCTTTGTTTGTTTTTCACGGCGTTGTTGACTGCCGCCCAATCTAAAATTAACATGTTTCGTTCGATCGATTAATTATTTATTACGTGACAACTAACCTTAAAACACGCCCTCTCGAGAGCGCCGCGATGACGCGCAGCCTTGATCATCCCCGATACGGAGCACGGGGCACGGGCGCACTCGCTCAAATGCGTCCGCCATAACCTTAGCCTGACGTCATTCACTGACAATTCTACTTTATCGTGAACATTCCACGGGTGCACGGAGAGGAGGAAAATACTGACATCCTTATCAGTGTGTCGTTGGTGGTTTTATCGGAACTAATTCGGTGACTTCTCCTCTCGCCGCAGAAATGTCATACGTCGTTTATTACGGCTTCGTTGCCACTGTGTGCGCGTTACATCGATAAAGAACGGTTGTCAGGTATACTTAGGTACAGAATTTTTCTACCTCCTCAATTTAGACGATCTACCGATTTCACGCTTGTTTCTCCATGTGATCCTTGTAATCTACATACTGCAGAGGTAGCTGAACCCCAGTTGTATAGGCATCTGTCATGAGCCACAACAGAGATGTAAACAATACAAATATGCTTGACCAAATCACCTAATTATTGACAGTTGAGACCCTCTTGGGTTACCATAGCATTTACTATGTTGCATTATCAGAAAGGAATACCATGTTTGAGAAACCTTGACATTGCTTTGTGTATGTGAGATATACATTGTTTCTTTATTTGATTTTTTATTGGAGACTATTCTTTTATTAGTGTTGTTTATTCATGTTGTCGCGTCTATTTTAGGTGCAGGCAAAGGGGCTGCAGTGATGGAAGATCCACAAACACCTGGATCTGATTGCAATTCCAATCCTGCCACAGATTCCATACAACATGACTTGATTGGTTCAGAATTTGTGCAGGATAATGTGGAATATCAGTGGTTCATTGATTATGGGTAAATTTACAGCATAACCGAATATATCTGGGTTTTTAATTGGTTTTTGAAGAATTCACATATTTATATATAAAATTTCAGCTACAGAGATGGAGGACTTCATATTCATCCTAGTGTATTATCCTCGCTCTCTGCTTCATATTCCCGGGAGGATTTGGGTTACTATGATGATCTTTCCCGTAATCTGGATGCTAACTTGGCTGAAATTGATATGGAAAGTTTTCGTACAGCAGACATTCATACTTTGCTTACAGCTTTGCCTGTAATGTGCACAGACCCAGTTCAGCATTCAGAGGTAAATATCAGGGGAGTAATTATATAAGCTGTTAATTTTATAACTTGTTATTATCGATGTTATGTTGCAAGTAAAATTGCATAATTTGATTCTTAGAAAAATGTTTTCTGTTATTCAAATTCGGACAGGTGGTTGTTTTAGAAAATATCTTATTTCGGTAGATAACATCTTATATCATATTTAAATTGTGAATGACAATTAATCGCTCCATTGTCATAAGAATATACATACGAGAATGGTTCTATTTCTTCCACACTTTCTGTAAATAGTTTGTTCTAAACATATTGTGTATTCCAATTTGGTGGCAGTTTAACTATCAAAGGGAACGATATGCCAGTATATCTGGATCTGTTATGGAAAAGCTTGACATCGGTTCATCTATCAGCCCTCATACTAGCAGCCAGGTATGACAATGGCTGAGAACATTAAACATCTTTTAGCTCGTGTCGACAATGAGAAAAAGTGATTTGAATTGACTTGAGTTTTGCTTATTATAAAGGTAAAATGCAGTTTGGTTGCAGTTCCTCTCTGCATGGCCAGTGAAAGAAATAAGTTTAAGCTGATTCGATTGTGTAACAAAGAAAACGTTGTTACATATTGTTCGACTAATAAAACGAATTATGCCATTTAACCAGTGCATGGAAATAAGCTGTGCTAGTTCTGCAAAGTGCATGAAAGATCGTGTATCGACATATAAAATATAATAATATAACGTGTCTTGATTTAAAGGGAGAAGATTCAGCCTGTTCAACGACAGACACAATCTCCATTTGCAAGTCGTCGTTGCTCTTTTCTCCCCTGAAAGAGACACCCGTACTACCACCAGGGGGTAGTTACAGCGTTGACTCTCTGGACTGCGAAGACATGTTACTAACATGCCAAGTGAACAACAAAGATAACTACACAATTGCCTTCGAGGGTAGTATCACAATGTATTCGGATGGCTCTCAAGATTTTGAAAATCAAGGTACAGATATAAACGATTTCCGATCTATAGTAGTAATAGCACACAAAAGTTATTTTCGTGTGTTTTTCACAGAGAAGCAGAAAAATTATGAAGCAACAGAAACATATTATAATAGGAACACGGACTTGAAAAATGTATTAGATTTATCAATGGCATGTTCTGATTCTAAAATTTATACCACATGGAGTAATTTAAAGCATTCTTCCATGAACAAAATCATGACTCGTCATCCATCAGGCAATAACAATACTATACCAGAATTTTTACAAGGTGTCGGCGGGAATATTTCTGGGACAAATAAAAGAAGTCAGAGTTTGCCGGACCTTACTAAGGCTACGCAATTACAGCACATTAATATACCTCTAAATTTTTCCGTAAGTCTTTTGTGACATTTTCCATTTCGATAAGCTAACGAAATGCAGTCTTTCTTAATTGAAACTATTTTTTTAATAGGTCGATTCTGCAGAATCAAATAATCATGTACAACAGTTACATAGTTCAGGATCCGTAATGAGCCGGTCTATAAATGAAGAAAGTTCAGATAGCGGAGAACATAATTCATCAGGGAAAAAGCTGCAGAACTTGAGTCTTGTGAAATTATTTATGAAACAAAAAAGTATGAGTGCAGAAGGAATGAGTCTTACTTTCGATCAGTCGGACTCTGTTAGCGATAATGGATGGCCTACAAGCAATAGCGCTAGTGATAGTGGTACTAATACAAATACAAATACCCAAATACAACGGCAAAATATAAATAATACCTCGAAATGTCAGGTACCGGGGGGCGATTTTTCTATCAATTGGGTTAAAGGTGATCTTCATAATAATAAAGAAGTAGAAAATCAGAAGGTCGTTTCTGATGACATTCCAAAGCATTCGTCCGTAATCGTCGATCACAAAAAAGATGATATGATGTCATCAGCATCTGTAGAAGAATTATCAGAAAGCATGTCGAGGTCGTCGGATTTGACGCATGACAATGATAATAATGTTCAGAACAGTTTTGACGTCATTCCTAACGCGTTCGATCATCAACGAAAATCAGCGTGTATTCGATCGTACGAAAAAAAGTATTCAATTTGTAAAACGACGGGCATTCAGGCGATAGCCGAAACAGAGGACAATGGAGTACAGACATCGTTAGTATTTACAACAGCCGTCGCCGCCGCTGCCGCCGCCGCCACTGCGGAGAAAGAGAAAAATCTACCTTTACGAGAAACAATTGTTAATAAGAAACCAGTATACGTTGTATATCCGAATTATGCGTTACCTGATTTATCGTTTCTCAATATCAAAGACACGAGGTTAGATAATGTAGCCTTAAAACCGCAGTGCTATGGTAAGAATAGGGTTAGCTGGAAACAGCGTACTGGTAGATCCGGTAGACCGTTTTCCTGTAACGACATAGATGCGTTGCGTCAACGTGGATTCTCGCATGTTAAAGATTGGGAGTCGTTGACATTCCTTCTGCCTGTCGAGTACAAGAAGATTTTGCACGACGTACCAGAAGTGTCGAGACACATCAACATCAACGAAGAGGTGAAGAAACCATTGTTCTGTCTGTCGCCCCCGATGCGTCATAAATCTCGACCTGTAAGCGAAATTATACCAAATAACTCATCATCTACAAGCAGCACCGCGACTCAACCATCTTCCGGGTACCGAGGTTCTTCCACGATATTAACAGATTCCTCGACGAACCAGCAAACGTCGAACAACGCGACTAATCCACTATATCTTTACCGTTACGATAGTATTAGTTCCGAGGCCAGTCTAATGAGTAACGAGAAAAAAGCGTACAAGCAGGTGATTAGTAAAACCAAGACTGCGGCGGCGGTCTGTCCGTCTCTTCCGAAACGATCTATCTCATTGCCACACGGAGATCGCGAGTCCGACGTTTCTAACGGGAAAGTGCCACCAAGACCACCTTTACCTAGAAGTATTTTAAGAAAAAACAAGGTTCCTGCGACCAAGAGGTACAGCATGTTCGAGATGGGCGATGTGGAAGAAATAGAGGATCAAACACCTGAGGCGAATAAGCGAATGTCGTTGCAAGAGCCATATTACATGAACAATGATCTGCAGCTGTTGTACCGTGGACGAATCATCGACTCGGAGAAAGACGTCGATGAGACGGAAGAGAGATACCACGAGAGGATAAATGATGTAACAAGCACGGGAGATATAGAGACTGAAACTTCAGAACACAGCGAGGACGATGTGAAACAGTTGGAGGACTATCTGAAACGTAGTGGTTTCTCTTCGCAGAGTAGCGATGGGGATACAGAGGATCCTGATGTTAAATTGAGATCGTATGTAAGAAAGTTTTTAGCTCTCAGAATGAACAAAGATGTTACCAAAACTACGGATATGTTAGAATCGCAGAAAAAGACTGTCAGTTTTGCTGTAAACCAAAGGAAAACGTATTTAGACAATAAGGTGGTAATATTGAGACTAGAGAATGATTCGCTTGGTAAGCTTGAATATTATATAAATTTTTCATTCATTTCAGACCAGTAACATAAATGCCGTTGCAAACGAGCAAACTAAAGATTGTGCATTTACGGAAGAGAGAAGGGATACAAGTCCTGAGAATAAACCGTTAGATTTAGACGAGAAGAGAAGTAAATATAAGTTTATTATTACATATGTTTCAAAGTAATTGTGTCGGCGAGATATTAAAATGTGTGAACGAACTTTCAGAAATGATATTATCCACGAATAAAGCGGTAGATTTATTGTTGAAATATTGGAACGGAGAATCTATTCATAGTAGACAGAGTTATGGTGATAAAAATGAGTGTGCTCAAATCTGTCTTAGTAATCTGTGTCCGGCATTATACGCCATTATGTCGGATGGTTTGAAACCACATTTAAATTCTACATTTGGACCAATAACGAATAGCGTTTGGCAGGTGGTAGAAGCGTCTTCGCAACAAGGGCCGGTTACTAAGACGTTGAACGAACTAGTACAAAAAATCAACGGCGAGGATATCATTACAGAAGGAATGTTGAAATTTCATGCATTTGTATTTGGTTTATTGAAGTAAGTTAACCGTGTTCGCGATGTGATATATGTATTTTTCATAAGTATATCCTATGATCAGATTCGCTGACGATTTTTCTTTATATTTTCAGTTTAAGAGCTTTAGACGCGTGGTTCGCATATCTATGTACAAGGGAATCAATCTTGAGGAAACACTACAATAATAATAGTTTATTCGTGAACGCTTTGGCCAATGCCAACGCACGAGAAGCCGTCGACGCTCTCCTCCACATACTGAATCCCCTTGCTTTTTGTCCATTTCAGTTAGATCTTCTGTATCAATATCGCCAGCTTCACAATAGTTTCGGAAACTTGAATAATCATAATATAAGTGTAAGTACCATCGTAAAAAAGTATCCAGTATTATCACGCCATCTACGATCAAGTACGATGAATCTAAAACAATAAGAACTACATACATACAATTCGACTGTTAAAATTTCTTTCACTGTGTTCGTTCAAGTCCTTGTCTAACAGAACCTATCGGAAGGCCTTTTATTGAAATTTTCGTATTACTGACTTAAAATCCAATTCTGTAGGCCGTAAACTTTCGGAATGTCGATGCTACCCCGAAGGAACAACATCATTTCGACAAGACAGACAGTTGTGCAATGGTTTCTAGTCCAAGGAAAGTACGGCCAAGATCCTGCATCGCTTACAGCAACTACGACGATAAATCTGGAACGCATAAGTCAGATATGGAAACCGTGAAGAAACGTTTGTGCAATCCAATCGGGTCAAAAGTATTTCGGGCTCTGGATAAATTGGCTTCCGAGGACTCTGAAGATTACACCGACAGTTTAGAACACTCGCCGTTGAACAGGGCGTCGAACAAGCATCGTCCTGTGACTCGTGTGAAATCTCATAGTCCAGTGAACAGAAGAAACGACGAAGACAACATGTCCGGAGAGGCAAAGTTCCGAAAGCTTCGGGAGAAATGGGAATTGATCGGCGGAAAGGAGGACGCAAAGAATCAGCCAGCCACGTCGTCGTCGTCGTCGTCGTCGTCGTCGTCGTCGTCGTCGTCGTCGTCGTCGTCACCTTTGTCGCCGACGCGGACACCGACCAGTTTAGGGAAATCAAAGATTCCTAGGCTTCTAACGTCACCGGTGAAACAGCCGAATACTACCGTGACAGGGCCAGCTAAGCATACAAAATCACCTGTCTCGGGGATTCCATCCTTGAAGAAACCGGTGATGCTACCGACGACGAAAACCACACCAAAAAAGCCTGTAGAATTAAGAAATAAAGAAACAACAAAGCGTACGAGCAGAGTGGATCAGGAAGCAGTGGGGACAACGCGAACGCATTTAACGCGTCCCAGTTCTCTGCCCTATAAATCCTATGGGGTAATGTCTAAAGACAAACACTTGGTGTCCCCGCAAAGACGAGCAGCGTCAACATCTTTACCACGACCAACTACTACAGCTGCTACCGCGAGAAATCCACCCGCAAAAAAACCTCTAAAGTAAGTTCAACGAAATTTTATTTTCTCTTTTATTAGATTATAGGTAGCGAACGTGTTAATTCTTTGTGTTTTTTTCTTTTCCTTTTCCAAGGGAAAGTGTATACTATTTAGAAAAATATTATTATATTTTATTATGCACCTGGCATCAATTAGCGAATTCTGCGAAATGCACTAGTATTATTTGCATGCAAAGCTGTAACTGATAGTTAAATATCATTTTTGTTTTTCGAATTTATCGATCTTGGTATGGGTTTATTTAGTTTCATGATTGTAATTTCAAGTTGTCCATAACCCCTTAGTAATATTACAGATGTTAAAGATGTTAAAAATGTGTGCCTTTTTTTTTTTCTTTTTCAGTTCATAGATTGCTTAACGTTTCGTTCGTTTTTCTGTTCTTCTTTTTTATAGATTAGTAAAATAACAGTTCGCCCGTCTCGGTTCCAGAGAGGTACGCACGATCACACAGAAAATTCCGTCAGATAATAAGATGCTTCTCGCGTTCGGGGAGGGCGAGAAGCTGAGAGTGATTCTAGAGGTAGATAGCAAATGGTTGTTATGCGCGAGAGGTGATCGAAAAGGTTTGGTTCCGCGAAGGTGTGTGTATAATATTCAGACTTAGCCCCGCACGTAATGTCGGCTTAAAAAATATACAGTATAAGGTGAAAAAGTTTCAAAGAGACTCGGAAACGTAACCACAAACAAGGATTAATATATATTCGACGAAGTGATGAAGAAGCAGTGTACAGTGTAACAAAGGAAAGGCATAAGAATTGTTTCTAAACTATCGCATAGTAATTGTTATTATCCATAATTGTTTGAATCGCTTGAATTTATATCGGAAAAATTGCAAATAGTATTGTATCACTCATAAAACATCATCAGAGAGTACGAAAGAAGAAACTAAATAGATATCGCTAGTCATAGGCTTTCAAACCAGATTATATTTAATTAAATTGAACATACACCTATTTATAACCAGAATGTACATATATATACAGTAAAAGTATATGATAATAATATGGATGATAAAGACGATAATGACATGTAATAACTTATGATTATTATGAATGTAACTGTGATCATAGTGTATAGGCGAGTAATTTTATTAACTGCGACCGTGCGGTGTAACGTTAAACTTTTTATTTTTACTGTTGTAACTTATATTATTTTTTAGTCATGATCGATTCCGTTGGTGTCGCACCGTTTTACGTTCAAGCGTCTCATTTTTAGTTTTTAACCTGGTGTATAAATTATTATCGTCGCGCGCTTGTGATTCGCAACAATCACATTTTTTTACTTGCTTCATGTATTCTTCAGTATGCGGAGGGGGCATACAGTGTAATCAAATAAAATCTAAAATCGTAATTGTAAATTGTCCCCTGAATATACTTCCTCTCGTTTTACGGTATACTCCCTTTGTAAGGCATTCTGTTCATTTAGAGTATGATAATACATCATAATATTATGAATCGACCGACAAATAGAAATCAAACAATGCAACTGCATCGTTAGGAAGAAAAACTGAACCTTTGTACAACATTATTATTCGATAACTTTTACGTCCAACTTTTATTGAGCTGTGATAGCAAAATTCTTTATTGCCTAGCTTTCTAAAAAGTTTATTATTTTGGGTGCCGTTTGTTATGCAATTATTACAAATGAAATTGTTTAGACATTTAAATAGACTATATGAATTTTTCGAGCACCACTATTCTATTCCCCCTTGTATACTACTTGTATACTATTGCAATGGTTTATAATCGCTGTAATGATGATTCTCTACTCCGAGGAACATTTTCTTTCTATAATCGACATACTTTCTATAGAATTCTATAAAATAAGGATAACGTACTACAATCTACAATTAATACACTTTATTGAATTACTTTCTCAGTTGTAAACTAACGATTCCACACTGCTCAGTGTTGTAAAAATTTGTCAGATTGTTACAAAAATTTCTTTGCTATCATGATTTTAAAAACAGTTGCATCCAATGTGCGTAGGAACATTCTATTGCTATGAGTTGTATTCCTTTTAAATGACAATTGAGAAATTACTCTTCTTCTTTAATACTCTTACCTGCTAAATTAATAAACTATTAAAGTTTATGTACAATCCTCCGTTTATACGGGTAGACTGGATGCGCAGACACAAGAACGTGTCTGATTAGTCTACATTATAATACCGTGTATAATTAAAATCAGGATATACGATTAAACAAAAATGTTATAAGAACAATTATTATGTAATGAGCTGCTTAAAACTGCGTATTCACGATAACAAGTACGGTACCAAAAAGCAGACGGTGATATTGAGCGTCGTCTTACACCATATCACTATATTTACAAACATGATTTTAACAAGTGTTTTATGTTATGTTGAAAAGACCATTGCAATCCAATTGCGATCGACTAAAGCAATTTAGCTAATTTCTGCAGCAAGAATCGATATAAATAAAATAATCTATTAAAATTGAACACTTATAAAGTATTGTAATTCAAGCGGCAGAAGATGATGGAGTATTTTATAATTTCTAATATTTAGTCAAAATCTTTAATGTACCTGCACTGATGATATACCGATACGAATCTCTGTATACTAAAAGTCACGAGTTACAATATTGATTTACATTAATATACAGTATATTATAGGTGACTGGAATGCCATTACGGTACTGTCAATATTAAAACCTAATTTACATATTATACCGATGGGATATGATTTCAGTAACAGACAAGCAATATGGCGTGATACGTTGTATGCATGTCTTATGATTTGTATATCTACCTATGTACAAAGGAGTTTCAAAATACCTTAATACCTCACCATTGCACTCTATTGAATTCATATGCTTAAGACCATAAAATTGAAAAGATTATTTTTTTTTTATTTTATTTTAAACAATCGTTTTATTCGTACTTCAGTCTTCGCGTTAACAGACTGACCTCTTTCGTCAAATGCATTGCTTTGTAACTTTATACACAAAGATCGTTTTTAGTTAGGCAACATCAGCAATGATGAGATTAGAACATTCTTATTACATGATTTTCACAAATGAAACTGTCAACATATACATCATATATATATATATACACATATATATATACACATATATGTGTGTGTGAAATTAAAAAGAAAAGAAAAAGAGATTTATAATGAAATTTTTTTAAAGAATGCAGTCATCTGCCTTTTCGATATGTAAAAGTCCAAAAATTGTTTTAAATCTAGATAGTAGAGCAATTAACCCATAATTGACTCAAATGTACAGAATCGCGTGTGGTCGACTGTCATGTCCAGGTAACTGTGTTAAATAAACTATGTGCTCTATGATATTCTGATCGCATAACATTAATATAATTATATCGTATTGCAAGATTGAATATTATACATAAAGATCTGCCATCTTCTATAAAATAAACATAATACTATACAATCAATCATGGGTTAATCGACCGTTTATAACATCATGTATTTTATGATTAATAGGTACACGTTACCGATTTCAATGTGCCTTACGTAGCTAGAAATGAATATACAAAGACGAAGAAGCTCTATTGTGTGCATATATTATTACCCTTTTGGCACTATTAAAGCCTATCATGTCAAAGACAAAATAATCGCAATCTTCTACTTGCTCTGCTTGTAATTATGAATCATGAATAACAGTCGAAATACAGTTTTAGGCCTCATTTATGTTTACTGTAACGCTTAATCCGCACAATTATTATCACAGCTTATAGTCCAATTATAACATACTGAATTACATTAAACTAATTTAGAATTGTAAAGTCCATTTTGTCGAGTATTCGTAAAGAAAGGTTTGTTGGCTATTTTAGTTCTAATCGAGGCAACTCGGAGCAAGTAAAAGACATCCATGTATTTAAAAATTGACTCACTGAAACCATAATTTCAATATATCTGGGTTATTCGAAACGTGCATCTTGAATGGCCATTCCTTTTTTTGTTTTTGTCACTATCAAATTTAACCCAGAGAAAATTTTACATTACATACTTCAGAGTATCATTGTTTGATGAAAATTTAAATTCCAAGTATTCCACTGCTGAATCACACAGAATCAAAAATTTTCAAAAGTCTATTAGTTACTAATACAATATTGAAAGGTCAATTAGTCGTATTTTTTCCTGAGTAACATTGCCACAAGTTAACAATTGATTGCAGTATTATCAAATACTATTTAAACTTATCCAGTCTGGTTATGCAGTCTTTAATGTAAACAAGTTGGATGGAGATTAAAAACAGATGTAAAATTCTGATCTTTAGAAAGAGTATTGTCTGAATGCAAATCATTAAATTATTCAACACTTTAACCAATATTTATTAATTTAATGAATATAAAGTTACTCCCGTTACTCCACTTTTTTACACGTACACTAATTAAAACTAAGAACAAAAATTAAAGCATGTTAGTTCAAATGTATGTATATGAAGAAAGCATTCTTTTTGATCAAGCCTTTGATATCTCGTAACATTTATGTGAACTGTAGAAAGTCGGTTCAAGCAAGATGCTCCGCTTCTTTAAATATTAAAACATAAATAATATATAATAATTACGTATTCAAGACCTTACATGTCCATTGTATGTACACTGGATGCAAACAAGACTCACTTCGAAGCTAGGTCATGTGTATACGAACTAAAAAATTCCGATGTTTGACAAAACTGTATAATTATACAAAGAAACTACCACAATCGAAGCAAAGTATAAAAGGAAGACTTACTTACTTTGCTTAATCAAATTTAATCCATGAACATAAACGTTGCATGAATTTTGATTATTCAATGCATTTTTGTATAGCGTGTAATATGTAAAATCAAGAGAAAAAGTTACTAAATATACTAGAAGTCACATACATACATACATATACAGAGTGGTAGACTAAATATTGCCATATTAATGTTTTCGAAACTATGAGAGTGAAAGAAAACAGAAATTTTTGTATATTAAAAAGAGTTTATCTACTTAAAAAGGCATGTATATTAAGCAATATCTGAATATTAAAAAATGAAATTATACTTCCGTATTAGATATTCTGTAAATTTATATGAATTTAATTTAAATAAAGGTGTATTCATCTCACGAGGTTTTTTGGTTGGACGTATTATAAAGTAAAATAAAGTTCAGGGAGTCAATCATCCGCGAAGTAAATTGGTCATCTTAAATATCGTACCTATATTACAAAAATGCAAAATAATCATAGTTAGCTCGGTTATTTCGTGCGAAATCCTAATAAATTCCTCATGGCTTCCAATCAGTTAACTCGACTGTTCCTACCAGGTACTTTGTATAAGGTTGTTGAGTCATCTTTTCTTTTTTTTTTTTTTATAACAATTCACATACGATACCACTTTACAGATAAAACTCAATTATTGAAATTCACTTGGCTAGTGTTTCTTTTCTTATCCATCTTGTTATCTCAGAACAAACATTGCATGGTTGCTTTACATCAATGAGGAATGTGACCGCCGACCATCCCATATTAAAAACAAAAATTTGTACATTCGAAGCTTAGCAGTATATACTTCATTTCATGCAGTAAAAGAGAAAGAAAAAAGACAAACTACAACGTTCGCATTAATCAGTCATACTGCATGCACAAAAAAAGTATTTTTAACCGCGTTGTACGGCTTACAGTTAAACAAGATTCATATGTGCGAAACATGAATATTTTAAGAGATTAAGAAACTTCGGAATCTCTGGTAATCAAATTGCCTTTCACACCAATAACCCAATTCATGAATGATTATACATTCGTATGATTCGATTCTCCATACATTATTAACTAAAAAGGTTATGTAACGTATTACAAATTAAATAATTTTGCATGGTTACAAAATTTAAAAAATGTTAGTGATTCATACGAAAATACTCTACACATGAACGAGATACACTAACATGTTAAAACATCCAAATAATGTCGAATAAATAACAGTAATTAAGAAAAAAAAACTGTTATTGTAAAAGTATTTTCACTCGATTTTTCGTTATCTAATCCACAAACACAGTAAAATGATCATGATCCCTCGCGTTAGTTCGAAAAATAAAATACTTATTTAAAAAAAGGAATAGAATGAAAAAAATATAATAATTATCGCGGCATGACATGCAGTATTTCGACATTCCTCATTGATGTATGTATATGATAAAAATGTTTTTATGATACAGAAAATGGTTGTGCAATGTAACTAAAGCTATAATACACGTAGTTTAACTACATACTAGATTCCTTAGTGGTGATAGTCTCGTTGGTATTATCAACTCTTATTAATGTCGACGAATGTAAAACAAGCGTCCTACTCAACGTAGCAACTCTTTCCATTACACAAGAAGCTGAAAGACGAGCTTCAGCATCGTGATCCCAACACTCTTCCATTGTATCACATATCGATTGAAGTCCCTAAGATTGTGACAGACAAGTTCATTGAGATCACGTGTGTTTATTAACACACGTGAATCGAATAAGCCTTATAATAAAAATACAGTAAATTTTATAGATGTATCGAAAAGAATTTACTTACAGGATGTTTACACCATGTTTCTAAAATGAGTGGCCTTTCTTTCTTGTGCACAACACTTTCTTGCATATCCTCCAACGTCGGATGAAGACCCACCTCATCCTCGAATGGTAATCTGTATTCTCCAATTGGTCCCTGATAGTAAATAAAACTAACATAATAAACCGATCGATAATATAAATATTAAATGTTTAAGAACATGAAAGAAATGAAAATTTACATCTTGTACAGTACATCGTGAAGCCAGCTCCCAAAGCACTAGCCCACAAGCGTACATGTCGATTCGTAGAAACGAGTCTCTCGTAAAATTAATTGCACCTTCTAAGACTTCTGGTGCCATGTACCTTCTTGTTCCAACCTGAATGCAATGATGTGGAAAATAAATAATGTTTAACACAGTACAGAATACTATCTTAGGTATCCTTAATAAGAAAAAGCAATGTAAAATCACAGTTGAGATTTTCTAATATATTTAAAGTGTGTGATAAACATACCTGTCCATGTGTGTCACCACAAGGCTTCCCAGGATGAAATATCAGTGCTAATCCAAAATCTGCTATGCAGGCACTCATGTCGACTTTAAGCAGAACATTTTTTGACTTAAAATCTCTGTGAGCCACAGCAGGCTTGTAACCGTCTGCTTTGTTGGCTGGAATCTCTTCGTGTAGATGCATCAGACCTCTGACCAAAATAATAATGACCTCGTAGTAAGAAACATTTATACGACATTTGCGAAGTATGCTTCAAGATTATATACCTTGCCATGGACTCTGCTATTCTGCACATCTCGGGCCACGTGACAACATTTGCTTTCAAATAATCGCATAACGAGCCTTTCTCATGGTAAGCAGTGATTAACCAGAACTCTGCTTGTAAATTGTCCCCCCGTTTCTCAACGCCTATGAAACGTAATATATCTTCGTGATCCATGTGAGCAAGCTTGAAGATTTCTTGTTCGGTCTGCCAAGACTGCTTGTCCTGTATAGGGAACACCTTGACAGCGACGATTTCGTTTTTCAATTGCGCCTTCCAGACTGCTCCGAAACGGCCTCGAGCTTTGATCTCCAGCAGCTGTATAGGACGTAGCCCCAAATTGGGAGATGGTTGCGGCAATGGAAGAGGTTCCAAGGTCGGTACCTGTGAAATTTACTTTGTTAGAATATTGTACGTCACGTGCAGTTGGTAGTACCACACCAAAAACAAAACAATAACGTTTAGTAATTTGATATTATGTACATATGTCTTCCAAACCTCGTTGAAATATCCCAACTTCCTACGTCGATAGCACCAATACAAAAATGGTAAAATAATAGCAAGGAGGAGCATGGGTATGGATACTGATAAAACAAGCGTGATTATTTGTTGTTCTGTGTTTGGAACGGGTTCTGATTCTGAAAGAAAACTCATATTTAATAATACAGAAAAAATATAGATCGTACAGATTTATCGCGCAAGAATTTCATTTATCTTAAAGCAATTTTACATAAACGCATACCATGTGGAACAGAAGATTGGATAGGTTTGGAGGAGGATGTTGGATGGGGGTCCCATGTGAAATTCTGATTACACATGTTACCATCGCAGCAACAGAAGAATAGTTCCTTCTTTCTTTCTGCACTGTTCTCGATGCAATGTGGCCTGTCATAACAGTCATTACTATCAAGAAAACATCCCTGCAATTCACAATAGTATTACTTCAAGGTCCAAAGTAATTATTTAAAGAATAAGTACCATAAATGGATAAACACTAAACTATATTGTACCTTCAATTTAATTATAGACTTTTTGGTAATGTTGTCAATTTGCCACAAGACATAACAGTGGTTCCTTTTGCCTGGATCATGCGGGCCACATTCTTCTCTTCCTGAGCATTTCTGGGGGGGGGGTGTGGGGGGGGGGTGTTGTTTTTTTTTTTTTTTTTTATCCTAAAGTAGGTCCTGAAAATTATAATTGTTTATAATCTTTTGGTATTTGACAATAACATATATAATGTACAGAAAATTCAGAATAGTATACACAATTATGTTCCAAATACATATACAATGATTTAATGAGCATACCAAATTATACTCAATGCCAAAGACATATAAGGTTGGACAAACTAAAAAATTTTCACTTAAAGAATGGAAATTAAAGAAATTGTTGATTCCTCTATTAAATGTTTCATTACCTCAAAAACAAAACAAAACAAAACAAAACAAAACAAAACAAAACAAAACCTTCGTCTTGAAATAGTTCTTTTGTTCCATTATGTTTTATTTATTCTTCATTCTTCTTACTCAATAAATGCTGTCAATTTATAATGTACTCATTGCAGAAGCCAAACTGTTCAATGTCATTTTTTATAAACTTTTCAACGTTATTCACAGTATTGGTTACACGATTGTTTGTAAGTATTTTACATGTCACAATATAAAACATACATTTGAACTATTCAGGTTGTGTAATGTTTTATGATATATTGATATCTAACAAATATCGTTAACATCAAAACGTTTTCCACTAGGTAGTTTCTCATCCGTCGAGTTAATCAATTTATAGTTCCCGAGAGTCTCGTGTCTTATTTATACAGTCTGACGAAGCGCGTTTGTAAACAGAGAGGTGAATATCGATAACATGGATCGGCCAGGATTTAGTGACAATTTGAAATACATTAAGCAAAGAGACGGCCCGACGGCACCCCGTGATCACCGGGGGAAGAGATCGAGGCGGAACGTGTAATTTGCGTCGCGGACGCAAGTCTCGTCGAACGGGGAAGATAATGGTGCATACAATTACCTAACAGTCCTAGGACGAGATATGGCAGTATCGTCGCATATGCGGGCATCGTGAATGGCTCGTGAAAAGCATACCAGAGGAATTTCAAAGTCTAACAATAAGCGCACAGTGCTCGCGAAAGATGCGGCTAAAGCGCCGGACTTTGGTGCGCAAGGTCCGGGGTTCCCGCTTGGCCCTTACATCTGGCTTCTTTTCTACGTGATCTGCACCATCGCGTATCCCCCGCCACCCTCTACTCGTCCCTTCTCGCCCAGCTCAGGGCTCACGGGCGAATTAAAGGAAGAAAAACAAAAAACAAATGAAGATAGGCAACTAAAGGAATCGAGTCTATTAGCTATTGAGCAAATTGTTGTAATTCAGACACATCTCTTTTCCTCTCCCCCTCTCACGTTGCTGCAGGAACGCGGACACCATGGATCTAAATATGTCATTTTTCACTGTTTGGATACTGCGATTCCGATCACTTATGAAACAGCCAAGGGAACGGGAACGAACGACGAACTGAATAGAAGATTTACACGCGAACGTAGGGCGAAACGCGTTACGATAAGATTGACCAAAATCATCCGCAATCAGCCGAACTGAGCCGAACTACGCGATTCGTGAACGTACGTGCCAGACGCACGAGAAGATTGATCATGAACTGATGAATCGCGATAGACCAACCGCGAACCAGCGCAAATGAAAATTATTGTATTTGTATCTCGCGTATCGTAAAAAAATATCAAGAGCAGGACAAATGAAACTGTATTCTTTTTTTTCTCTTATTTAGTAGGAATGACAATGCAAGATTTTAACTGATATCTATATCGATATATATATATATATATATATATATATATTATGTTTATAAGAGCAGGGTTACTATGCATAATGTAACGGGTCACTGTATGCCCACTGTTGACATAGGAAATCTCTTAGGTCTGATCACTGTCTTCTGAAACTCACTGTTTCGTTTTTTTAAATATTTTACAACAATAAGATAAGAATAAGAACGTGAAAATTGTTTTCTACCCCACACCGACAACCATTGTCAACTCGAGCTCGAGATGCATCGGCCGAAACGGGAGCTCTCTTGGCTCTCTCTTATGCAATGGTAGTCAATGGTACGTAATTATAAATATAGAAAAACCGTGCATATCAGAATTATGTATTGTTTCCGAAGCTGTTACATTGTTTGTTCAGTCCTTCTGAATCAATGTTGTATACAAACAGTTGTCACTTGTGCCTTTTTAATTAAGGTTTCATTTCTTGGTACATGAACATACATATGTACATACAATCGGGAATTAGGTCAAATAGATTTTATGGCGCCATCTACGGCAAAACGTTCAAGCTACTAGTCAATCAGTATCATTTTTTTGCCGTTAGGTGACTCTACTCTGTAATTTTGTCAGAAGTCTGTCAAGGAACCCTCGGAGCATGCACAAGAGACCCCGTGTGTGTGAGTAAGTGGGGTCATAGAACCCCCGGTGGAGACGATTCGGACCCCGCGCGGTCAGAACGTGGGGTCATAGAACCCCCGGTGGGGACGACTGGGAGCCCGTGTGGTGAGACCGTGGGGTCATAGAACCCCGCAGGGGGACGCCAGAGACCCCGTCTGGTAAGAACGTGGGGTCATAGAACCCCCGGAGCATGTACAAGGGACCCCGTGTGTGTGTGTGAGATGTACCAGGAAAATAAGTGGTGTAGGGGAAGGGCCTTTTACTACTTGGTATCGAGAATTACTGAAATTTATGCCAAATTAACATTAGGTTTAACATTTATTTCAGTACTAGAAATAAACTTTGCCAAATGGTAGAAAGCCCTTTTCTTACGCCACGATTTCCCTCAGTGGAAGCAGAGTTTGCTCGCGAGGGTACAATTCTCTCAATTCGATTGAGAATAGCACCAAGTGATCAAAAGTCACGTGTTATCGCCATGTTCTTGATTGTATATGTATATGGCAGTGCATGCGCTGTATGTAACATTTTTGAGGCGTTATTTTCGCCAACTGACGCTACTGGTTATACCTAGAGGCACCATAATAATTATTGTAGGGTCTCTAGTTTCTTTACTACATTTGTCATTAGATATTACATGTTAAATGAAATACCAATTAAAAACTTCATAACCAACAACTGTGCCGATTTACACTATCATTACAGGGGAGAAGTACACCACAAACCATTTAAAAACATTTTTAATCGAAACCAGTGTGGTTATTTTATACTTTTTCAAAATATTCCGGAAGTCATTGCATATCACGATATAAGAGGGAACTCTCAATTTGTATGGTAATTCTGGGTTCGTCGAAGTGGGGTGAATAACTATTTCGACCGTCGTCATTCGAGACGGTCAGTAGCGCTGACTGTTACAGGAAGCAACTGCAAAGGAGGTTCAAGTCACGTGATCGTAACATAGTGTGCTGAAGACATGGCGGACAAAGAGGATACTGAGAAGACCATCGCCGAAGACTTGGTTGTCACCAAGTATAAAATGGCCGGCGAGATCGTAAATCGTAAGAAAACGACTTAACGTTCTCTAATGAAGCGCAGGAAACAAACGCAAAATTATCTCGTAGAACCACGGGTCCTGTAATGTTGTTTTTTTCCGGCTGGCCATATGGAATGTGGCGCGCTAATGCCGGGCTTCCTTACCATGTGGGATGGAGTAGTATTGACTATTACAATTCAATAACTCATCGATAACCTGCGTCTTCCATGTTTTCGCTAACGATGGATCGAATAGAAATTATTTATGTTTTTCCATTTAGTTCAAGCATCTCGTCTACTAATTCTTCTGTAATCGGAGATCAACATTTTCACTTATGACCATAACTTATTCGTCTTCTCGAATTCTGATTTTTTTTTTCATTTCCATCAAAATATTAGTCGTTGAAGAATCCCTGGAACACCTTCACATTCTTAATGTTATTATTCGTTTGCGTTCATTTTTATCATGGCTACAACAATTACAAATCGTTTTAACTGTGCTTTAAATAATTTTTTGTACATTTTTTACTCTGATCATACCGATTTGATCATAGATTCATTGTTTATTACTATAATGTTATTACTTGTTATTTCAGGAGTATTAAGGCAAGTTTTAGATAAATGTGTTATTGGAGCATCTGTAAGAGACATTTGTGAGTATGGAGACAAATTGTTACTAGAAGAAACCAGTAAGGTTTTTAAGAAGGAGAAAGAATTGAAGAAGGGAATCGCTTTTCCTACATGTATATCAGTTAATAATTGCATTTGTCACTTCTCACCAATTGCAAGTGAAGCAGATCTCATACTCAAAGATGAGGACATGGTAAAAGTGTAAGTTTATTCTTTAATAGTACATATATTTACCTATTGTAACCTTATAAATAAAATGTTTTGTTTGTTATCAAAAGGCTTATCAATTTGATATTTTCAGAGATCTTGGTGCACATATCGATGGCTTCATAGCTGTTGTCGCGCACACTATTATTATAGGTTCTACATCGGCAAGAAAAGTAACTGGTAGAAAAGCAGATGTAGTGTTAGCTGCACATTATGCATCTCAAGCTGCATTAAGGCTTCTAAAGCCAGGTACAGAGGTAAGTCTCATGTATTTTACACACGGTGGATATTAATATATTAACAGTACCAACTATTCTCTATATAATTATATCCCTTACTTTTAGACTTATACAATAACAGGCACGGTAGAAAAAATTTGTGAAGCATATAAATGTAAGCCAATTGAGGGAATGTTGAGTCATCAGTTGAAACAATTCAAGATAGACGGTGAAAAAACTATAATTCAAAATCCTAATGATGCGCAGAAAAAGGAACACGAAAAATATACTCTTGAAACTCACGAGGTATTTAATATAGCTATCGGAGAATTGTTTCAAACAATGGAAACATTTGTGTGTGATATACTTGCATGTATTTGTATCAGGTATATGCTATGGACGTACTGGTTAGCACTGGTGAAGGTGTAGGCAGAGAACAAGATACTCGTGTGACTATATTTAAAAAAACAGAGGAAACATATCAGCTGAAACTGAAGGCATCCCGCATGTTTTACTCTGAAGTTACTCACAAACACGGTTTGATGCCGTTTAATTTGCGTACTTTCGAAGACGAGAAGAAAGCAAAGATGGCTGTGGTGGAATGCGTGAGTCATAGGCTGATTGAACCATTCCATGTAAGTTTCTGTCAAATACAATTTTTTTTTTTTCTTAACTTAATTCCAGTATTTAACATCTACTTTTTAATTATTTCAGGTGCTGTATGAAAAGCCAAATGAATTCGCTGCACAGTTCAAATTTACAGTACTGTTAATGCCTAATGGACCACATAAAATTACAGGGCTCCCCTTTGATCTTGACACTTTCCAATCTGATTGTGTTGTTGAAGACCAAGAATTGAAGGTGAGAGTTATACAGTGTTTTCTTTAATTTCCTGACCGATTTTCTTATTAATTGGTTCTTTTTCTCAGACTCTCTTGTGCACTTCGGCAAATCCGAAATCCGCAAAGAAGAAGAAAAAGAAGGCCGAGAAGTCTGTAGCTGAAGTGGCAATGGAAGTCGACGCCAAGGCCTAACACAACCATTTTAGCGTTCATTATGACGTCTTAACATCGTGCACTTTATGTTACTTCCTGTTTAACAGCTTCAGAGCAGAAACTACGCACTATTCGACATTACTATATACCTTGGTACCTGTTCCATCATTGGAGCACGTCATTTGCAAATTCTGACCCTTCCTGGTTGTATTACCCATATGACACTCGAAGATCATTATTTTCCGTGTTATACACAAAATATTTGAGTCAGTTGAAAAAGTGTCAAGCTTTCTGCCCTGTAAGAATCGGATCTAACGACACATTATGCCGTCACTTATTCACTCTTACGTTTTTATACCCGGAATATCTTTTAATGGACCATGGTATTATTATACACTGAACGATGATTATTCATAAGACATTTTGCAACTGATGTATTACATATTTCAAGCATGTGAACTTGTTTCGCAGCATAATGGTCGGTTTTATGACTGTGTTGTGCGAGCTAGATCGACCGAGCCAGAAAGTGAATCGCACGTGCATACTGTTTCTTTCGTGGAAGAAACAACAATAAAGTACGATTTTTATTTCGTAAATATTATTGGATTCTAACAAAAGTATATTACGTTGAATAATGTCCAATCTGAAATTTTAGTTACATTAAAAAGAAGTAACCGACGAGAATTATTGCTAACCGCTGTTTTCTAATGCACTGTCAAATTGTGGCATTCGCTCCACTCTATTCACTTTGACACTGTTGCTAGTTGTGCACTAGCTGCTTTTGAGTTCATTTAAAAAGAAAAAAGATAACATCTAATGTCGAATTGTACAATTGGAATAACAATGTCCACCATTCGAATTCCGTATAAATAATGAAATGCCAATGGATTCACGGAGTATTTCGTTGCAAAAAATTTCCCAACCGTCAGAAAATATTTTAATCCATTCGATTCAGCTCCGCGCAAATTTTATTGCGCACTTGAGTGAAAAGCAAAAAAAACAGAATCTAAGAATAGAGGTGTTCTTTGGGAGTAATCGACTTGCCGAGGTAAAAGGTGAAAATTATGAAATATTATAACAATGTAATGATAGTTTTGTATGAGGAGGATAGATAATGTATCTGTTATAGATATTTTTTCTACTCAAGTTGTGCATATGTCGAATGTTACCGAGTGTGCTTGTAAAACAAAAGATGTCTTAGTCCATCGTGCACTGTCCTTCATTTGCCCTAATTCGAGTATCGCCTCATTCTATTTGATACAATATGACAGATGTATTTACTAAATATGGAAAAAAGATGGACCTGTGTATCTTTCTTTGTAGAATTTTTCAGGAAATACAGTTACTGGCGAGAATTAACGATTAAAATTAAAGATGTTTTCTTTGCATAGAGATCATAAACCAAGTATCTAAATACATTGCAAAACGAGGACTGTGCACATAGTTCATACTTAACAATTAAATTTAATAGGGTGATATGAGATTGTTATTAAAAAATTAATGACAAGCTAACAAGTATAGATTTTGACACATGCATATTTCTTTTTTTGTTTCTCTCTGTCAGGGTTTTCACATATTGATGCATAATCTGTAAGGTACTGTCTACTTCTGAAGGTATAGAAAACACTTTGATTAAAAGTTCTGATTGAACAAGATAGAATTTTATGGATTATGACTTATTAAGTTTTCTATGCTATATGATCTCCAATGAAAGCGAAAACGAAGCATCAGAATTATCGAAACGTATTCGCAGTCGTGTCTTTATTATAAATGCAACAGGTATGTTATATAAACTAACATAGTTTTAATATCCGCTTCTGTTATATTTAGGGATAGGCAAAGTAATTAGTGCTACTTAAAAAAAAATAGCAATACCAGTTTATTACTGAAATTTTAAGGAGTAAATTAATATTAAAATAATGTTACCGTGTGATATCGTCGAACACAATACCACATCGAAGACTCCTTGATTTTGCTGAATGAATTCTTGTCTCGAAAAGATTTTTTAAACCAAACAAAAAAACTGATTAAATACTGTAAATACACGATGACATTTGTAGCCAGAAATTCTTGAACAAAATGAAGTTTTATGATCCAAAGGTATTTAACTTAAACTACACAAATATCAATTTTATTACAATTGCATTAGGCGTCGTGATGTCGGCAACGTTAATCTCGCTACCATTTCTTAGTCCGAGATCGACTAAAGTTTTCGTTAAGTTCTCACGTGTTTTCTCCTCGATACTCGCTACAGTTTGCATATACAATGTTTTATGTTTACCATCCATATAGGTGGTAAGACCTGGATTTTTCATTTGCAAGTCAGATCTTTCGCAAAGAACCTCTATCAAATCTTTCAGTTTGAATTTAGGATTGCTAATCTCAATTTCTTTTGGAATTTGGCTACATGCAACACAGTCTTCTTTTTTCTCTGCTTCGTAAGTGTATGTATAGATACCATCCAAGTCATTGAGCACCTTTAAGAAGAAAATTATTTTCAAATTGTATTGCAGAATTTAAATCTGTATTATCGAGTTTATATATAATTACCATATAATTATTCAGGGAGGCACTGCAACTACTAGCAAGCTTGAATGCTTCTGTAGCACAAGTTGCTGCAATAACAGCATTTGTTGATGCAACAGCAGGTATAATATTTTTAACTACTCCCTGAACCAGTCTGTACGTTAAACCTTTTATACCAAATTGTGTTGCCCTTTCAATGGACTTTTCATAAATCCAATTTACATGCTGAGGATCATCACCATCTATTGGGCAATCAAATGGATTTTCCTTTGGCCACTGAATTACTTTCACATACTCTATACAATGCTCTGGTAAACGTGGAGTGTTTGCTATTGTACACAACGGGTACGTGACCTAGATTTAAGAACAATCAAAATGAAAATAAGGAATGTTGTCTCATGAAACGATAATTAATATACAGAAACCCGTATACTATTCACCTGAGGAGGATACAAATCTAAGGTGCACTCGATACAAGCAGTGAGACCAGGCAAAATTACCCTCACATTTCCTTTAAAACCCTCTGTTCCTCCATCGATCATTGGTATAACGCTAGATCTATCCAATTCTCCATTTTCATAGACTAAAAGGGACAGTAGCATACCATTAATCCATCTTCTTGCAATTATGGAATCCAAGCCACAAACTATTATATGAAATTGCCTGTAAAACTCTTCATCTTTGTCTTGTATTTTGCAACAGTGTGGCATGACCATACATCCTGGAATTCTGGTATTTACAAACCGTGCAGCTACTTCGGCTTTCGACGAGCCGATATCTTTACGGCGAAAGAGAAACTGCCTGTTGATATTAATTTCACAACGTTCCATTAACTTCGATAACTTCTAGACATTTATTTAGTTTAATTTATCGAATGTTATTGTTGTCATACCGGTTAAGGTTGGACAGTTCGATTGTGTCCATGTCGATAACATGAATCTGTCTGAATCCCATCAACGCTAAATCCTTAAGCAACTCGCATCCTAAACCGCCGGCACCGATAACAAGGATCTTACAGTTTTCTAATAAAAATTGCAATGTCTCCGAGGACGGCTCAAAATCCGGTCTGCAAAAAGGACCAGATCTCTCTAATAATTTTCGCAGATTGCTCCATCGTCTGTGAGTATGGTCGGAGCCCATCATTGGACTATTGTTACTTTACGAAATTACGATCACGTTATAAATTATAATAAATATATTTCAACAGGACATTATTTACACTCCTTGTATAAAATAACCTATTCGTACGTGACAATCGGTGCGTTTATTGTTTGCGATATCCCAACACGGTAGCGACACCAAACCGACGTTTCTGGGCACATACAAAATAGCGACGCGACAGTGACGTTTATAATCTATAGTCTATAGTCTATATACTCTATACTCTATATGAAGCAGCAGTAGCTACATAGTCTCGCAGTTTATGATTCTTGTCCTTTTTTTTTTTGAACTGTTTTGGTTTTTTTGAAAGTAAGATACACATATAAACGTATTTCGATCAGTGATTCTATGCTCACAGAAACATTCGTATTGGCTTCAGTATTCGATGTTTGGTTTAATATTTTTCTTTGAACATTCAATGTGAAGTATTCAATAGTCAAAACGGAGTATAGAAATTTGCCCATTCGACGTTACGTCGAGACTCATTCATCGGTTCCGTTTTTTATCTCCTAATTCAGTGATTGGAATATCTTTTCGTATACCGTTTCTCGAGCGGACCGCCTTCTATCACGGCATGTGACGCCTCATCCGAGAATCGATATGTAAATCGGTGTTACACGAACGAAACGGTGAGTGACGCCTCTGCCAATGTTATATCTGATATCAGATTAAAAACGACGACCGTTGCGTACGTTGACCGCGAACTTCGAAACTGTTTCGTGACGCGTCCGCGGCTGTTTCCCCGTGGAACAAATTCAGTCTCTAGAAAATCATACGGAACTCCTTAATATTCATCGATTATGTTACGCGTTATTACGCGGCGGGATACGCATACACGTACGAGACAGGATGTTTCTAAACGTTCGGTACCAATTTACTGACGCGACATTCTTTTACTTAGGACATTCACACTGTGCGCTTTACGCATCTGTCCTCTGTGTATAACAGCAACAGCACATACATACAAATAAGTATCTTCACTTTCTTCCTTTCCTTCGATTAATACATGAAAATACGAGCGAGGTTGCACAGGAGTATTCACAGGATCTTCGTGTAAACTTCCGTTTTGAAAAACCACTTTAGAAAAAAGTGGGAATTAATAAACAAGAATTCGTATTCTTCATTAAAGATTCTATTAGGATAAGGTTAACAAACATTCTTTTACTTCAGTGTATATGAATACGTATCGCGGTAATACTGTCTATTCTTCAGTGATCTCTTGAGGTTAACAGCACTGGTGTTTGCAAACAGCCTAAGGGTGTGTGGCTTTTAAAACATCGTTTAGGTTAGTGTCCGCAAGAATATTCCCCATTCAAGACTTCATTAACGACAAGGACAAAATTTTCTCTATTGTCCGATACAAGAATGGAAACGTGACGAAATTGATATAAGTACAAAGTGGTTTTTGGTGGACAGTTTCTTGATAGCTGTCCTCCGCTAACGACAGCTAACGATAGGCGATATCCAAGTTTTATCAAACGCATAGTGGACCCGGCGTCACAAACACGATTTTGATGGGGGTATAAAAGTCGTGTAATGGTCGTTATAAAACAGAAACGACATAATGCCATTGTACCGATCAGAATATCAAGAAATCAATCGGGGCGGGGGGGAGCCGGGGAGCACCGGTAGCCGAACGGTCCAGATTTCTCGGCCACCCTGTATACCGCGCTCATCCCCCTTCACGGGAAACCGGGTGGTGTAGGAGAGACGGACGATACACCCGCGGCCGCCGCGTCCGTCGAACGAAAAGGTCGCGCTTTCTGCTCACGGAACGGAGTAAATTGTTAACTCGCCGCGGACTGGTCGCCCTGTGGTAATATCGAACGTAAATCGTGAGCACGGGGGCCTATAAAACGGACGCCGTGAAACAGAAGCGCGCAGATACCCGTTCGATTCACGCGTCGTGGACGTACTCGGCCACGACCACCGCGCGCGCACCGGGACGGCGTGCGGCTCCTTTCGGCCCCGTGTTTACATGTTGCGCGCGAGCGCACGTCAGCAGAGATCGATACGAGACGAGACGGCGCGGCGCGTGCATACTTCTATACACATGTGCAGCCGCACCGGCGGTGGCTGTGTGGGTGTGTTCCAGTGAGTGAGATAGAGATAGAGCCTTTTACGAAATAATATCGGCGGCGGCGGCGGCGGCGGCGGCGGACGGACGGACGGACGGACGTGTTCGCACGTGGGCTACCGTCGTGGATATGCGTCCTCCTCGCGGAACCCCAGCAACCATTCATCCGCGTTTCACGTTTTAAAGATGCGCGGCGGCTGCCTTCGTGTTCTCGAAACCGTCGATGAAGAACTGTCTGCCGTACATATACATTGAAGCCGTCTAGTGCTAAAAGACACAAGAGACGGAAAGGCCGAGGAAGGTGTGGACCGTAGAGCCTCCTCCCCTTCGTGTTCCGTGAGAGACTTTATCGAGAGAGCTTCCTATGGGATATAACATCGCAAGCTGGGAAATGATACGCACAAGGGAGGAATTCGCGGAAAAGCTGGGCCTGGGCGCCGTGGACGAGACTCACGCGTTGCTGAACAACATGGTAGACGTCAGAGCGTGCTACAAACCCAACGGAAAAGTAAGATAATATCGTTTTCTGTATTGTGATATACTCGTTCAACCGTTTTCCTCGCTACGAATGATCGCTTTATGATATTTCAGCTTTATATTGTACATATATGAGATCGCTTATTCACTCCTGGCTTCCCTTCATTGAATAGACTACCGATATTTACGCAGGATAGAACAGGATGAGAATCGACGAAGGTTAGGTGCAGTTACCAGTTTATTTCGCGACTTATTGTTAGCGATGTCCTTAATCTTCGATCAGCCGATGCTGGGTCACTTCGGACCCGTCTTTGGATTCTCGATCTAGCGGCAAATAAATGCACCAGTGAAATGCATGCAGACATGTGTATCTACGAAGTGGATTCATATTCAATTCTGTAATATGAAAGTGTGACGTCATATTTCGTGCACGTTGTGTGTATATACATATTTGAGCGATGAACTAGACATGTCTTTTCAAACGTTTTTCTACGACGTTCTGGACTTCAGAAAGGTAGGTGTAAAGCATGCGAAACGAAAACTTCGGTACGGGTCGATGTCGACCCAGTATCAGCTCGGTACCACAGACGGTTGCCTACACGCGGGGTTAAGTGGCAATGTACAGGGTGTCCTTTTTAACTGGCAACGGTGGAATGTTTCCTAAGGAACTGAAGCTATGGAAACAGTGTTTTTACAAAAGTTGTTCGGTATGAATAATTTTGTTGGCATGTAGAATAGTGGGGTGATTTCAAGGTCAAGTTGATTTTTTTAATCGACAAACATAGAATTTAATTGAGATGGCTGTACAGTACTTAACCTGCTTGTTATTTTCGTGATCGATGAGGTGATGATACGCTATTTTTTTGTATAGTTCGAATAAGTAATAAAAAAATCGTGATTACGTGGATTTACAAGAAAGCATCGATCGGCATTGTTCCGTGTGCAAATCGCGCGGTAATCATTAAAATAAACCGTGTCGTTGGCCTTTTGTTTCGGAATGAAGGAGTACTTAAAGCGCTCCACTTTAGAGAACCGTTCCGCTTGATTTGAGGAAATTGGTATTGATTGACGGGGCACGCGATGAGGGGGACAAGTGTCGCCGGTCCCATACTGTTTTTTTGCTGTTTTCTTTTTGTTCTTTCAACGAAGTATTCGTTAAAGTTTAGAACGAACGACGCGCGCGAGCGGTTTGATTAATCGAGGAAATTGACGGATAAAAGAATCGTTCGCGATTACAATGCTAATTGGATTCACGACGATCGGTCAGTCTCTCGTGCGTCCCGGAACTGCTACGAGCAAAAACTTCATCGTATAACGTTTCAACGTGTATACGTATGTATATGTACCGTTGACGGACTGGAGGCGTTCGAACGAATGGAACACTCGAAATGAACTACTCGTGCACACCCTCAGAAACTCCAGTTAGTTTCTCGTTGAAAGAAAAACCTCAAGGATCTGCATTTTTGTCTTTTCAATTCAATTACATTACATTTTACCAACTATTCAAATTGAAATCTATACGTTATAGAAAAGGTATAATAGTAAAACATCGTTCCGGATCACTGTATGCTCCCCGGCCTGTAAATCACGTCGGGTAACAACACATAGGTAGTAACGTAGAGCTTGCGCGTTTTGTATTCGAATGGTCACGCTCGCGGCCGTTAAACATACGGGGCGACGAGCGTTGCGCCACGTGATTACAGTCCGGCCAGTGTTCAGTGTGTGGTCGGTGTGGCGGGTGTGCGGGCATCGCGCGAAGCCGCTTTGTCAGTACTACTCGAACGACAGCTGTGAACTAGCGTGAAACTCCGTCTGGATTATCGTCTCCCTCCCGTTGCGTGTTGGGTCGCTTGGCTTCGTCTTCGCTGGTTTCATCGCGGATCGACGGGAACTCGTGCGCGCGTATACGCGATTCCGTTTGAATTCACGCGGGCAGAGATAGTTGAAGATTGCATGTGTTAACGGGAAAGAAGGTGCAGGAACCGCTTCTGATACAACTTCCGGGCAAAGTGGCACCGAATGAATAGGTATATCTCAATATCAACATTTCCACCGATGGAGTATTCGGACGCCCTTGTGAAGGGTGTTTGCTGTGGAACTAAATAGTATAGGCATGCGCTCTCGTCGATCAGAATTCAGAAATAAGGGAGATATCTGTTGCTTGTCTTTTTTACAGGGTGGTCGAAGAAAAATAAGGCTCTGAATGGAGTAAAAAATGTCTGATCATCATAGGTTCTGAAATAAATTCTTTCGATGTAAAATTAACATTTATATTTGCAAGATGTCATAAGTGAGTCATTTCGCGATACATTGAATGTAAACAGAAAAGTCGGTTTAGAAGTACATTAATCCAAATTCAAGGTTGTATGACAAGAGGGAATACGAGATACGGAAGGAATATCTAGAAAATGCACGTCGATCTATGATCCGCGGATGTGAGTGCTGTATCGAAAACAAATGTGAAAATAAACTTTGCGTTTTTCTTTTAGAGAGGACTGATTTTAGCACCTATTTAGACATTTTCTTTACTCCACTCGGTGAATACGATAAGCACCCAAAGTTTTAAATCCTTTTTACTTGAACACCCTGTATAGAAAAGAGATAGGAATTTATGAAATTTATGTCCCATGTTTTGTTTCTTTCGCTTGGTGGATGCAACAGGATCTCCCCGCACTAACAAGCCCCTAATTCTTTCGAGCAGTGGTTATTAACGAACAGCGATTTCACATAATTTCGTTTACAAAATCGAATTTCAGATGTTTCTTTCATTTACAAACGCGACTGATAAAGGAAAATAGGTTGGTGTAATTTTAAGTCGGTGGTGTGGAGATTATACTATATGTATATATACATATAATCTGTCGAGAAAGTCCATTCATTTTGTGGTCGATCCTCTTTCCCGAAAAGAGCTAAACAAACGATTATTCATTAGCAGGTATTCGAATATTAAACGAGAAATTTCAAGTCTCGTTCGGTTATCAATTATTATGTTTTGCCGCGAAATTTCCTAACGCTCGCGTTCATCGACGTTTATCAGTTGATGCGGGTTTTTATTGACGCGATGAATCATTCCCAGTGCGTGTTTTCGTTATTTTACAATCAACGAAAATATCTGAATATATACGTGGCTCGATTTACAAAGGCCCCTGGCTAGGGTTCCCCGACGAAAACCGCGGACGACAGGAATTAACGTCGCGCGATAACGAGACGCGATCCTCTTATCGTGTAGTCCCTCGAGAAGTCGCGATCGGGTGGAACGTGTCGTGGAAATCGTCTTTCTGTTGCTCGACGTTGGGTGCCTGTGCACGGGCTAGGAAAACGGAATCAGGAGAGGTGTTGAATCGAGCTGGAGAACACGGAAACGACCTTGAAGGTCAGTTATTGGGCCCGTGGACGATACCGATCTCGAGGCGTGACGTAAGTGCACGTGTATGTACTCGACGCGAGAGAGGAAATGTATGTATAAAGGAGACACGCGTTTACCGTACAAATCGCGTCGTGCAACCGTAGAATTTCTGGACACGTGGGCAGAATATTTGTTCTTCGCGAGCAACGTTGGCTGGGGTCCTTGCGAAATCGAGACTAACAAACCACACTGAAAACAAAGGAGCTAATGTTGGGCAACAAAGTACACGATACTCGAAATCCAAACGGACTTTTGATCGAACTGAAGTTCTCGAGTATCGGATAACGGGGATTCGAACGAAAGACACCGAAGAATGGACAGTGTTGATGCACTGATCGACGAGTCTTTCGGTACCGAGAAATTCAAGAATTCCCTCTAAAGACTTATCTTTTCTACTTGTAGAAAAAAAAAAAAAAAAAAAAAAAAAACACGTCTGTTTAATATCGATATTTGTCGATATGAAAATAACAAGATACGACATATGTATATCAGTCTGATAATTTTGAAATTACGATTTAAGGATCTGGGCGTTCAGGGGTTAAAATAAAAAATCAAACTTGACCTTCGTATGACCTCTATGCGTCCACACAGAAAAGAAAAGTTACAAATATTGCGACTCGTAGTGTAAAACGGTAAAGCGCGCAGCTGCGCGTTGAAAATCGCTTTTGCAACCGGTCGACACGGTTCGCAAAACGTTCGTCCGCGGAGAGAATCGAGTCGTTTCGCGGTGTTGTGGTCGCGAAGAAAAGGGACGAGAAACGATAGCGCGACCGGCGCGGCGCCCCTGTAATTCGTTTCCTCTCCTTCTACTCCTCGTCGACACACGACACCACTCGTAATCAGCCGAGCCTCGTGTTCCCCTTTTGTTTCTTCCAGTAAAGAGGGAAGCGTAATCGGGCGTGTTTCGAGGATAAACCGAGAGTCCCGTACTCTAATCGTTCGCATGCATGGGTCCTGGAGCTTGCTCGAATTACAACGCACACTTGGTTCCTGTTGCGCACCGACGACCATCTCTAACCAACGCGCGATACGTATCCTACCCGAGCCAGATACGTATCAGACATGACCAACGATAAACAGGTGAGTGGTTTCTCGGTGTACAGGTGACTTTTCGACCAGTCCAACGAGTGTTCTCGACAGCTTGTGTTTCTCTTTTCGTTCTTTCGCGTATCTCTTGCTGGTTAGTATAGGCTACCGAATACCGATAGCTTCTGGTGTTCGATGAATTCCTTCTTGGAGTCCTTCCAATGGTAAGTGTTTTTTAGGCCATTAATTAGGATTCGGGGATATCGTTCTATTCTGGTTTTAACGTGTCTTTTGCAGGATGATTACGTACAGGTCCTCATCGATGTCTGTATACTATCCTGATGACATTGGATACTGGTAGATAATTGTATTTATTGGTAGCATAAGTTTTTTCAATAAATCCTTCAGTTCTAAGTTTAGGGCATTGGGGAGACGACGACGACGACGACGACGACACAAGTTGTTCTATTTTGAACTTGATATACCTACATTCTTGTAGAATGGTACCATATGGGTCTTTGTTGATGTAGCACAGCTCTTTTCTTCTTTGATAAGATAAGCAACACGTAAAAACTAGGAGTCGGATGATTCGTGTGCAATAAGAATAAATTGGTAGATGAATCATTGGAATTATTTTTCCGGAGGACATGGTCTATATCCCTGACTAGTGGCAACCCAGGCTACGAAAGTTTCCAACATCTCAATTGTTCACATCCAAGAGTATACGTATATGTATAGTATATATCAGAGGCTTGCGAACTGTCGAGAACGCTCACACTGTACAATCAGTTTCTATGTAATTAACAACACTTTTCTATCTATCTGTCACGTAAAACGAATGATGTACATATATTGCTCCCAAAATTTCTTCTTTTTCTTCGCGAAAGAAAGGCGTCGAACAAAATACCCAGTTTTCAGTCTCGAGACTTTACGCACGATGCACACACTCGTTGTAGATATGTACATGTATATATTCATATGTATGTTTTCTTTATGCGTCTTCTTGGTGAATCTTGTTTGAACTTTGATTAATTTTCAATTGCATGGCTCTGTGTATTAGTTATCTCCAAGATTTTGTATTATATTTATCCAGCAATCTTTTTATCGATGTCTACATTAAACACACTTTATTCTCCACGAATAAAATATCTCGATCGAGACAAGAGGATGTCACGATGAGTTTGAAAATTGCCTCTGAATCGGGACCATTTGGCGACAACTAACGAGGCAGGGTTGTATTAGATTTTTACGAATTTCTGATCCAGTACTTCTATATTTCCAGGATCACCGAAACGCGTTGGAAAGTACTTAGACGTTCACACGTTTTAGTATCAACATAACTGACACGTCCGTGATTAATATTACACTTATACGATAATACAGTTGACCCTAATTGCAGTTAGCCTGCCGCGCGACGATTATTAACGTCGGTTTGCTCGTTAAACACGATCGATTCGGTCTGGGTTATCTGATCACGCGTGAACGCGGACGATTCGAGGAATGTTACGAGGAACGCGCGTAACGTGACGGTGGGTAATAAAAGAATGATCTCCAATTATAGCGGTGATCGTTTGCCAATATCTACCCCATGTGTACAAAGATCTTTTGAGTTCTTACGAGGATCAGTCCGTAAAATACGCGCGAAAAAGAGCCGCCACGATTGCTGGGCGATGTGAAATCTTTCGAGTTAGTCGCGCGTGATATGTATGCCCGCCGGGGCGAGCAGCGTAGCGCGGCGAGACAGATCAAATTATGCGACTTTTTCTCACGTATATACCACGTGAATAAAGAAAGAAAAATATATATACATATATATAGGTATACGAAACGAACGGCTTGGCCGTTCCGGTGCATCTCGGTGAACGGTGGATCGCGGGCGGTGATCGGCGATCAAAAACGAGCGTGATCATCGGACTTTGTCCACGTCAGTTTTTCGTAATTTCTACATGTAACACATAATTGCCAACCTGAAACGGTCTCCGCGACTGGACGATCTAGGAAAGAAGAAACCGAGAGCGGGCATAGACCGATTATTATTATTGGGATCCACGGTAGATTAGATTACCAGATTTATCCGGTAAAACCATCGATAAGACTGATTCGTAATCTTTCATACTGGTCCGAGAAACTCCCCAATTTTCAAAAATTCTTCTGCGTATGTAACTTATTCGGTGGATTAATTAGGATCAAGCCAAGATCGTTTTATAGACACCGGTGCAACGTTTTTTTTTTTTCTCGTGTCTAACAGCCCAAATCATGTTATAAAACAATTATCTTCAATCCTGTTATTTACAATTCTATTAGGTGTATAACTGTTGCTCTGTTTCCTTGAATTCCGATAGAAAAAAATGAAGTTGCAACACGAAGGATGGAGAGTCAGCCGTGCGCTCGAACAAATCCGTGCGGTGGTCATTACGATTGTGGTAGCGGACACAGTGGGAAAAAAACATCGAAACGATTCGGTGTGCGTACAGTCTATTCAAGTCTATTGTGTACGATATACGTATTAATGTTAATGCATTAAACTCGGGAAGCTTTTCAAAGGTTTCAAATGTGACCCCCTGATGAAGCTAGCGGGCAATGCTTGTCAAACATTGGAAAAATATATTTCTCAAGGACACAGTTTACATCTGAAACCCTCAATAGTAATAACTGTATCATACCTAACTATTTGTTAGGTACAGTTTCTAGAGTCTTGGAGTCCAAAATCGTCTTCACCGTTCTTCAAATTTTTTGCAATCGATGTCAACGACAAACCAATCTGGAAGATGACTTCCACTGGACTAGGCCTGAGTTAGACATCACTTTCCTAGCACAATGACACAACAACCGTCGGTAGACGGATGGATACTAGATGTAGCAAATTCATTTTCCACGAATGGGTCGCTCTCCATCGATAGGAAGAATTCGACAACAGATGTGTCTCGACTCGGTGGACGCGTGCTTTCGGCGACTTCGTTCTATAGAACTTTCTTCTTCACGGTTTCTCTGAGCCCGGAGAGAGTCTCGGAGACGCATAAATATTTTTCCGCTCATGGTACTGACCCCGCGAGTCGCGTCTAACGACGAACCCGTTGGTGGTTAGGTACGTTTCAACGATCTTTCGATTTCGTTTCTGGAGGAGATCACCGTTGGGGGATGTTCGGAGATCATCCAGTTGGCGGACGCGACGCCATCTTCGGTAAATCTATTTTATTTTCAAGAAAAATCGTGCTGAATGTTGAGTGATCCGTTGAGGTTTCCGATGTTCGATACACTAAACTCGAAAGCTGAGCTGTAGAAGGGTACTACACGGATAACGGTATAAAACATCCTCACCTCGATAGTTGTCCCTCGGTCAGGACCGTGTCGCAGCACCGTATCGAAGCGGGTGACCATTACCAGGCACGACCTCTGTGCCGACCTTCTGAAATCGAACCCTGATCGACACTCGAGGCCCACAATGAAGCAGCCCCAAGAATCACGAGAATACCTTTCTAATCGAGGGAATAGTTCGAGAGTTTCATCTTACCGATTAATATCTGTAACCGAGAAAAGATTTTCTGGTGTTTTCAGTCCTGGTTCCGTGGAGTCCGTAGCAGCAAGTTCCGGCACGTGTACGGTGTGCCAGCGAAACGGGAGAAATGCTACGACAACATCAAGATCACGAAGAACGCCCACGATTCGCAGTTCTGCGCGGTGAATCCGAAGTTCCTCGCCGTGGTGACAGAGGTGGCTGGCGGCGGGGCGTTCCTCGTGCTACCGCTCGATCGCGTGAGTTATCTTGGCCCGATCAAATTTTATCCCCCACCCAACATTTACTGCCCGTATACACAGGACACACGGAACAGATAATGGCCCCGCGGAGCGCTGAATTTTACACATCGCGACACGAATAGCCTCTCGTTATCGTTTGTTATCGCGACCCGTTCCATCGCTCGAAGCCCGCGATACAAACGTAATTAGAATCCCGTTAGTACGTAACCAGATAAGAATGCGTTTCGATGTTTATCGACGGATCGGATTCTATAGAGACGCTTTTATTTACGATGATTGTGTGATCCTCTTTCAGACTGGTCGGCTGGACTTCAACGCGAGCAGGGTCACCGGGCACACTGGGCCCGTTCTAGACATCAAATGGAATCCGTTCAATGACAACATCATCGCATCGTGCTCGGATGACTGCACTGTACGATCAGGCGTTGCGTATAGACTGCTCGAAATAGATATGAACCTAGGCGACGTCTGTCTCTTTCTGGTAGTTAAGAGTAGCCGATGTAGCATTTGTTAGTGTAGGAGCTGTACACCTGAGTGGTTTCAATTATTTTCGGTACAGATATGCCTAAATAACTTGGTGTGACACTCGGTCCAGGTATATACGAAGTCAAAACAAAGTACTCGAGTAGTTACAAGATTGTAGGTCCAGCTACTACACTTAAGTCCAACTATTTCGAGCAGTGTCATTTTCTTCCCTAGCCTGTTTGTCACCTCCAATCTTTACATTCTGTTTGCTGACGCTAGATCAAACTATGGCACATTCCTGACGGGGGCCTCTCCCGAAACTTGACCGAATGGCTGGTGGAGTTACAAGGTCATAAGCGCCGCGTCGCCTACATAGAATGGCACCCAGTCGCCGAAAACGTCCTCTTCAGCGCTGGCTTCGATCATCTAGTGATCGTTTGGGACGTGAACACAGGTGAAGCGGTCAGCGTGATCGACAGGCATCCCGATGTGATCTACAGCATATCGTTGAATCGTGACGGCAGCTTGTTGGCGACCACGTGCAAGGATAAGAAGCTGAGGGTCTTCGAGCCGAGATCTGGCATCGTGGTCTCCGTACGTGTCCGCCGATTCATAGATGGAAATTAATCGATACGATCGACGATAGATTCGGTGAAAAGGGAGAATTTAGGTCCTAAATTATCAACTTCATCCCCGATACTTGAAACACTGTACGCATTAATTTAGAGACCAGGGCAGCAAGATTAAGACCTTACAAGCAGTTAAAAGATTTTAGTGCCCCTGTTGTCATCTTCTCTAGTCAGTCTTCTGCCAAGTATACCTATCTACCGAATCTCGGTGCTTGACGTGTTAATGTTATCTTTTATTCTCGTTCATTGACTCGATGCGATGCCCGTCTTTTAGGAAGGAGTTTGTCACGCAGGGACAAAGGCCAGCAAAGTAGTATTCCTCGGCAGTTCGGGACGTCTTCTGACCACCGGGTTCAGTCGACACTCCGATCGACAGTACGCCATCTGGAGCCAACACGACCTCGCAGTACCACTGACCTGCGAGACCATCGACTCCTCCAGCGGGGTCGTCTTTCCGTACTACGATAACGACACCAACATGGTGTATCTTGCGGGGAAGGTATATATACATACCCGTATCGACTATGTCTCTTCGTAAAAGTGGTCCACTTCACACGTAACTCCATAATATAACCAGTAGTCCGATATAACTTCCGCGTCTACATAGAACGTATCTTACGATACGTGGTTAGCGTCAACAGTGTTCCATGACCGGTCTTGGACAGATGCATTCAAGTGTGGCTTCAAGTATCGAATGAGACATAGTAGGAGGGTAAAGGTCCCAACTACTGCCGCCTTATTTATTTTACTTAATAAAAACGTGTAACATATAACGAATTGTATACAAGCGTTATTAACCGAAGTTACGTTACAATCTTGAGGTGGCAGTAATAAAGTCGGCATTAATAGTTGTAGCAACGTGTCCAGTGACAAAAATGAATATTCTGTCCCCAGGGTGACGGTAACATCAGGTACTACGAGGCGGTGAACGAGGCTCCCTGGATGCACTACCTAAGCCAGTTTATCTCTGGGAATCCTCAGAGGGGATTGGGCGTGATGCCAAAGAGGGGTGTCAGCACCTCCACCTGCGAGGTGTTCCGGTTCTTCAAGCTGCACGCGACTCGTGGAATGTGCGAGCCGATCTCGATGATAGTCCCACGAAAGGTTAGGTCACGTTACACGATCACTTTCGAATTACCACCCCCTGGTCTAGTTCGGCCAGCTGTTGCTAATTGTCAACTTTCACTTTCGCCCGTCAGAGCGACCAATTCCAGGAGGACTTGTACCCGGACACCGTGGGCACCTGTCCGGCTCTATCAGCCAGAGACTGGATCAGCGGCATCAACAGTCCACCGATCTTAGTCTCCCTGAAAACCGGTAGGACCGTTGAACTTTTCTCGTTCTGTTCTTTTTTTTCCTACCTTCACTTCCTTACCGTCGTGTTACTTAGCCCGTTTATCTACGGAAAAAAGCTTGCCAAAAGGTGCCACTACTCTTATTACTGTGCATTTCTTCGCGGATAGAATATCCGAATTATTACTGGTATTTCGCTACCATCGCATTTGGTCCCAAGCAAATTTTTTGGGGGCAAGCCGTTATAATGGCAAGAATAGTATCTAAAAGGATTAACAATTACTCCAATTGAATGTTACTCAGGAGGCAGTATCACCACGCACAAGCCGCGCGTTTACAAGCCAGCCCAAATGCCAGCTGCGACCGACTTGAACAACAAGAAGAAGTTCGCGTTCCTATCCACCGAGACAGTGCCGGATTACAGGCCGATAGAGTTCCACGAGATGTCCGAGAAGAGTCAGAAAACATCGAGCAACCAAAGCACCAAGTTCCAGCAGCTCCAGCAAAAGTTCGGGAGCGCTGTCCTACAGGTAGAATCGGTTGCCTCTGAAAGGCGTCTCTCTCGCTGACTCAATTTTCTACACACAGTCTATTCTTTTTATTCACAAATAATTAGGAAATAACGAAAACTTGTTGTGTTTTTATACTGGTTTCAAAAATTCGAAGAAACTGCACAAGATTTTGTTCTTTCACAAATTGTGGTTATAATTTCTGATCGGTACATTTCTGTGCCGCAGAAGAACAACATCATCGCCCCACGCCCTGATAACAAGATTCTAGAGACCGTGGACATTCCCAACAACGAGGCCGAGCTTAGACTAGCATTCGCTCGGCAAACCGACGAACTGAGATTGGTACGACGACAGCTGGCCAACAGCCAGTTACGAGTCAAGGAGCTAGAGGACCAAATGCGCAAGCTTCAACGCCAGTAAAGCTTCCCCCTGAGTCCATATGCCGTATCCACTCGCGGGGTTTTTTACTCTGGAGAGGAAATAATTTCCATAGTTAGACCCGACAACAGTTATATAATAATTGCTTCTACTCTCGAGAGTAAAACTTACCGATCCGAGACCACAGAGGTGTGTCAACTATTACGCTCAATGTAGCCTTTCCACGATTGGCCGATTTTTATATAATCGAATTATTGTTTGGACATTTTTCGAGATCAGAGATTAGGAATGATAGGAACAATATGCTAGAGAAATGTTTTCTTCTTCTTTATCTTTTCTTAGAAGTCGGCTGTGGTTGAGAAATTGATGTTGGCCCAAAAATATAATGAATTTCATTCATTTACCGATTAAAACCAGAAGAATATATAAAGGTGGTTCTTATTTATTTCGTACTTTCTTCTGTAGCTTGAGTCTAATCAATTGCACACCTCTGTACGCTCAACGATCTTCGCTTCGAAAAACATATTTCTTGTAGGTTTGTTGCTAGTTGTACGAGAGACACGGTACTTAAAGTATAAACGACGCGATAACGTGCACCGTTCACGAAACGGTGCGACGCCTAAGCTTTACCTGAACGGTTGCACGAATAATGGTGCATTAGACTCCCTGAATCGCATTTTAAAGGTGCAAAAATGAAGAAAAAAAAGACTTCGAACTTTCTTGAAATGTACTTGCTGTATTTACGCACGATGCAGCTGTGTGTTCATGTCTATTTAAACTGTTTTCTAGTGACCTTCTCGTCTTTCTGTCTTTTCAGTCCGTTTCCTAGCCTCCGTATACGACGGTATTTTCGCCGTTCCGAGCGCGCAGCAATGGAGCAAACAATAATTTAGTCAATTTCCACTCTGAGAAAGTTCAATGTGTAGAGATCCTGGGAAAAATAGATGGGACGATTGTAATTTACACTATTGCCTTCACTGTACAGACGAGCTTTTGTCTCTGTGTATTAGCTTGATCTTATTCTCGTCTTCGTTCGTGCACTCGATACATCATAAATAGCTCGTATTAAATGTAAAAATTGAACTGCACTTGACTTTTCATCGGTGCAGATAGAGATGATTAGCCGTTTCTTTGTCTCACACGAGATTTCACAGTGTGTAATGAAGTTTCATCTGTACCTTGTGCACTGTTATTTTTTCGTATGTACAACCTCTCTATACACCTTCTACTTTGCGTCTATTTATACTAGTTTTTCGGTACGTTAGGAGGTACGTAAAACCTCGAGCAAGTATTAATTGTTCAGTACACGGAGAATTGTACCTGTCTTGTGCATACGCACGTTTGTCGTATGCAGTTCATCCTTGTAAAGGCTGATTCAAACTATTGCTACAAGCTGCAGATGCCATGGCAGAACTCTATGCGTTTAGTTAGATGATTATCTCTTTTAAAGACCTTCAGGTTTTTACTTCGTAAGACATATATTTATTCGAGTGTGTACGCAATGCATTTTGCGTAATAAAAGTAATCTAGATTTATGAGATTCGAATAGCGTGCGATGGCCACGATGACAAAAGTATGTTTATACATTCCCATCAGCGAGTTCTATCATAACCTGAACAGCTTGTACCTGTGACTTTGAAACACCCTTGTATAAAATTCTCTAACGTAGAGTGATAGATAAATGCAGATCGTCGAAAAATCACGGTGTGCATTCTAAAAATTGCAATAAATATCACCCGGGAAATACAAATGAAGCACAAGATACGAGGACTTAACGATAACGATCGGTAACGTACAATAAGGTGCCCCCCAAACTTAATTGCAACGTCGACGCAATAATTCTCGATGCATTTATGTAATATTTCTACTAGTAATCGCTTTAAGTTTATCGATCAATTAATTGTATTATATTTATTATTTGATTTACCGTTACACGGGTCGATGCTTAATCTGAAGTTTGATCGTCGATGAAAATTAATCACGGTAGCGCCTCTTTAATTGTCCCGATTCGCATTCCCCGCTTATAGTCATGCGACGGATGTTCCAAATTTTTTTTAAACATTTCTGTACACAATGTTTTCGACTTTTTTCGATCAGCCCAAACTTCTCGTCAGGAGTCCCAAACACGTTCGAACAGTTGTTGTTTCTCGAGTACAGGACAACTACAGAGGCAGTACCGTGGATTAATTTCGCTAATGGCTGTACATTAATTTATCTAATATTTAAGTTAACACTACACTGTGTTCTATTCGTTCGTTCTTGTATGTAAGATAGAGAATTCGGTTCGTTAACGTTTAAGCTGATAATCGTGCGTGTTCATCACTGCCACCCCCCCCCCCCCCCCCCCCCCCCCCCAAGTGACGATATTTATTGTACACTATGATTAATTTTTCGATCGTTAGGCTGATACGTTCTTTTTATAAGGTAGACTGTAGAGTGCGCAATACGTGCACAGTGGGAATATATAGCGGACACTGTGATCGATGAACAATTGGAAAGAACAACTGTCGCGTAGGCTGAGTATTGATGGGAAAGAAAAAGAGAAGAAAATAGAAATATGCAATTTTCTATTATACGGTCAGCTATACTTATATCATAAAGTAACGCCGATATATGTGTGTATGTGTGTGTGTGTGTGTGTGTCAAATAAAACATTATCTAGGACCAACAAAACGGGAAATTGTTAGTCACAAGAGAAGTCTATTACCGCTTGATAGTGATCCAATTAAGTAATGGTTTATACACTGTTTATATATATATATGTATTTTTCATACGATATATATAGTTGCAACGTCAACCGATAAATATATATATATACAAAACTTGAACAGAATTCCTCACCAATTAAGATACGTGTAACGCGTGCTTGGAATTAGTCATTCGCAGATTTAAAAAGAACAAAAAGAAACAACAGTGTGTCATTCTAATTTGTCAATGTATGTTCAATTTTGGTTTTGATACAGCTTGTAGCGCGATGGAAATATGTCTTTTTAAAGCATTCTGTATTTACTTCTGCGTCTAGTTCAACCATACATATATAGAAATCGTTCCTTCTGGTGATAGAACACCAGCATAGTCGTCTCTGCAGGAATCATACAGTTATCGTATAGCCCAAGGTGTTCTCACTCGAGTGGCTAGAATAACCAAAGGGTTGAAGACCAACTGAACCGTTCCGTCAACAGTTTGAACAAGTTCTCTGACTTTCATGACACACAAGAATGAAAAGTTTGAACTTTTCTCAACTGTTGACTAAAGTTGACCACTGTGTTGTTGCAGACATTGTCACTGTTAGACTGTGGATTTTATACAAAGTACCAGAAGTTAGAATTTTCTATAACGTGTAAAACTGTTTCATGAATTTTCTTAAATTGGTCTACAAAAATATGAATCCCCAGTCTAGTCATCATTGATATCGTGAAAATAGTATTGATGATATTGATATTACAGTCGATGATGATTTATACATTTCAAGGCTTACATTTACCGAGTATGTTTCCATTATGGCCGCCGCTTCAACGAGACAAAGTTTTTGCTTTTGTCATTCAATACGTGTGTATAATACGTCGTGTCGAAGAGTGCTATCCTATATACTGTTCACTTGTATAAACGGATATACATACATATATACCAAAGAGCGTTAACATACAAGTACCTTGCCGATTCATCGTGAAACAATTTGTTATCAACAGTTGATCGACTATCATAATGTATTTATACGCAGAGAGAACGTGAAAACCGATGTGTAAGGCAAACGGGGTATCTTGTTCGTGAATAAAGAACAAAGCATCCAATACAATGTGCATTGTTTTATGGTCCATATGATAAAATACAATTGTTCTGAACTACAAGACTGCGAATTTCCTGCTTTTATAAATTAATCTATAAAAATTAAACTTTACATAAACATCCGCAATCTTTTAATCACTCGCATACACACATAACACAATTTGTGTTCAAGAATGTTCAAACTGCTTACTAGTATAATTTGTTCAGTGTGTACAGTGATGCATACTTTGTACAAAATCATACAAAAGTGAACAATATAGATCTCTATTCAAAAATATATGTATATAAAAATAATAAAAAGTAGCTCTATACAAGTTTTAAAAAATTAAAAATTCCACAAGGAAGGTAACTTATAATAATTCGTAACTTACACATTATGGACGGATTAACACTACTTCAAAAATTCATTTCTGATCAACACATTGACTGTCCAAATTTTCACTCCAGTAATATCATAATGAAACAACAGATTTGTTTAAGTTTTTCGATATCAAGAATACAATACACTGTCAACGTGTTAGTTTTCCGATAGTAGGGACAATTTGCAATAATTTGTTGTGTAACGGTGAAGGGGGGTAAACATTACCTTTGAAATTTCGCGGGAGGTATGAAATTGTTACGCGAAAGTGTCTACCTCTGGAGGAAAAACTTATGAGCTAACAGTACCCCGATCGGTATCATCCACGCGGTAGTTGGTTTGAAAGTGGTCGCTGGATTGCAACCATCGCCAGAACAGGTGAAGATGCAGGTACGGTAAGTTAATTTATCTCCCTGTTGATTCACGTAATCGCAATAGTTCCCCAGATCCACAGCTGAACAGAATCGTTTTGTACCTATTCCACCTGTTGTTGTAACACAGAAAAAAATGTTCGGTTGTCCGTTGTAACAATTTATTCGTTTACCATCGAACACACGAAGCGAGGATAACACAACGTGTATACGTGCGAAAAGATGTACGGTGGCAGAAGAAAGAAGCGTGCACAGAACGAAATAAACATGCAATGATTCTATGTAGTCATGGAAATTTTTTAGCACAGACCGATCGATTAAAATTTCGGATCGTTGACTGTCAAGTTACTTTCTTGGAATGAATTCTGTAACTTTTTTTTCAAATCCTAACAGTCAAATTATAATTTATCATTTTAATTTTTTCCTGATTCTTTTCTAAGAGTGCAAAAAATGAAATCAAATGGAGGTAAAAGAAAACTACTTATTTATACACGACACTAAGAAGTCTCAGAACTACACGATAAAAACCTCCATATCGTCCGACTGATTTGATGCAATAACGTGCATCGTAAACGTGACTGCAGTTCGATGGTTGCAAGGTACTTAGAACCAATTTGTCGTCTCCGCAGACCAGTTCCCCTTCCGATGTACATTGATAGCAATCCAGACTTGTGGCTTGATTGATTAAGAAAGCACTGATTAAAGCTTGTCTTATTACCAGTGTGTGTATCGTGGGTTAGGTCTGAGGTTAGAAGTCTCTATAATAAAAAATAAGTAATAACTATTCCAAAAAAGTACGGACGTTAAAGTGAACAATGTTGCAAGTATTCATATTATAAACCCAACAGTCTGGATGTTAAGTTTCAAACGAACCCGGCCAAAACCACACAACCATTGCATACCATAGATGTATACCCGTCCGTGTAAGCATGATTTCAAATGTGTCCAGGCACCGGAAGATTAATTTGAATCGAGATGATCGACTGAACATGCTCCGATTGTTCCTATCTACATGATTCAATGAATAATTAATACCAAGCTGACCGCACGATGTAAGGTTAGTTTCCATTCCAAAGTGTTATATTCCCCAACCTATTCATCATCGCATGGCAAATTGTGTACTCGAAGGTAACGATACATACATAGTAATACTTCGTAAGATTCGAGCTTTACGTCCTTTACACTTCTAACCATTAATCATAATAGAATTTTTCAAAATAGAAATGTTTTGAATCTTGTGAGGCATTGTTGCGCACTCGGGTAGCAAACTCAGCGGGCTCGTAAAGAGAGGTTTGATTCTGATGGTCAATAAAGGATAACACGGTATTAGAAAACTGATTCGCTGTTCCGAAAATTGCATTTATGGCTCCACTTTGTTTACAACCACGTTATGCCATTACCGTCAAGTGAAACACAATTTGCCAATATTTGTTTACCCTCAAATCGGCCAGTATGTTTCACACAGTACTGGGCCCCGAAAACAGCGTCACACGACTCGGGGCCGATATCGACGTCGCTCGTAAGAAATTCGTTGCATTGGAATGGATGCGTGTTGTTTGTGCTGCTGCACTGATAGCATCGTAGACTGTAGCCTGAACGAAAATAACCCATCAAAAGACAGAATGTCCTTTCATCTCTGATGTCGATTGCATATGATATTTTTCATCGATAAACATATCGATTTTAACGAACAGTTTTTTTGGAGAAAAAGAACCGTAGCTGTACATATTTAGAATTTATGTTCACCAGACTATCCGTGATAATAGAACTATAAAAGTCTCTTAAAAGTTACTGTTGAATACAACGGGTGAATATGTCAAAACAGATATATGATAATATCGAAAGAGGTCACAAATAAGACGATTTATCATACCAGATAACATTTGACTTTTATGAACGAATATTTGACCTGTATCTCAGCCATTTATCATTGACTCGAATCAATCATTTTTCCATTAAAGATAATCGTTTGTCCTAACATTGGAATTTTTCTTTTAAATCTAATAATTTACAAGTAGTATACACCTATTAGTCACCTGATACCTATCTATTTACATACGTTCATACCCGTATATAACGTATCCTTTGAAACTGATGAACAATAACGAACTTTAATCGATAGTATAAGTATCTACAATAGACTAAACAATACACGTCTCGACGTTGTGCCCACCATGTGGTCCCTTTGTAAACCGTAGCAGCATTAATAACAATAGTTCCAATTTTCCCTACTTGTTACCCCGTGGTGTTGACCAATCTAGCTGCCGAATGATTAATTTTACATATAAAGTCTGATACGCGTTCGTTCGATTAAAGGATCAAAAAATTACAAATGCCCCGCCCAAGGGACGCCACGATGTTCAGGTCGTTTGGTTACGTGCATTAACCTCTTACCACTTTCGACGAAAAGAAATAATGCCGCGAAAAGTGCTAAGCACCTCGTGCCGTTGTTGGCGCCCATTTCGAACGATCCTTTTCCTCACAGATCACAGGCTAGACCGTTGTTCGTATAATACCACGGGTGTTCAAATATAATAATTTTTAAGGAACACTTTTAACCATAACAGTGCACGATGATAACCTTAGCACGCGTTCACAATGACAGAAACCAGTGTCACAACGACGCGCGAATGCGACTGACTAAACTGACTTAGGTCAATGGGAAGGGAAGGGATCGGGAAACCACGAGTTGTGGGTTGTGGCCGAATCGTTCCGACTGAATACGGAAATCTCCGAAGCATTTTGAAATGATCTATAATCGATAAAGCGGCAATAATTTGAAATTTCTTTTACCGTTTCACCAGCACAATCGAAACGTATTGTTTATTGTATATCGACGACGAAATGTTTAACATTAAATACCGGTGTACTCTATAACTTCTATGTATTATCTTATTCATTTTCGTTATTATATATTATCATTTATTTTCTTCGTTTTACATAAAACAATATAACAGATTCTGAAATTTATACATACACGGGATACTTAATATGTATAATAGACTGCGGATTTTTATGTTTAAACAATAAGTCTTCGAAAACAATAATTTAACATAGTTTACCATCAACGTACTAAACCCATTAGTACAATAAAATTCCATTTGAGTTCACTTCTTGTGGAATTGGTCTAGAAAAATGTACATTTACATAAACGTCCGCAGTCTGTGATAATATATCTATAAAGATATTATATGTATACGCATGATTATACATATAGATACAATAAATGGAGGGATTCATCGCGATTTCAAATCAATCGAATATAAACAACGGAAGAAAGAGACATACGCGTGAAATTTTTCCATCGTATAACGCAAACATAATACTCCGGAATTTGTTAAGTTTACAAAAATTATAAAAAAAAACGTATATATCTCACTCTATTAACGGCCGCGATAAAATTCCTTAATGTTCTACGACAGTCATTTTCTAATTAAATAATATTAATTACAATTTTCACGCACAGCGTACTAATATAATTTCTCGAATCTTAATGTAAATCATCTGAAAGAAATGGTAAAGCTATATAATCAGTATTACTAACGCATCGCGTTCCTACATACATTACATAAGTATACGTATAATACATTATACGAATTAATTTAGAATATTGTTTGGGCACTGCGTTATTACTCAACAAGATTCTCTACCACTATGCTGCCTGTACTCGTATCTTTCGATTTGGAAGACTTCAATTTACTCTGTTCTACATTACGACAATACTTTTTAATCGGTTTCGAAGTATCTTTCGCGTTCTGTTTGTTACGTAAAAATAACGATTTCGATGGTGACTTCATATTGTCCGATACGTTGCCGGACGATTCCCCGATTTCCGGTCGCGACCTGTTCATTCTCGAAGAGATGATTTTTAATCTCTTCGCTCCGTGTTTCACGATCGCCGTTTCTTCGGAGGACAGTGCCATCCGTGCTATCTTCGACAGTTTGCTTGTCGCCGTTAATTTTTTACTGGTACAGTCCCTCGTTTGTGATCCCAACGGATCGTTGGCACATCCAAAATTTGAATTCCTTAAACGACCATCCGGACTTTTTAAAAACGTCTTCACGACACCCTCTGATCTGATCGCAGGTATTTTCGAATTACTCTCGACGCTGTTAACGCACTGATTTTTTAGCGGTCTACGAGCTACCGTTTGTCGTGGTTTCTTGTTACTTTTTATTCGTTTCACTGCGGTGTAAAGCGACGTGGTCCGACGTATGATACATGCTTTTTTTGCCAGGTTCGTTTCGCTCTTCATCGAGCACTTCGCCCCTATCGAGGAATCGTTTATCTGACATTCGGCTCCCTTTAAATTGAAAGAATCTTGGGATACAATACCATTATCATCCTGCGAATAAAAGGGTGTTTTTTTAGGTTTTTATTAACAACAACAATATCTGTTCGAGAACATAATCAAATACAATGCGATCAATTTTGTATGCTGTATTGCTTAATGTACATTCATTTAGACCCTGTTCAGAGTCAGTGATCACTGTGTGAGAGAGAGATTAATTTTGTTCTATTGATTTCCTTGTGAAACACACTGAATGTATGTATACACAACATTTATTCTTCGATTTTGTAATTGAACTCACTTCATGTATCGCTGGGGGAAGAAATACAGTGTATTCGTATGTGTGCACTTGTACAAGTGTATGTTATAACAGGATACATTGTAAAAATTCTATACACGAATTTATACATAATATCATTTTTCAATTACTAACAACATTTACATATGTATAATAAAGAGCATGGTAATAAATATTGTATTTACTCCGAGGCTATGACTTTTAATAAATTATTTGATGTGATTGAGTATTCTTATTTTAACAATGAATTCTATATAATGGTACAACACACATTTGTAATTTTCTGTGTAATAGACACATATACTTGATATTTCTCTTAATACAGTCAAAAAGTATATAAAACAGTCCATTTTATTATATTGAATGAAAGACTTAAAAGTTCCATAATTATTACCATTTATTTAATTAATGACGAAATAAAGTGAAATATCTACGAACTTCAATGTGAAACTTTGATTTGGAAATCTGCACATCTTTTTGTGAGAACACTCCGTCATCCAGAGATTTATGGTTCAATCGTCTAAACCACTATTTTTTGCATTTCGCTAAAGAAATAGACATTATTAATTACACATATGTGTATTTCTCACTGTCACTCACAACCGTGAAACAATTTTCAAGTGCATGTGATGCTACTTTAAGTGCACTTATCTATTATCACCAAAATTGTAGTGCATCAAAAACTGATTAAAAGAAATAAAGAAACAAATACATTTCTTTACCAGAAGTATAAGCATTAGCAGTGAGTATTCAATACTCAATTAGTCATAGTGTGAAAAGATATAAAATCTTACAGTCTTTATAATTATATACTAAAATTGCATTGCAAAAAAAGTTATGCAATAAAAACATTGCATGATATATTTTTGTTAATACAATCAACACAGCTAAGCTTTGTCTTTTGTACACCTTGTAATTTAGAATAAATTATCTAATAAGTCTACAAAGAACAAGTAGACAGTTTTTTCATAAACTTTTATGTAAAAATATACCAAATATTATTGTCATGCATACGTATACGGAAGACCCATTAGTTTGATATATTAAAAATTTTACAAGATCTACAATAGTCACGTATTTAAAAACAATTTATATACTTGACAAGTTCGAGAATTCAATATGAAATCTTCTCACAATATTGCAACACTATAAAATAAGAGTATATCTTTCCGGCAATAACAAATGTATAACTTAATGTCGTTGAAATGAAATAATATACAATTTATATGTATACAAAATCTCTCTCCCACATTTTCTATCAGGAAAATAAAGTGCAGTCTACCTAGGCACTAATGTGTCTTGATAATTAATACACAAAAGCGTACAAATTTAGTGGCATTATAAATTAAGAGAGTACACACTGTCTTATATCAACAGCTGAAATTTCACTCTCATTATCGACATCAAAATTTACCTTATGCAGAGGCTTGCCGAATGGCGTTGAAAGATTGTTCACGTACGCTAATTTTAAATAAGATTTTACACCCCTTAAAGAACGATACTGACTATTTGGCAATCGACTATTAGGATTATTACTTGTAAGGTCCAGAATCGAAGGACCTAATGCTGCTCCGACCTGTGAGGACAGCAGTTAATGACAGTATTACTTATCCAATTGAATAAAAGGTGTTCGTGACAAAAGAGATAACAAAATATATTACCGCTTCATAAACTGCTGGGGTATATTTCGGTGGAACAAATATAGGAGGCACAGTTTTGTTGACGCCATCACGAACCCTTGCTGGCATTGTGTTCACCAAGCGTCCAGAATTGTAGTTGCATTCAAGGGTGTAACTACGAATGAGGCCAGTCAATTTATACACAGCAACCCGTCCCGATCCTTCCCTTGACATTCCATCCCTCTTGTCTCTATATAAATAAAACTTGTTAAATGGAATAGAAAACCTTAGCTACAATGCTTTCTCCAGGACTTACATAATATACATGTTTCTCTCGGTAAAATTGCACGAGGTAAAATGGAAATTTGGGTTGTTGATTGACATCAATTTTGGCAGAAGCATACACGTTATTGTATCGTCTGCGTTCTCGAAATAGTTGCCGTACATGAAAACACCTTTTTTCGAGGCATGTCCATGAAGGTCAACGTACAAATATAATCCAGAATCTTCTTTAGGTAATTGTCCTATGCCAACAGCAGAATAAATTGTTTTATCTGATTTAAGTTCTACAGAATTATCACTCTCTTCTGTACCATTACACAGGCCTTCTCCACCACCTTCACATAAGTTTGCATAAATAAATAAAAGAATTTTTGTGTCACGTTCAATAATACAATTCTAAATATCATACCCTGAGGCATATCATCCATGCTGTGTGCTCTGGGTAAGGGGAATTCCTGAAAAATTTCCAGCTGATCTTTATGATGTTTCTCATCTAATGTCATAAGTGTTACCTAGTGTTAGAATTATTGGTTAGTGTTTACTTATTTGCCACTTTGAAAAGAACAGGTCTGGGTTAGTACATGTTAGTATTGGTATGCATAGAAACAGAATCACAGAGTGTCATGTTTTTGCCATTATATATAATTACCTGTTGTAGCAATCTAGTTGTTGTATCACGTACGATACTTGTAATTCCACAAGAGGAATCAATAATGTTTTCTCCATTTTCGAAGCTTACACTCGAAATCTCATCTTCTTTTGGCAGTTGGTACGTGTAATGGTAATACCTTAAAAATGATTTTTTTTAGAATTTTAGATTTTTTTTGAAGAATTCAACAAATAAGAAGAACAGTGGCAATTATTTATTACCTTATTAAATTTCTTGCAGCATATATCGTTGGGTGTTCTTTTATAGAAGGATTGAGGTATACTCTATTAAGATTAACACCCCTGGTGTCCATTCTATAGTGACCTCTAGCCACACCATCAGGATTGAGCATTGGTATCAACTTGAACACATATAGGCGGCGGAGGTTGATTGCCATAGGGTCTTCACGATTCACAAGAAAATTAAGAAAACCATTGAAAACGAAGCTTGAAGGTGTTTCTCCTGGATGGACCCTTGCACTAACGAAAATTACCTAAAAAAATTTATCTTCATTCAAAGAACATTCTGGTTTTAATAATTTAGTTTTTACCAAAACTTTGAATATATCGATCTGTATACTTTTTTATTCCAAAATTTGAAGGGTCTGTCTTCGTGTTTCTCAGGAAACATGTCGATCAGTCTATCTTCTCTCTCTGTTGATATATTATGAAATGAACTGATTGTAATGATGTCTAATCTTCGTCCTTCCAGAGATTTTATTGCACATTCTCTATGATAGTAAACATCATCTGTACATGTTATGGTTCTTTTTGTTACTCTAGCTTCGACTCTTCTTAAATAATTTTGAAGATCAGTGTAAGAGAAAGGATAAGTAAATGCCAAATATGTAGTGGCTTTAGTATTTTCAGGAGTACAGTAAAGGAATGACAATGTAAAATCACTGCCTTTCTGATCCACCTAAAATATCAAAAGTTTGTAATATTTTCACAACAACAAGAGAGAGTTGATCATTAAATTACATTAAAATTTACGCTATATGTAGGTCTTTCACGAATTCGTTCCCAATGCAGATGACCAGGTATGACTTTAAATACTGGGCACATCCCCTGGCTGAACATTTTCAGTTGTTTATTTAAATTAATTATATTAAACTTCACATATATTCTTGGGACATTGGCTTTGAAGCCAAAATAAAACCATGTTCTATTGCCATTTTGAAATTGTGTGCCGTGACAATCATGTTTCGTCCATATGTTGAATTCATACTCCACAGAGTCTTCTGAGGTGGAACTTTTACAGGATTTATTTTCTGTCTCATTCGCATCTAAGGACAATGAAATATTACATTATTAATTCTGTGATGTTAAATTACGAATTTTATATGTTTGCAATATATAAGTCAATGTAAGGAGCATGATATAAATATTGCAGTAAAACTATTCTTGAAAATGTGAATCTAAATAAACATGCAGTATCTACATGACAAATATAGGTCAAGGGAAGAATACGAAATTACCCTTTTCAGATGGTTCTGGTGCTTGGACCTGTTCAACCCTGGCTAGATTCGCTGAATCGAAGTTGTTGTAAAATACAAAGCCTCCGCAAATGATAGGATCGGCTGTATTCGCCATGGTGTGTCAAAGGTTACAAAGTTCTCTGCAAAATACTGGTATGAAATGTTTTACGCGTGTCGAACGTACATGATCGTTTTCAAAGTAGGAAAATTCGTATTAATCGTGTTCTCACTTTCTCCGATATCAAGCTCAATTTTCCCCGTTCGTAGCGTTACTCTCATATTAAAAGGGTCATGGTTTGACAGTTATCTTGAAACCGAGACGATCTCGATCGCTAGTCTGTGGTTCACGCTACGAAATTAATCAACGCGCCTTAGAAACAAGCCGAACGTATTTCTATTGTGAATCTCTCGCTCAAATAATACACAACAAGCTCTGTCCTTCCAATATTTTCACTAGCACCATTGTTACGATTAACGCAAACATGTTTGCGAGCTCGTCATAGCTATTCGTATAAGTACCCGACCGATCAGCGATTATGACAGAATCACGAGTGGCACCATTTGTCAGCTGTTTCAAATCTCTTCTGAATATATTTCCAACAATATTAATAGAATTTTAACATCAGCCTGTGTTACAATGTCGATCCGATCGAAACTTCCACGAAACGCTTAAATTTTCGAAATGTTACATTTTCATGCTAGACCTAAATTCGATTGTTATGTAAGTTGTATAGTTTTTGTCTTTTAACATTTTTTGTCGCAAATTATATTTATACCTGGGTTGCACGAAAATTATCGGGTGTTTTTAAGATAACAGCGAACGTCAAACTTATGTTTGACCAGTTGTTTAAGTTCACGACGAGCTATCGCACTTTGATACGATGTAATACTATTTGAAATAAAAACTGTGCCACACGATGAATATATAGGCGCGCTTTCTATTAAGAATTATTAGAGTAGGCATAATTTGGCACGATACTCTGATTATTACGTGCTCGTCTAAGCCCAAAGCCCATTGAATTCTAAGGCGCGAACAGAAATGTCCAATCCATGCGTCGTCATTAGAGATGGCGTGCAAAATCACTAGCGGTGATTTATCACAGTGATCGCCGAATCACGATCACGATCGTGATTTAACTTCATTCACGACCGTGATTGCGATTTTTCAAATGCGAAACATTGTTTCTAATTATTCTTTCACTTTATACGATATAACTCGAATTTTTGTTTTGATGTCGTTAACGTTAAATATAAAATATACAGATTATGTGTCGCGTGTAAAGAACTGTTAGGTTTCTCCACCAATCAGAAACGATCACGAGAAATCACGAATCACTGTGAAAAATTACCGTGATTGAGAACGAACGTGATCGAATCACGAGTGATTCACAAGTAGCAGTTCACGCCATCTCTAGACTTACATATGAGTAAAAGTATCGATACCTTTGTGGTATCGATTTAACCTTAGGCGCAGTACCGAGTGGCGGCGTTTAGCTAATAAAAAAGGCACTATTTAGCTAACAGACGTTTTAATAAAAAATTAAACATAACTCGGCAGTTCACCGCAGATGGCGTTAAGAATGCTTTCCAAAATGAGACGGTAATTAAAAAATGTACTGTATCGATTCAAGGGAATTCAACAAACAATTGACAGCATTAAGAAAATTAATTGTACAGGTTTCTTTATGTTTGAAAATACATTATACGCCATTAAATATCACAACCTAAGAGAGTAATTCCCATTTTTATCGGCGACTCTCGACTTGCGACATGGTATGGACGTTGATTCTGATCGCTGTGTACGAAACTTCATCAGCAGCTAGCGCCCTCCTCGTTGTCTGACAGTGTGGATAAGAATTAAGTCTACGAGAGTCGATGTCAAACATTTCGGTGCATCTTGATCCACCTTGGAACACATTTAATCCTTCCAGTTTACGACATTAACAGAATAAAAAACGAACCAGTAAAAACAACGATACCCAGAATCAACAATAATCGCGTTACGCCAAATTAATAATCGTAGGTAATACTACGCAAGTCGGAGTCGCACGTCTCGTGCGAATATCTTTCGTCTCGATATGCCTCGTTCTTCGATGTAACGCGTGACTACGGAGAAAACGTAATTTCTATCGAACACCCGTGCGTATCTTCTTCGTGTACAACAAGAGAAAAAAACGACGTCCTGTCGATCACCTGTTGTCGTCAACACGTCGAACCGTTCAGTTTGTCACACAGGGTGTCGCCGTATGGAGACGATGGGCCTACCACTGTCAACGGTTCGGCTCGATCGTCACGCGTACACGTACACACAAGCCGCCGCCAGACGATGTGGATCGTACCCACACCCATGCGAATTCACCTATCATAAGAGCCACGAGCACGGTGTCGTGTAGCTCAGATTGTGTTCCGCAGTGACCCAGAGAGCAGCGTCGTATAAATCCGCGAGGACCACCAAGTGACATTCGAACCGATTTTCACGTACCGCTCCCACTCAGTTACTTACGTGGCGGGTACTCGACGCTTGAGGCAACATGTGCGGTGAGTAACAAAAAATTTGTCTAGTCACACCCAGTGACGAAATTGTTTGCAAACTTTTCAATTTAAAATCATCGAAGAGACACTTTCGATTATATTCGAGAGAGAGAGAGAGAATATACGAAGGAGAAAGTGTGCGTGCGTCTCTTGAATTCTCCGTTGAAATCGTGGGTTCGTTCTGACAGCCCGCCTGCGAACTTTTCAATCGCTCACGCTGGCTGCCCGGCACGATTCTTTCGTTCGTCGTCGTAGTTCGATCCGAACATCTGGTATGTTTAATAGTAGTGTAGTCGCGCATGGTTGTACGAATCGAATGACGTTTACTGTTGTACCACACATGTATTTAAAGGTCCCTGGTGCTCGCGAAATTCAGGCTCGTCTTAACGCGCTAATTATCATCGAATAATTTACATACGTGTTATTTAAACATGACCGTTTCTTACGTGATTATTCGTATTGCTATCTTATCTCGTCATAAGTGATTTTCCTGTATTTATTTTGCTACTCCATTTCCAATAGGATCGTTTGTTTCGTATTGTTTTGGGAAAATTGTAATGTATGCATTCACAAAATGCTCGACAATAAAGTTTGAGAGAAAAAGTGGGCTTGTAATTAACATTTAACTCTAGAAATTAGTACACAAATGTTACGAAACGAAGCAGAAGAGAAAGAGAGGGAGAGAGTTATTATCCGATGTTACTAATATTAATGATCGTGCATTAATGTTATCATTATTTTTTTTTTTTTAACGAAATGTTTTCTGTGGATCGGGGTTAACGACAATTCGAACGAAATCGGATAACATTAACGGGATATTATTGCGTGGCGGAATACGGTACCCGTGAGTACTCGTGTATTTGTTTTCATTAAAAAGCGATTCCGTTGCGGGGAACTTTCTCTATAACCTCCTATCCGATCAGATATTCCGGTAATTTGTTTCTCTATAACGTGACCGCGTAATTTATTCATGAATATTAACCGATGAAATCCAATCTATCTCGTCGTTCGGTGGAACGATTGACGCCACGGCCGAAATTTTAATTCCAATAAAGGAGCAGTGGGAGGGAGCGATAACAACGTCACGGTCGACCATGTCCGGTTCATTAGACACAAATGTTAGAAGAAAATGAGTGACGCGGGTTTTCGTTAAACGGAGCATTGCGTTTGGTGATAAAAAGCGCGACGCGTAAAGGAAGGACCAAAGTAAACACAGTCAGTGAAGCTTTTGACGGGTACACAGTATTATATCTGATAAGAAATTGAATTCCGGTGGATTCTCTGATAATACATACATATATGTATGTATGTATATCGCGACACAGCAACGGTGACACGTTGCATCTGTAGTCGTTCGCAGGAGAAGAAATGGATGGTCGCATTTTTCACTTTCTTTGCCAGGCTTGCCGAGTATCAATGTTTGTTCCTTTCACGGAACTACGTGGATCCGCAATTAAGCTACCATAAATGCAATCGGAATTCAGGTTTTGGGATTTTTCGAGCGAATGTCAGATAAATCGGCAATTAAAATGTACCTTCGTGTACTGTACCACAATAGAATGTTTTCTAGTACACAGTTAGGTATAATTAGGCTAGATATCACTCGACACAGTTGGACGGAGCTAGGAATAGTCAAGTACAGTAAGGTGTAGATAAGCATAGACAAACATAATAAAGTGTAGTCAGGTGTAATCAAAGGTGTAGGACAAGAATAGTGAAATATAGTCAGGCATTGTTGGACAGTATTGAGAATGAATTTTATGGTCAGCCATAATAAATTTAGTCAAGTACATACTGTCAGGTACATACACATATAGTCAAGTTCTGTGACGTATAGTCACGTCTAGTCTCGCATAGTCAAGTACAGCGAAGAAGTATATTCAAATGTAAACTACATACATACATAGTCCATCATAAAGAGGCACTATAACATTCCAATAACGAACGTTCTACTCCATTTCCATTACAAAGGATCTTTGACTAAAGACTTCATTTCCATCTCATCTTCCATCTGCGCAACAATGTGGCTAATTGGAATCTCTCAGCGCCGTGCCCATTACACAGCATCTTCTTAATCATACTCTTTTTTTTCTTTCGGCCCCTTCCTTCTAACGAGTGAATGCTTGGGCGAGATCGGAATTCACTTCCTGCGAACGACGTTCGGATCCGCGCGGAATCCACCCTCGAATTGGTTGGTGCCCACACACACATTGTAGGGAAAGTCACCACTCTCGTGTATGTGATACAGTTGTTTTTGATCGTTTCCCGAGCGGCGAAAGTCCGTCCCCTCTTTTGCAGGCGGCGACTTGTTTTGAATTCGAAGAAAGGGAATTCGACGTGCCTGTGACATTCTCCTCACCGGATAGACACACCGGTCCAGCGACGTGATTCAAGATCGTGTAATCACGGGATCGAGACGGTGTGTGATTCCCCGTGAACAGAAAGATTATTGCCGAATTGCAGAAAAATTGAATGGAAGATTAAGAAAATCCTGTATTCGAGAGGAAATTGTTCGAATCGGGCGTTTTAATCGTGAATTAAACATGTTTACGTTCCCTTTTTCCAACGTGACAATGTTCTTGCGAACAAGCTAAACATTTTCTCGATTGAGAAGAAAAAAAGACCAGGATGCGATAATGGCTGAACGTCTTGAATAAGTTGCAAAAAAAACAAATACCAAGAACATTGCTATCCGGCGCGCCAGGAGGAATTTCACGGGTAAATATGTACGTGTGCATCGTGATCCGTAATTCGATGAAATCGTAAGTGACAGACACCGACACCTGTGTGTAATGATCGTCGAGATAAGTTCGTTGCTGTCCTTATTTTATTCGGATTTTCTTCGATATCGTCAGCTTTCACTTCAATCACAGTTTAATTATACGTAGCCTGGAATTCCATCGATTGCTCGTCGATCATAATCGAATATCGGTTAGATCACGAGTCGAAAGGAAAACCACCGTCTGTGTCGCGGAATCATCGACATTCATGGAAATTTACGTTCACGGAGATTAATTCACAAATATCGGAATGCAATAGAAAGATTTTCTCATTATCGTTTAAGATTTCATTTGGGAAGAAATAGTGTAGGAATGTTATACCGCTATGTTATACTTTGTCAATTTTCTCGCTTCATTGATTTCAAAAATGAAAAAATTTCTTAATCATTTCTTTTGCAAAAAAAAATTGTGCGATTCCAGTCACGGAACACGTTTTCCGGACACACACGCGCGCCTATTACGATTTTTCCGGTGAATGATCGAGGTGCGTGTATGTACACGATATACGGTCGACGACCCGCCGTGTTTACGTCCCGATGAACGATCTCGAGAAATCTGCATGTTATGTAGTGTACCTTATGTACCTTATTTGTGTCTGCACTATTTCTTCGAAAAATAAGGGTGACCAACAATTTTTTAAACTGAATGCTATATATTTTCTTCTATCAGATGAAAGCGTGTGTCAAAACGAATATCATTTGTATACGACACAATGACCTACCAGATCATAAGGCGTTTTTATTTAAAACTGTAAAATGGTACACGGTTTCATGATGCAGACAGCCACCTGCGACTTTTCTTGCATCAGTGACGTAAAAAAATGTGTCTATTCGTTTCCAAGTATATTGAAGTAGTTTGGAAATATTAATCATTGAAATAAAAATTGGTAATATTGATAAAAGCCCCCAGCTAAATAGATACGATGCCAAACGAGGAAGCTACTTTAAAGGTGCTTACGTTAGGACGGATACCCTGTAGATATACATATGTATGTATAATGTCTGGCTGTGTGTATGTGTATTTGTATTTGTGGTATATGGTACTCGCCACGAGGAAACTTTCACCGTATTCGCCTCGCGGAGAATCGACCCAACCCTCCCGGCTCGATTAGGCTGCGATTGTGTTTAGTAGACTCTTAGAGATGTAGAGTATGTATGTATGTATGTATGTATGTATGTATGTATGTATGTATGTATGTATGTATGTACGTATGTATGAATGTATGTATACCAAAACGAAAGGAAAAAAAAAAGGTAGCTGAACAACATCGTGCTTCGTCACGGTAAACTTTCGATGGACTTTGTGAACGACTCGAGTCACGCCGATTGCAACATTCTACGGTCTCTCTGTTCCTATTAGAACACGCGATTGGATCGTATGCTTCCGTAATTTGATGGAATGTTGTTTGGAAATTGCCCGATTGTGGGTTCGGAGCTCTTTTTTCTTTTCTGGTGAATGGTTTTCTTGTTTGGCTGTGGTAGACATTATCGAGACACGGGGTGGTGTAATTTTGGAAATTGATTGGGTGACCAATGATCGAAAACAACATTTTCGAGGCAGAGCAAACATTCGTTCAATGGTCGAAAACAAGTCGTCGTCGTCGTCGTCGTCCGATTTCTTGTTAACTGTTCTAACTTCATTTTTCAAAAAAGATTTAGTTAATCGATTCACGCGTGTCTCATTGGCCAAAAGAATACTAATTCGCCATAATATATAAAGAAAATTCGATCTAGAAAACAATAAATATACTTTGAAGTAACTTAACTCCGAAACTTTGAAAGTTTTTTTTTTCTAAAACGGTTGACTCTCCAAATACTAGCTTCCAAAGGAATGTGGCCCCGACTTTGTTTTCCCCTTTGTTCGATGTTCGAAGAATTTTCGAAAGTTCACGTTGGAATTTCTACCAAGTGGACGACAAAGATTGCAAGAGGATCCTTCGAAAGGTTCTCTGGCCCAGGACATTCTATCCTCCTTTCACTTATCATCCTCTCGTCCCTCCACTCTTCCAGAAGTGGGAACGAAAGTTGTCGCGTTCCCGACTCGTTTTACCGTCTATTTCTGTTTACGCACACCCGGAATTTGAAGAGCAGTGACGATATCCTCCCAAGAATTTCCCGCCCCGAAGGCCGAAACCGCGAACCCGTCGAACGAGAAATCCTGTGCGTCAAAGGACCTACGCCCGACGCGACGTTTCGGTTCGCCTTTCGCCTCTTTTTTCGCTGTTATTCGTTTCTTTTCGAACGACCAACTTGCGATTCCGCGATCCTCTAGTGACTACATAGAGTCTAGTCGATGGACAAGTAGAAGATGCGATGATCCAAGGTTCATGGCTACTCATCATCCAACATATGTACGTAATATTTTATAATCTAACGATATGTAACCATTATCTGGACACAATTGTCCTTATTTCATCGGATTAGATACGTCGACGCGGGAGATGCCAGTCGGCAGCTTTCTAGTTCATTCTCTGTCTGCTCCTTTGATTTCCCTCTCTAGTTACTAGATTATAGAAAGAGCTTTTCCGTTTCTTTTCGAACTGGAGATACGGTACTGTATCGCGATAAGCGGATAATTGTCGGAGGATGCAACATAGATCGATCGGATATTGCAAACGATAAAGGTTTTGGATAATGTGTATCAACGAGGACACATTAACTCTTAGGGCTGAACTTCACTTCGCATCGCTGTCCATTTGCCCAATCCGGTCATCTTTTACTGTTCTGTCCGTAGTTAGAGACGATATTACGATCGTTCAGGTGTATACCGTTAGCCTCGAAAACGGTTTCCTGAACGTTCGATTTCGTGTTAGTAGGTCGTGGCGTGGAACGGCCAGGTTAGCCGCTCGAGACAGGGAAATACGTGGTGGTGCCCTGACTTCCAAGTCGTTCGAGCTTTGCTTCGACGAAACGTCGTCCCGAGCACATTCTAATCGGTTTCCGCGAGACAGGGCGGTGGTTTACTCCTCTTGCAATCTTTATGCGTATGATCACGTGGAAAAAAAAGTTAGCTCCGTGTTAAAAATCATCGATAGATTACCATCGTTCGTTCCACGTTTTCCATTGAAACGCGTAATCGCAAACCCAGACCTTCTTATCGGGACAATTCACTAGCGCGATTACCCCTTATCGATGCAGCAATTGATCGATTCGTGACAATTTCCGGTCGATGGTCATTCAGCGGACGGAACGTTTATCTCGAGAAACGTAGCGATCTCGAGTGCGGATCCTAGGACAAGGTCGTCGCGTTGACGTAACAACGTTTTATCTGTGGAAGCTTCGACTGCATTTCGTTGCGACAGAAATTAGAGTAAATATTATAGTAATAGTATTATAGTAAATAGTATACTTTATACTTTATACTTTATACTTTATACCGATTGTAATAGTAAGTTTGGGACTTGATTCGTGAGGAAATCGGCTTACCAATAATCTACTATTCGTTCCAATGAACTGGGTAACGGATTTGAAATTTCAGACATGTTCCCGCCCTCTTGTCCTCTTTCAAAATGACGGTGGCCGGAGGACAACCAGACGAATACGTACATGATCATTGATCTGTTTCAAAGTAAATACTCTATCTAACAAGGAGAATAGTCGATTACTTATTGGAATACGGTAATAGTACTTGTAAACACTAAAGACATTTCCATAAACCTCTAGGTACCTCATTCCAACTTTGCCATCACTCTACATATACATAGGAATTACACATTTTAATGTTTTGTCAGAAAAGTAATGCCAATTCCCATAATTCACGAATGTTATCCTCATTTACCGACGAATTGTTTCGATAACATCCAAGCAAGAATCCGCGTATCCGAATACCGGGAACACAAGCTGCAGTCGTTGTACCCCCGTTTAAAAACCGATCCCAGAGCAATCGAACGATCAAAAGAGACCTTGCGATAAGACGGTCGGTATTAATGTTATCGCTGCGAACAATCCTTTCCGTGCTTGAACGTAATTAACCAGAATTTTTCTTCTCCCCCACCCGCGCGCCGAATTGCTTACGTGCACCGGGAGATTTCTCTGAACCTCCGATACAGGATACCGATCCCCCCGTATCGATATGTCGCCTAGGCGAAGAAAATTCCGTTATCGTCTGATCGTAGAATCACCCGGTGACGTGATTCGTCCGATTGTCCATCGACAGGTCTAACTCGGCGAAATCGAATTACAATCCTCCGGTTCGCGCAACCACGCACCCGCGATTGTTCTGTTCGCGTGGCCGCGCCGTCGACAGTTACTGTTTTCATACGTATCAGCGGTTCCAGCCGGCTGCTCATCCCCACGGGACTTGCGATGGGCGGTAGGTTTGAATTTTTTTTCCAAATTCCCCTACAGTTAATCGAGTTTTTCACTTAGGGGCTTTACTACGTTTTGTCCGAAATGTTTGCATTATTCGATTAAACGAGTTAACCCTTTTAGACCTGAGATGTGAATGTTTCTAGTAGGTACAATAGTGAATTTCGAACTGTATAACAAACCTTTTAAGAATTTAAAATAACAAAATTTTCTTAACCGATACATCATCTAAAATCTAAACAATCTACGGAGTTAAATAGTGTAATCGAATATTTTGTCCACTCTTAAAAGAAAATTCAGGTCTGAAAGGGTTAAGGGAAGCTACAAATGTACTTACTAGACACGACAAATAGAGAAGCCGAGGATCGCGTTTCTCGAGACGATCACCTGTGCGGGACATTCAGAAGATCGTCGTCAAGTGATTATCGTCGTTAAAATACCTACTGGTTACGTGCGTTTATCAAATCTGTTTGAATGTCTGTGGTCAATGTTTCTGTGCCGGTACCGTACCAGATCCTTTACACTTTACGTGAAACCTTTATATTATATCTCTGTACTGTGGAATTTGTATAGTCTGTAGATTTATAGATAAGTTACAAGTGGGTAAACTTTCATTACAAAGTCAGCCTGCAGTAACACCTGGAGATATCTCCTTGTTAGTGCCGAGGAGCATTCGGACACTCTTCGAGGATTTACTGTGGTCCAATTTTTGTCTAACAAAATATTTTCTATACAGTTTAAGGAAGTTCCGGTATTTTTGTGGCGACACTTACGGTTGGGACACATTGTATATTATTCTAATGATTTTTTTTAAAAAAGTGATATTATATTTGTCCTTCGCTAAACGGGGTAGATCATCCAGTTCCAGGAATCGGAGCGTTAAACAATCGCGTAAACTCGACCAAAGTGGTGCGTGTTAAAAAGTCTCTCCCTCGGTCGGGCGAGGACATCGTCTCGAATCCGATCCTCTTGAATTCCACCGTCCAAGAACACTATATATATATCCCTCCTTGGTCACCACGACGGTATCCCCGGTGTATCGAGCGCGCGAGAAACGCTCGCGGAGCAACGCAAGTAAGAGTAACGTTACACGCGCGCAGCCCCTTGTGCTCCGCTTGCTCGCGGGCTCAGTGCCGCGGGGGAAATTCATACAATATCAAACATGTAAGTACAGGCTCGAGTCAATAAGAACTACATACAATGATTTTTCGACACAAGCAATGCGACACGAGCAACGGCGTTATTCCCATCACTGGGGGCCGAATCCCCTTCTGGAACCAATAAAAAAAAAAGTAAATAGAAACTGAGCATAGGCTCGACTTCGGGCAAAAAACCTAAAAGTTAGAGGGGGCTGAAAACCTGTCTGCCTTGCCAAAAATGCTCCGAAGCGGACCTGAGTACATAGCACTCGTTTCAATGAATCGAAGCATATCACTTTGGGAACACATTTTCAAGGTGATTATACTTTAAGAAAATACAATAAAAAAAAAATCAAATTTTTTTTTTTTCACCCTCTTGAGCGGTTAAAGGTCTCTGGGTAACACTCCTAAATTCTGCCCAACTCTGGTTCGAACGAGCCGGTTTCGTCCGATTCAGACAAGCTCGTTCGCCCGCGCGCGCTTTCCCTTTCACCTGGCCGCTGGCCGCGTGCGTCGCGAATTACCTGTCTCTCGAGGGAACGTGTGTGGATTCGTTCACGGGCGACGACTTTAAAAGAACAAAAAGAGAAATTGAAAAGTCAAAAAGGAAGAATACATTTTTTGTTTCATACGAGGCTGCTTCGTTTTCGAAAAAAATCTAACTTTCAAATACACTCACAATATAACTTTAAATAATTTCTTCTAAAATCTATTCATGTATAGATTATATTCACGAAGCTGAAATAGGGGATATCAAAACGATCGAATATAGTAACTTCATCGAATACATGTACATACATATGTACAGTGCGTATATCTTGGGTCGGTTAGAGGGCAAGACGTGTTAGAGGCAAGAGCGTCACGGCGTGTCGATAAATCGACTTGTTTCCGCGTTTTACCGTCGACCTTGGCGTGGCGAGCTTGCCGCGGAAAAAGCCGCGGAAAAAGCCGCGGGGCGGGAATAGAAAAATCCCGTATCGGTTAATGCATCGAAGGTCTGTTTCTTTCTGCATTATCCGTTCTGGTAAAGGATGGGGGAGGGAAGGGTGGAAAGGGTAATTAATAGACCGTTGAAAAGAGGTTCGATGCCTGTCCTAGCTTTCGAGCTGAACATTTCGGAACGTATACATATAGAGAGTAACGGAATGGACGGAGGTATCGAGATGTTCGATTCGATCGGCGTAATCACATGGACCGTTTAACGACGTGTTTGAATGTTTGTTTTTGCAGGAATCTTCGCGTACCTGAATTACCTGACGCCGAAGAGCAGGAAGGAGATTCTAGAGCTTTTGGTCGGTGGACTGAAGAGGTTGGAGTATCGTGGATACGATTCGGCTGGTAAGGATAATTCACAACTTTTTCTGTATTACCACGAACACGACGGTTCGCGCGAAGAGACTGGAATAGAAAGTGCGAATGAGATTCATGGGAAAAATACGAGAACAACAACAGAGTCACTTAGAGGCATTTCTGTTCGATTCCAGGTGTCGCCCTTGATACCGCCGATGGCAAGGATATCGCGATTATTAAGAAGCAGGGAAAAGTCAAGGCTCTCGAGGAGGAAATCTTTCGACGTAAGCATGCTGTGACAATTTCTCCACGATCGATTCTCCGGTTCTTTAACGGTTCACTCGCTGGCCTTGTACAAATGGATTAACTTATATCTACGTATACATGAGAATTTCAGTTGGAATTTTATGAATATATCGCAACTGTTGATGTTAATGAAGATGATTCGATTGAAATTTATGAATTTTTTCGGTAGATGTGAATATCGACTTCGAATCGAAGACGGTCAGTCACGTGGGTATCGCTCACACACGTTGGGCGACGCACGGTGTCCCATCCGAAGTGAATTCGCACCCTCAACGATCGGACAGCGAGCACGCTTTCGTGGTTGTGCACAATGGTAAAGCTATACGTCGCTATACGTACCGTGTATCGGACTGGTCAGAATTTTGTGTACAGAAATTATTGACAAACTGTCAGACGGATGAAACATGGTCGTACAGAGATCAGTGTCCAAAGAGACAGGGACGCTGTAACGACGTTGCGGACGTTCGTACAATCCTGCTAAATTCACGTCAATCAATATTCTCGTAGTTAATCTGTTGCACAATTTCGAATATTTTCCTTCTTATTGTTTAAGCGAATCTTCACTTTGGAACTTGTTCGCGATTCATCTGAATATATTCTTAAGACGAGATAATATCCGAACAGATCTAATCAAAACCACTATAATATTCTGCAATTTCCTCGGAAGACTGAATTGTTCCTCGTTCGATAAAAAAAAACCGCATTGTTCACGGCAGGTATCGTGACCAACTACAAGGAAGTGAAGACGTTGCTTCAGCAAAGGGGTTGCGTCTTCGAGAGTGAAACCGACACGGAAGTCATTGCGAAACTCATTCACCATCTCTGGGCACAGCATCCGGGTTACTCGTTCCGCGAACTTGTCGAACAAGTTGTACAACAATTGGTGAGCGTTGCTTCGAATAACAATGGGACAGAGGCGGAGAAGACAAATACGTGGTGTTTGAATATATCGGTGTAGTCGAAAGCCGAATACATAGTTACCAGTCTGTGAAATGTAAATCGTGAATAATTATTACATATTTACAATTACGCTTGTGCCACAATTATGCATTATGGCCATTATGCTAATATACATATCATAACAATGTAGCATTTTTCCCCAATTATTCGGAGATGTTTTAATAGGCAATTGTGTGTGTGTGTGTGTGTGTGTGTGTGTGTGTGTGTGTGTGTTAATAATAATTCAAATAGTGCTCACTATTTACTCCTCTACTAGTCGCTACTCTACCACTACTACTCACAAATCTTTATTCACAACTGTCTACTCACCTCTCGTTACTAAATATTACTTTATATTCAATATATACACATTACTCGATATATTCACCAATGATAGTACTAGTAAACCACTTGTTTCGTTTTACATTTAAGAACGATTGTGAAGAAGGAATCGTGATTTCAGGAAGGCGCGTTCGCCCTCTGCTTCAAGAGCAAGCACTTCCCAGGCGAGTGCGTGGCGACGAGACGAGGATCACCGCTGCTGGTCGGCATCAAAACGAAAACGAGACTGGCCACCGATCACGTGCCCATCCTCTATGGCAAAGGTAAGTTGGTGAACCATGTCCGAGACGTATGGAGACTGACGTGTGTTGGATAGAACCATTTGATCCCGTATTAAGGAGACAGGTATAAATCAGTCGAACTTTAAGACAGATCACAAGGATATTATCCGGTCACCCGAGTCTAGCATTGGAACGTATTGCTTTTTCACCAGGTTTGAGGGGCGACGGGGAAACAGTTATAACACTGTGAGTCGTTAATTGAACCGTTTATTTAGACATGCGGTGTAAATGTAGTTTCTGTGGTTGTGTGTACTAAGTAATCCGCAATTTTTTCGACGAAATCGGTATTCGTTTCTGTTAGAAGTTAAGGTTCCATACTGTTCGTGTCACACTACATCAAGTTTAGTCAGAAAAAAATTAGACGTTTTGAATTTCCAATATATTCCCTTAGAAGTAATGCAAACGGTGAATCACTTACTGGAACACTTAATAAATAAGGACAAGTGTGTTGGAAATAAACGCGAGACAATGGGGACTTACACCACATTCCGGATAAACGGTTGAATGATCCTACCAAAATCTCCTTCCATGGAGATGTTGGTATGTCAGTGTTGGTGGAAATGTGCGAGAGTGTACTTGGAGGTAACAGTATAGTGAGATACTACTCAGTGAGGTCTTAAATCAGGTCTGGTCTGAAAGTAATCTAACAAGGAAGCTAATATTAATAGGAGACGCTGCTGTCACGATACACGTTATGCAGGCTCGAAATCTATGTTTATGGCTCTACCGAGTCCATCGATTCACTGTATCGTCACCACGCAAGTGTACTTATGGTTTTTCATGTGTCAATCGCAAAGACTAATTGTCTGTTATTAATAGCATGCATTCACCCCGAATCTGAAGTTGGAGCTCATTTCTAGTGTAACTAATCTTCCTGAATACTTCCGGAAGTACTCACCAAAGTAATATAACTCATGAACTGTATTTTACTAATGAGCTAGAACTACACTAAAGTATAAGTAGTTTTTGAGAGATATTCGATTGGAAGTTAGATATTTTATACTCTGTATCGTAATCGCTTCCATCGGACCACTGTTGTCGTCCAATTAGTCTTTTAGTTTTGTGATACCCGGAGAATGTTGTAATTACCAGTGATATGTGTATCATCCTCTTCTTTCTTTTCGTAAAACAGTGCTGTCCCGTATAGTTTAAGTTACATACATTTGTCGTTTATTCCCTTGGAACCGTCGATGAACATACGTTGCATGAGAGCTCTCTTTTGGTGATACAGTCTTGAATGGATACTACATGATGTTTCTTTTGCATGAACACCTTCCGGTTTTGTTCTTCTTCAACTTTTCGTCTCGTCAGATGACAATCCACGCGTAAACAAAGGTACATATATACACTACTCTACACTACTCTTACATTTTTTTTTCTCCTCGAGGACTGGACTTTTTCTTCGTCAAACGCGTCATTAATGTAAATACGATGTCTTTAATAATAATAATTTCATTGAAAGTACGAAGTTTGTATTGTTTGCTTCACGGAAGGTCCAGTGTTCGAGAAACGCATGCAAAGAACAATTCCGCTTTGTAATTGCGATATGTGTTTCGAATCGTTCGATATGTCGCAAGAAGTTTTCTTTCTTGTACTACTAAGCGTCTGTCTGGCCTTTTCTAAATTACTGTCTTTCAGTTTCTGTTCGTAACAATGTAACAAAGTAACATTGGCTTTTTCTTGTTCACACGATTCGGTTTACAGTACACCATTGGTCAAACGTGTGGGACCTGCTAAATAATTGTCTTTTTTCGTCCCAGTAATATTAAGCAACGATCTCATATTTCATAATACGTTTCTTATGACTGTTAATAATTATTCTTAGGTCACTCGAAAGTAAAATAGTTGCCGCCATAGTGATCTAGAAGTCTTTAGAAAAAAATATCACGAAAAAAAGAGTAGTCCAAGATGTTTTTCTCGAAATCACTCAAACTTCATATACCTACTAATTTCATTTTATAAACAATTTAATATTTATTCAGAAAGACCTCGTTAAACGACGTGAGTGTTTAACAAGTTGCTTTCTCTTTACGTGTTTATTATATCTGGTCCCACGCTTTTGAATAGTTCTACCGATTATTTATACGAAAGATGTGTCGTAATATGTACAATCATACTTGTAATCGTCTCGAAACATGATAAACCGTACTTATTCATCAGAAAGTGTACACATAGACAAGACGGTCGAAGAATCAGACTCACTTCGGATTGTTCAAATTGTTTTAAGTTTTGTCCACCACATACTCGGTTGAAGCTTTGTGATTGTAACGGCGAATAAAGTTCGGGAAAATGTGACACGAAAACTTGACATAATTCCAGTAATAAAGGACAAGCGCAGAATGTTCCAAGTACATTTTCGCGAACTCGTCACGCATATCGAAGGACAATGATTGAAAGTGGTGTCGGTTTTGGATTTCACAAGAATTACATTGAATAAATTATTCTTGGAAATTGCACGTAATAATTTATTGAAATCCTTGACAACCCAGTGGAGATACATATAGCCGTACTGTGAGTTCTTGAATTACTGCCCAAGAAAATGGTACTCTTTATCAGTTAACTGCTGTTGTCAATGATTTCCAGATTATTAAAGAAGAGGGAATCGAAGGGAAATCTGTAAACTCTGTTCATGATGATGTGTTATTACCTGTCGTATGATGTTTTTTTAACGTTTCCTTTCGTCGATACCAAAGTCCAAGATCGACCAACTTTCTGCCATTGTTCTTCCGGCCACAGTTGCGGCACGCCATGTTTTCGTTCCCGAATATGTATTGTTTGTTTACCGGCACACAAGAACGTTGTTATTTTCCGTTACCTGTTTTTGCTAATCGTTTTGTTTTCTTTCTCGTCTCTCCCCCCCCCTTCCCAATCGCATCGAAATTTGAGCAGAAGTTGAAGCGCCGACAAAAGGTAATATTTTTACGTTCATACATATATACGCTTCCGTCTGCTTTACGGCCTGTCTTTTTCTGATCGCATTTCGCGCACGATCGCTTCTTTCTGGACTGGATGGACTTTAAAGGAAGGGGTGTGCGTTGGTCTGCTATCGCCAAGCTTTCAGTACGTATGTACAATCTTGAGCGCCATCTTGTTTCGGTAAGGACACAGGGAATCGCGAGATCTGCATATAATTGTAACACTGTCTACCGGACAGGCCTTCTGTCCGTCACTTTGTTTTCGGAACAGGCGTATCTCTTTCCGCACGGGAGGGTACTTCGACTTCCGTTGAACGTCCCCAAAGCCTTTTTAATGCCACTCGCCTATTTTAACGAGGTCATTACATTATGTCCGTTAATCTATTAATCGAATAAATTTAAGCCGAATAAATATATCAAATTTGTGAATACAGACGGTTAATAGACGAACGAAACATTGATCGCTTCGTTGCTGTTACTATCACGGTCGTGAAAATTGTTGACGTAGATATCCTATTATTATTAACATTACAGTTAATTCTAGTACGCAAGGTCCTCGGGATGATTAACGACGTTGCTGTTTAACGTGAACTTACCCACGAGTATATGTATATTAATTACTCCTAGACTGCGGATTGATTGCTTTTACGATCCACGAAGTTGTAACCAACATAGAAACCGTTAAGTTCAGAAATGTTTATCTATCTATTTCTATTCGATTCGACGACAATAAAAAAGATCGATGAATTTCCGTAAATATCCGCAGTCTCCTAGTCACATTTCGGTCTAATAATTTGGTGTTGGGGCTTACGAAAATACAGAAATAACAAGATGTTTCTGTTCTGGTGTACTGGCTACGCCTCTTGCCCAAAGAGCCTTTATTTTTTTGTACATAAATTTATATGTTACACACGTAATAAGACGATTGATTCTTGAGATCGAATTCCTTTTCGATCGTATTGGATTTGTAATTATGCATATAACTGCTGTGAAACGTTGACGGGGTCACTGGTGTCATCTGTGGAAGAATCAACCTGTGCGTTTCGACAGATCATCGACCCCATGGACGTACCGAACTTCCGGTGATACCTCGTAGCGAGAGCACATCCGAGTTCCAGCCTCTCGAAGACAAAGAGGTCGAGTATTTCTTCGCCTCTGATGCCAGCGCTGTGATCGAGCACACGAACCGTGTGATATTCTTGGAGGTAAAGCCCCAAACTGTGTTTATCACTGACAAACGAAATGTGTTCAACATTCAGTGGACTTGATATTTATCTTTTTCTTTTTCCTTCCAGGATGACGATGTGGCCGCAGTTAAAGATGGCGCCCTCAGCATCCACCGTCTTCGTCGTTGCATGGACGATCCCCATGCCAGAGAGATCACCACCCTGAAGATCGAAATCCAGCAGATCATGAAAGGCAACTACGAGTATTTCATGCAGAAGGAAATCTTCGAACAACCTGAGTCGGTGGTGAACACCATGAGGGGACGTCTGAACTTCAGGGATAACTCGGTCACCCTGGGAGGTATCAAGGTAACTTCCAAAAAATCTTAATCGAATGACGAACAGATGATGCATTGCGATCGTTGTGACGCGATGAACCTGATGATTTTGTTCGTAGGACTACATTCCAGAGATCAAGAGGTGCAGACGTTTGATGCTGATCGGTTGTGGTACCAGCTACCATTCCGCCGTTGCTACCAGACAACTGCTGGAGGAATTGACCGAGCTACCAGTTATGGTCGAGCTGGCCTCCGATTTCTTGGATAGAAATACTCCAGTGTTCAGGGATGATGTATGCTTCTTCATCTCTCAGTCTGGTAGGTTTAATATAATACAGTAGTTTCTGCGTATATTGAACTTACTTTCTCTATTGATTCTTTTGTTTTTCATTCTGCTCCTTTTTTTTCACAGGTGAAACAGCAGACACTCTGATGGCTTTGCGTTACTGCAAAGGCCGTGGAGCTCTGATCGTTGGTGTCACCAACACCGTGGGGAGTAGCATTTGTCGCGAGTCCCATTGTGGCGTTCACATAAACGCTGGTCCAGAGATCGGTGTGGCCAGTACGAAGGCTTACACCTCACAGTTCATTTCTCTTGTGATGTTCGCTCTGGTTATGAGCGAGGACAGAATTTCCCTTGGCAACAGACGCCACGAGGTACGGCGATACTTAAAGTGGATAAATTTTTTGTAACGAAAGTTGCGACTGTGGAGAAACTAATCGATATAAATATGTTGTCGTTTATTGTTACGATAGATCATCGAGGGACTGAAGAATTTGGACAATCTGATCCGCCAGGTTCTGCAGCTTGACGACAAGGTGAAGGAGCTGGCCAAGTCTCTGTTCCAGCACAAATCTTTATTGATTATGGGCCGGGGATACAATTTCGCGACTTGTATGGAAGGTGCTCTGGTAAGTCTCCTTTACAATATCGTACAATTTTTTATAACTATGGCCACGTAAACATAAAATAAATATCTGTTCGCAGAAAGTCAAAGAGTTGACTTACATGCACAGCGAGGGCATCATGGCCGGTGAACTGAAACACGGTCCTCTGGCACTCGTCGACGACTCAATGCCCGTAATAATGATTGTCATGAGGGATCCGGTTTACGCGGTCAGTATAATTACCAAGAAATGCTTAGCTTTTCTTTTTAATGGGACCAGATATCTTAATGTTATCGTTCGTCCGTAGAAATGCATGAACGCATTGGCACAAGTAACGGCCCGTGATGGTAAACCAATCCTCATCTGTGAGGAAGGTGACGACGAGACAAAGATGTACGCTGACAAAGTCCTCGAGGTCCCCAAGACGGTCGATTGTCTACAAGGAGTTCTCACAGTCATTCCAATGCAATTGTTGTCCTTCCATATCGCGGTCCTACGCGGTTGCAACGTCGATTGTCCCAGGAATCTTGCGAAATCGGTGACGGTCGAGTGAGACTCGATGTTCTCGGACCACCAGGTATCTTATTTCAAACATACCGCATTGCCCATTTGTCCATAATCGAATTCACGGATCGAAAATCCGATTACTATAAGAGAGATTGTATTTCTATGTTTTACCATAAATTAGATGGATGATGATTTACAGGGACGTGATGTAATAACGGGAGCATTGTGTAATATCAGATCACGGATTGATGCGTTTCTTAGTGTACTTAGCGGTTATAGGATCCATACTTGTATTAGGGTACGAACAGAGAAGCGAATATTTGTTAGGTTCGTACGTGTGTATTATGCAGTTCTTAGAATTAATCGTTTGGACCATCTTTATATCTAATCTTGTTAGTAGACGATTAGTATCAACGAAAAAAACGTTCCTTGTCCCGCGAACGGATCGATGGAGCTCCCAGGGAAACGATTCCGGTGCATTTATAAATTGTTCGTATTCATATCAGATCGATAGGAGCAGAACAACAACGAGATTGCTTTTTCCTCCTGGTTACAGACTAATTACAATTCCGCTTCTTTGACGGAATTGACGAAGACTATGGGTAGAGAGAAGATCGTTATGTATCGTAATCACGAGATTTTACATATATGTATTCCTGTGGAAAGTGTATGTGTGTGTGTGCGTGTATGTGCGTGTGCGTGTGTCATAAATCTGAATCGAGCTAGGAAATCGACCGCGAATTGGATTCGTGATAGAGAGTTAGCGAACGACAGTAACGATAATTTATGGATACGGGGATGGTCGACATGATCCCGTGACCGTTGCAGGAAATGACGGTCGTCGGTTGCTCTGGGATTATATTCGTATTTTGTACAGTATTTAAGAGGAACTGGTGACAATTTGATACTTTCCCCTTATAATTTTGCTATGAGAAACGAACTATAAGGACTAAAGCGAGTTTCGTTACCGACACATGTATAATCGTGTTGAAATTTAAGATTATATAAACAACAAACTTCACCTAAAAAACAATGAACATATGAATTTACGCAGCCCTACTTCCCTTTAATTCACCGTATACATTGTTTTCAGTGAATACGAACTAGCTCAACGAGGACCTGAACGACGCGAGATCTAAGCAAACCAACGATAGATTTTCATTATTCGGTTGCTTCAATCAAATTTATACGTTTGCTTTGAAGTGTGTTTCCAGTTTTCATTGCATACGTACACAATATATGCCATGAAAAATATGTCGCGACAGAAAGACAGTTGAAATTTATATTTCTAAGGATATCGTTCATCTTAAAATTTCCCAAGATCTATGCCCGGTGTGTGTATCGTTCTAATTGGACGTGCGCCAAAAAGCCGATCGAAGTGATAACCCGAAGCACTCCGACAGTTCTGGTTGGCGTATGCGCCAATAGTAAATCTCGTGTTTATGTCGGACATGCGGAATAGAGTCGGTGCGCGGTATCCCGTCTAACCAGGGATGGTACGCATCTCCGTTCGGTGATCTTTAATCGCGAGGAAAACTTAACCACGGCCGCGGGTCACGTTTCCTGTTTCGTTTCGATTAATTGTCAGAGTAGAAATTCATTTGTATGTCCTTGGACTGGAATCGAAAAATACGCCCTCGCGAGGAGGCGACATCGACAGGGAGACTAAGAGAAAAAAGAAGGGTATCGAAGAAGAACAGTAAGCCTACAAAAGGAACAAAATTACCAAACAAAAACTGAGAATTAGAACGGTGAAACGTGGTCCTGGAAAAAACAGTATCGTCGCGTCGGTGGTCGACCATAATTCCATCCGCTGTATTTAAATGCGTTGCCTCAATCCTCTCGGGTTATTTCGCGTAGGTTGGCTGCGCTCGAACTGCTCGGACCACTGTCAGCCCTGCCACTGACAGACAGGTATCACAGACGAGGAATTAGGAGAGCCAACATCTCATAAAAATTTCACACACACACACACACACACACACACACACACACACACAAACACCCACACACATATATATAAACACTCTTTGAAATACAGATTTTGTTAAATGTCCATGGACCTGCCACGCCATCTACGATTATGAACGGTCACGCGAGGAACTACATACGTTCTAACCGTTAAAATTGCAGGGAAACCTTTTGAATCACTGTGCACTATCGTTTTGTTAACTACGTTGTGTGATATTATTCTTTATGGAAATCGCGTTTACCGCGGTGTGATATACTGTATAGTAACTACTTGCAAACCATAATACTTCTATTTTTACTTCAATACTTCTGCTATAATTTAGTATTTTATCTAAGCCGGTAAGAAGGCTTCGAAGTGATCTATCGTGTGCCATGAAATTACATCGGATGTCAGTCTATTCTACAGAGTAACCTATAACCGGCAATATAAACCGAAAGAGGGTGATTCCACGTGAAAAGATAACTAAAAAAATGGGAAGTAACGTTTTCTAATGTAAGGTTTCATTTATTATGAGAATTCAAGCTTGAATTCTCTTGAAGATTGGTGAGCATAACTGGTCGTGTGTCTACCTATTATTCACTATTTCCACCTGTAGGAAATATCGATTATTCTTACAGAAATTTCTTTTCAATCGACTACAATATCTGCTATTAGTCTATATCAACTAAATAATACCATGTTACAGACAAAGTTTCTAGTTAGGAACATATACCAAATATATACACGTGCTGTATACATACTGCAAAAATACCGGTAATCATTTCAATCTCGATACTAGAGTGGTTCCGGTATGATTCAACCAACATAATACCGGAACCAAAATAGCACCTCCTTTAACCTCCTCAGACCCAATGCACATTGCAATGTACAATAATATTAACGTTTGTTCCGATGCTATTTTACATTTTATTTTCACTTAGACTTTTTATACATCATACTGTACACCATATTCATTCGTCAGCTGCTACCAGTGTTGAAAAGAAAAAAATTTTCCTCTCTCACTTTAATGCCCTAAATATAATAATTCTACAAAAAAATCTATTCTCAAAAGCAAACGAAGATCTGAAGAGGTTAAGTTTACTTACAATCTACCAACGTAAGTAGAAATGACCGGCAATAGATAGACACGTGACCCATATCGATTAAAAAGAATAAGGAAAAGAAAAAGAACAAAGTCTCACATTCAAGTGTAACGTTATTCCATATTCTCGATTTATTTTCCCACAAGTGAACGAATCATTTATATCTCTCGGTTGTGCAGTCGATTACAGTATAACACTCCGTATCCCTCGTCTCTGCGACAGGTATACAAGTATATGTATTTCGTGGTCGTCGCCATTGCCGGCTTGTGCACGGTGAACACAACACACACCGCCTGCGCGGTTCGCGAGAGGCCGATAGTTTAGCGGGCAGCAGCACCACTACGCGAGTCAGTCGACGGTCTGCCGGTGAGCAGTGCGGACGCGTCGTGGAAAAGGGAAAAGACAGTTCTGTCGTCGTCTCGTGCGGTCGTGATCGTGGTCGTGGTTCGTCGTAGTCGTCGCCCGCAAATATTTTGCTGGCAACGGCCGCGAATTCGCCCCACCGGTTCGTTCGTTTTTTTGGTGGTTCTCCTCGCACGCAAACACACACGGTAACGGCGCGACGGTGGACAGAGGAAAAGCAAACCTAACCTCCCCTCTCGCCCGAGGAGAACACACACGGGGTCACCCTATCTCTCTCTCCTACCTCCCTGCCGCGTCGCGACGAGCGAGCGAGACGAACGCCGTTACCCGCTCTCGCCTGTTCTAGCAGCGCCGCGGCGGTTCCCCTCTATTGATCGAATTCGACCTGCGAAGTTTCCCCTAGCCGTGTGCGGTTGTGGCGGCCGGCAGTGGCTCTCTTCGCGCTTTATTAACGTTCCTCCTCGGTTTAAGTGCGGTAAATAATCGCGATACCTCGGCATGGCTACTCCGACCGCTTGCACGCGGTTCAGTGACAACTACGACCTCAAGGAGGAGCTTGGCAAGTAAGTGGACAAATAAATAAATTAATATACGTTATCTCGACGAATGGAACCGGGATTAAGAGAGACCGTAAGATACCGGAGGTAGACAGAGAACGAGAGAGAAGAATCGGTTAATGTTACCCGCGTGTCGCGACTTTTCTTTCGGTGTTTCCACTTCGGCTACCGTGTATATACACACATGTACAAACTGTTCATCTCTCTCTCTCTCTCTCTCTCTCTCTCTCTCTCTCTCTCTCCCGTGTCTCACTTTTTCTTCTCCTATCTGCTGTTCTCCCGTGTTTTTATTACACGGACTCGTGTTTGTGTGTACGGAAAGCTCGTGCATCGAGACCACAATGTCGTGACCGATAGCTGCTCGTATTGTATATTTTCCTCGTGTGCGCGTTCGTCGTCGTGTCGTGTCGTGTTCGTTGTAGCGACGAGTTATAACCGTTTCGCGACAAAACGGATGTTCGATTTCCTAGCAGACGACGCCGTGTCGTCGGCCATGATTATTCCCTGCGTATACGGGGCCTCTGTTCCTACGACTCGTGCCCCACTCCCACAACGGCTTATCAGTCTCTTTTTATCCCTGTATCCTTTTGCTTGCCCGTGGATCCCTGTATAGTGGAACGAATATATTAATACAGTGACTGTGTCTCTTGAAATCTGTTCCGAATGGCTTGTTAACCGATATCTTCCGTTGAAAGAATTATAAACGGACGATTGTTTCTCGGATGGTGGAAGGTGGTCTGGCATGGCCGTGTCGTTTCGATTAGGCGATTTCGGTGTAGTGTCTTCTGTCTGTATCACCAAAGGTACTATCGTATTTATGAATTAGGTCCTAAAGGAGCATCGGTTTAGACAGTTTCCTGACCGGTTAGAGTATTCCACACTAAAGATCTATTTGACACCCCCTCGTTTCACGCAAGTCACCCTGCCTCGTTCGGCTAAGTGTACCGGTTAATCGGGTTCGGGGGAGGGGGGGGGGCAACTCGATATTATCCGTAACCCGCCCAGGGGTGGTTGAACCCATGCGTCAGAGCCTAAAGAACCACCACCAGACCACCATCCCTGACCTGCTGACATCTGACACTCGAGATCCACCCTGTTTCACACGTTTTCATCTAGGTTATCGTGTCTCGGTTCACCAAGGTGTGCTGGCCTGCTGTCTAGAGCTTATAAATTACGATCATAAGGGATCAGTCCAGGTCGAATCTTGACTCCCTGCCATTGTCATTAGAGGTCTATCCTTGGTTTCACGTAAGACATATTTTATTCCATACGGCTATCTGTACTAGTTTGTTAACCAAAGAGGACTGTCTTACAGTTGGTTCAATGGTGCCTTCTATGTTAGAGCTCCCAAGGACTCCATTCTTGACTAGCTGACATCTGACACTGGGCGATCTAACCCCTATTTTGACATCTTCGTTTCATGGCTTGGCCACTATACATATTTCGTCTGGTACGTATTTACGTACGTGTGTGTTTGTGTGTATACGTGACTCGCTACGTTCACGCGGGGAGACACCCCGTTGCATTTCGTCTATATTTAAGCGGCACGGCCTGTCTGCTCGTGGCTCAGCCTCTATATATAAAGCGTCAGGGCCCGAGGCTCTCCGGATAGCCCCGCGTCGCGGCGCCGCGAGTTCTACGGACCGTCGAAAAACGAGGAGGCATCCGCATCGTATCGCGGAGGGATCTGTCACCGAATCAATACGATGTCGTCGCGCCGCTTTTTACCTTCGTCCCCCATCCTGCCACCCTCTTTCTCGTGCGCTCCTTCTTTGCCTTCCCTTTTGGCCCTCTGCTTTGACGTAGACGTAGTCCCCCGTTCTTTTTGCAGAACTCCTCTCGATCTGTGGTTTTTTTCATTTAATTCTGTCCCATTCTTAAGAATTCCTCTGGCCTCTGGCCCTCGACATTTCGCCGTTCGACGGCAGGTGGTTGCAGCCTCGCCGCGCACAACGGTGTCCCTAAAAGTCACTAGATCTCACCACCGATTTGGTTCTTTTGCCTGCGATCAGTTTTCTGGAACGATGTTGGTCTTTTTCCCGATTGGTAACGACTCGTGAGACAATTGATCGAATTGCAGAAGAGTGTTTCATTGATTCGATGGACAGTATTCGTGGCAGTGTGTAGTTTTGTTATAGGACGGTGGTGGGATTTTAAAAGTGCCCTATTGTCCCTAGGTGATTACGGTTTTTCTTGTGATTTTTTGGGGTGATTATCTCTAACGACTATTTGAACAACTTTGAAGTCCTAGTATTTCGAAACTTTAGAACCCAGGATGGTTGCTGTCATTGCAAATGACATTAGGGGTAGTTAGATGCACCGGAGTGTCTAACTTCTCGGAACTTATCGGAAGACGTACATAGGTGCGTCTTCTTCTACTATTTCGATATTATATGTATACCCTTTAGATCGATCTTAACCATGCGAATCATCTGAAACTCGAACAAGTGTCGAATCCCTTCGGGCACAGTATTCGTCCGAAGGTCACTTAACTCGATTCGTCCCTAAACTGCAAGACGTCTCTTTGGGGGTTATGGATTATCGTTGTTGCGACGAATCGAATTTGTCTGTTGTCAGATGCTGGATCATGTTTTTATGCGAATACATTCCTATATTCGTGGTTCTGTAGGTGATCCAAGGGAGGGCATGGATGACGGTTTCGTGTCGTCATCCGGTTGACCACGAGTGACCTCGACTCCGAACCGAGGAATTTCTTGGGTCCGTGATATCCTGCGAAAGACGGGAGAATTTCTGACCACACCCCGCCCCTGTCTTTTTGGGGCGAGTTTCTGCCCCCACGGTCGATAAACACCCGTAGCGTAGAGCACGCGTAGAACACGCGTGGTACCACAGACCAGTGTCACCTGGCCGTGTTCCGGTGCCCTCGTTGTTCCGTTGCCTTTCTCGCGTTGGACACCATGACTCACAGACATGGTAACTTTCTTCACCAAGTCGGAAAATTATCATTGTTGATTATGCAGTACCGGAGATTGGTAAATTAACTTTAGATTACGAAAGTGTCATAAACATTACGACCTTAAAATATAATATTCTTCGATAGCTATACAGAGTATCTTTTATTAACACACAAATACACTATGTATATACAGTATAGAAGTCTGTGGTTGACTCGCAATAAGGATCATACGAAGGCAGGCGTCGAACGTCTGCCTGTTTCGGTACGGAGCTCGAACCGATTCGAGGTACGAGTCACGGATTCGCAATTAGGGCCAGCTGATTTAGAATATTGTCCGTGCTTCTAAACGCGATCTAGTGATTCTCGTTTGTTTCCAGGAACACGGTTTGAATCGCGAACAATTCACCCGGTCGAATCGAACATCAGAACGATGTCTCGTAAAATCGTTTGTCCAGCTACTACCGATATTATGCGGTTAAACAAATCGCGCGAAGAACTAATTATCCAATGAATATTAACCTCCAATTACCAAATTTTTCGATTTCTAGGAGGATTTGTCCACTTGCAACCGATTCACCATTGAGTAGTCCATGTTGGTGTCTTGTCTATTTCAATTTTATACATTATAACGTGTACCTAACTTTTAAATTTCTTTATCCGAAATTGTAGTATTAGCTAGTGTATTGTTACGATAGTTTGCAACTCTGCTACCGATCAAAGCGTAAATTGGAGGAAAAATTCGGAGTAGAAAAGTACCTGGCCACATTCCTTCGAGGGGGCCAATAGACGCCAGCGTGTGTACGATGTTATTTTCGTTAATTATTCGGATATCCGAATAATTTGAGGCGTGTGTTGGCAAACGTCTGTCTCTCTGTGTGTGTGTGTGTGTGTGTGTGTGTGTGTGTATTGGCGAGCGTGTCCCTTGCCCCGGCATAATCAAAACATTTTCCTCGCCTGCGTGTGTTGAATAATTCAACAACGGGAAGCTGGCATCTCTCGGGCTCTCTGGGGCTTAGGAGATGGCCGAACCGATGGACCGTTTGTTCGATATTGATTTCGCGAGAATACGACGGAGAAAACCGTTCCCGTCAACTTTCTTCCGCGTTGTCGATCATCGCTCGATACCGATCGGAGTGTAAACAACGATCGATTCGGGTGGAAAGTTTTTTTTTTCTGCGTTGTTGGTTTTCCTTAGGCGGACAGAGGATACGATTCTCAACGAAGTTGCTCGGTCTTATACATGTATATGTATAAATAAGGATGGATTTATTGGAGAAAATTGTTATGTTTACATTTTATAAATCCCATTCAAATTAAAACTTTTATTTTCATTTCAAGGACCTTCGTTTCTCTATTCTCCTTGGGAACTTATGTATAATATATCAGAACGTTTCTTTAAAAGAGTTCCGGGGTCTATGTTTTAAGTAGAACTTATTAGAAAGTTCTATAACTTTTGTGATCCCTGTTTTAAAATTATCGACTGTCTACACCTAATACATATTTCACATATATTATTAGGAATTTGTATACTATCATGTTACGAAACCTCGTTAAAATCGAAGTCGGACAGTTAGGGTCCTTGTAGGTGACACTATTGTTTGCAGAAAGAGTTTCAGAAATAAGTATCGTGCCGTATAAGGTATCAGTCCAGGATGAATCGGACAACCAACCCGACAGAGGGTCGGAGAACATCCCCCACCCTCCGTTGCCCCTTTTTCTACCCCCGGAACGCTGTATTTCCGCGAACCATCCGCGTTTCTGCGCCTTTCAATCCGAATCGCTCTTGGAGAATTCATCAATCATCCGCCACTGCACGTGTTCGTTCCCCTCTCCCGTTTAAATAACCACGAACGGGGGTGTGGGTGGTGGCGCGAAAGAATGAACGGGGGCGAAACACATTTATTCGGGGGCGACGACGATGGAAACCAGGGGTAGGTGGGGGAGGTGGGGGGGCAGACAATCGGGTCATCCCTTCGAGTAGCGAGAAATTTCCGTGATGGCACGGATACATTGCGGTATCGACGAGGGGATGGGGGTAAACTCGACTCTTATTTTCCTTTTTGTTTTTCTTTTTAACAATTCACAAATA